CTTGTGAGTTTGATCAACCAACAAGACCAGGATATTACCAAGCTGGATATGGGCAAGATGAAAGAAAAGAAAGAAGAACTGAGAAAACAGAAAGATGAGTTTCTATCACAAAGGTTCAAGATGCTTTATAATGGGTCAGATCATCTTCTTAAGAACCACAGATCTCTTATCACTACTTCAGATCTCTTATCACTACTTTCAGATCTCTTATCACTACTTTCAGATCTCTTATCACTACTTCAGATCTCTTATCACTACTTTCAGATCTCTTATCACTACTTTCAATTCGTTTTAAAAATCTTGCTCTGCCTGTTTATTGAAATTTGAAGACATGTCTCATCATGGCAATTCTCAACAAAACTCGGATCGCCGACAGAGCAAGGCTCACCGTAATTCCTACTGTCCCGTGACTTCTCAGTTTGGCAACGGTTATCAGCACGATCAGATGCCACGTCAACAACTACAACAGCCACAGCTACCTCACTTTTCCAACGGTGAGTCAGAACTAAGATCAGTTCAAGAGTTATGGAAATTTATGCAACATCTAGAAACCGAACTTAGTATAGCTCGTAGTGATCATGCTAAATTGTTGGACGACTTCGTGGAACTTCGACACGTTAACTCAAAGCTCAGCAAAGTTGTCGATCGTCAAGCGGAGGCGATCTGCAAACTAGAAGTGGAACTAGATAATTTAGATCAATACTCACGTAGGGAAAACGTTTGTTTTACCAATTTGCTAGTTAATGAGAGCAATAGTTGTGAGGACCAAGTGGTCTTGTTGTGTGAACAGTTAGGTGTGGACATTGTTAAGGATGACCTTGTAGCCGCTCATCCCTTGAAGGGCAAGAAGGGTAAAGCCCCTAGGTTTATTGCTCGCTTCAAAGATAGATCAACAGCACAGAAAGTGTTTAGAAATAGGAAAAGCACTAAAAACATTTCCCCAGATAAAAAGAAATTGCTGTTTGAGAACCCCGAAAAGGGTGTCGGGGTACAGCCCAATATAACATATAAACGAGCGGCATTATTAGGGCAGGTCAACGATGCTGTCAGATTTGGTGGACTAAACTCTTGTTGGGTTGACTACAAGAATGGGAATGTTTTATTGAGAATGAATGCTAACGGTAATCCTAAGCTGATTAGGAATACTGCTGATTTGTTGATTTGTGTGCCTACTTTTGAACCTAAAGAGTTTTTGTTTTGTGAGAGCCCCTTTTTGAACAATACTGAATTCACACCGTGAGATGAATATTTCTAATACAACTATTTTTCAGATTTTAATATTTCTAACAGAGAATTATGGATGACGGAGTTTCAAACATGACCCTTCCCAACATCCTCATTCCCTCTGACCGTAAGCAATGCGTCTTCTGTCATAAAATTTTGTACTTTCACCAATTCATTCTACGTTGCAACAACTGTAAGGACATATATCATGGATCTTGTTTAAAGCTAGACAATAATACCATATTTATACTTCAGCAATTTGTATGGTATTGTAAAATATGCTATGACGATTATATTGAGTATTATAAGTGTGTGACATGTTTAACAAATATTGATATATTTAATGAAAAGATTGCACAGTGTAAACAATGTTTCAAAATGTTGCACAAGAACTGTGTTAAGTCTAATATTTGTTCGTCATGTATGCCCTTACCCTTACTTGACTTAAACACTGCTACTACCAGTACTGTTGAATATATTGAAACTGATTTTTATTCCGAACAACCGTTCTTTGCTCCTTTTGAATATTATTACAATGAAATGATAGATTTCATCCCGGATGTTGAAACTCTTAGCGAGAATTTACAAGATTGCAGCCAGATACTGCGTCAGTGCGTCTATTATAAGTTAGATGATTTTGAAGAAAAAATGAACGACAATGGATTATCGTTATTAAGTTTGAATATTGATGGATTCAGATCAAATTTTGACTGCTTTTTAGTGCACCATGGACGTTTCAAAGCTGATGGATATTTCCTTTGTGAAACTAATGTAACAGAACATGAGTCACAACCATTTTACATACCGGGTTATAATAAATTTGTACTTAATCGATTATTGAAGGAGGATGGAAAGCTTAAACACAAAGGTTCTGGTTTGGTAACGTTTTTGCGTGACAAATTTAATAATATTAATCAAAAATTTGAGCTTTGTTATTCTACCGTTGATTTTGAATCACTTTGTGTTGAAATAACAGTTAAATCTGAAAAGTTACTAGTTGTTAATTGTTATAGATCACCAAGTGGAAACTTTGATTCATTTATCGATATGTTTGGCAGTATCTTAAGTAAATTGAACACATTTAAGGGACACAAAAGCTATATTCTTGGTGACTTTAATGTAAATCTATATAACTCCAATTCTAGTGTTGTTAGGAGATATTTAGACTGCATGTTTAGCAATAACTTTTTACCAATTATCTCACGTGCTACTCATTTTGGAGGCTTAAATGGCACATGTATTGATCATATACTTACTAACAATATATCTAACATAATTTGTAACGGCCTTATACGATGTAATATAAGTCGTCACCTTCCTACATTCGTAGTTTTGGACTATAATTTTGATCCTAACGAAAAGTGTAGAAATAGAAATAAAGTAAATATTAATGACTTTTTATTACAAGGGTTTTTGAATGATTTTAAATTATTAAAATTTGATCTTGAAAGTGATTCTGCCGAAAATATGTATTCCTTTTTTGACAGAAATTTTAGAACTCTGTATGATAAGTGGTTTATTAAAAGTCAGAAGTCTAGTGGTAATAATTCTCTTCTTCGCTCTGATTGGATTTCAATAGGAGTGGCCAAGAGTAGTGACACTAAAAACAAACTCTATGATATTTGGGTTATGAATAAAACTAGAGTTAATTGGAACAAATATTTTGATTACAAACGAGTGTTTGATGCTATTAGAAGTAAAGAAAAATTTGAGTATTTTGATAAATGTTTTAAAGCAAATCAACATGATTTGAAAAAGACTTGGAAACTGATAAACGGTTTACTAGGTAGGAAGAGATCAAACAGATTACTAGTTTTTCCTAATCAAGATGCAGCGCATAATTTTAATTATTATTTTGTTAATATTGCTAATGATCTTTTACTAAAAACGTATGGTGAAAATGCTAACGCGGATTTAACAGATTTTAATAAATATATGCCTGAGAGGAACATAAGCGAGCTATCGGATATTAATTTTTCAAGTGAAGAAATAAATAATATTATAAGTAAGCTTAATAATAGCAAGGGTACGTATTATTCTCCTAGGGTCCTCAAACTTTTAGCTACCACTTTAAGTCCTTTACTGGCTGATATTTTTAATAAATGTGCAAATGAAGGTTATTTTCCGAAAGAATTAAAAGCAGCAAAAATAATTCCTTTGTATAAGAATAAAGGATCTATTTCTGATATAAGCAATTATCGTCCTATTTCAATGTTACCTGTTTTTGCTAAGATTTTCGAGAAGTTAATACATAAAAACGTATATGATTTCTTTAATAAGCACAATCTTTTCTGTGATAATCAGTTTGGTTTCCGCAGTAAGCACTCAACCTTTCATGCACTTGTTTCAGCAGTAGAAAATCTTCATGATGCTATCGATAATAAGAATTTTACATTAGGTATATTTATAGATTTTTCCAAAGCTTTCGATACAGTGCGGCATAATATCTTGTTAGAAAAGCTGGAGAACTATGGTATTCGAGGAAATGTCATTAAATTATTAAACAGTTATTTATCAGATCGGTTTCAGTATGTTAGCTATGGGGGATTCGAAAGTTGTCTCTTGAAAATAACCTGTGGTATTCCACAGGGGTCAGTGTTAGGCCCCCTGCTCTTCATTATTTTTATCAATGATTTGGCAAATATTTGTGAGTTAGCTAAATTTATCCTCTTTGCAGATGATTTAAACCTTTTTCTTCAAAATAAAGACCGAAATTTACTCTACAAAAATGCTAATGAGGTATTATCAAAGATTCACGACTATTGCTGCTTAAATAGGTTAATCATTAATTTTGAAAAATGCTGTTTTATGGAATTCGGAAGTAGTAAAGTTCCTAAGAATCAAAAGTTTGTTGGAATACTTAACAACCAGTTTAATCAAGTGAATAAGTGTAAATTTTTGGGAGTCATTATTAATTCTAATTTAACGTGGAATGATCATATTACCAATGTAATAACGCAAGTTTCAAAATCTTGCGGATCACTCTACTCCATAAGTTCTATAGTACCAGCCAAAGTGTTAAGACAAGTATATATTTCACTTGTTCAACCATATTTAATGTATTGTATACCACTGTGGGGTGCTGTTTTTCACCATCCTTTGCTGCAAAAACTGTTTGTGTTGCAGAAAAAATGTATTCGTATTGTGAGTAGAAAAACAATAAAGATTGATCACAAGTTTCAACATACGAAACCAATGTTCTTTCGTTTGAAATTATTAACCTTGTTTAACTTATTTACATACTTTACTGGATGTATTGCAATGAGGCTACTTAAAGAACAAATTCCTGTTGATGTTTATCGCCGGTTTAGCAAGTCAAGTAGATCATGCAGACTTCTATATCCTAAATTCTCAATGTCTAAGACCAAGAATAGTAATTTTGTTTTTAATGCATCCAAAATTTTAAATTATCTCCTTGATCATGATGTACCGTATCATATTTTGTCAATTTCACTATTTAAAAAGAGATTTAAGAACCATTTGCTTCATATACAAAACCTTGGGCTAAATGGGGATCATGGATGGCTACCATGTAATCACGATATCTTCTCGAATGTATCAATTTCATAAAATAAGTTAATTTCAACTAGGGAAATATAAATTGAAGTTAATGTTTTGGGGACGTTTGTGTGTTTTTTGTGTGTATTTTATTGTGAGTATTTAAAACAAGATGGGGACTATAATTGTAACGGTTTAAGTGTATACGTCTTTATTAATGTTGCCTCCGATTTCACTACACTGACAACATTCACTTTTTATTTTTTGTGTTATTTTTTACTTGAGATCTCATATCATAAAATTTTACCATCGCGATACGGGTATTAATTTACCTCCCAGCGGTGAGACACCGCTTCCCTCCATCGCCATGTTTGAAGCTCTCCCATCATCTGTTCTACTTCAGAGGGAAGTGATTTATTTTATATTTTAAAATTGTTATTATTCCAGTATAACAAATACATTTTCTAATCGTGTAAAAAAATCGTGTAATCGTGTACTTAAACCAAGCAAGAGAGAAGGGAGCATCAACATGGCTTTCAGCATTACCTCTTAAGGACCTCAACTATGTTCTAAACAAGCAAGAGTTCCAAGACAGCATACGCCTACGCTATGGATGGAAGATCCAAGGAGTGCCCTCTAAATGTGCTTGCGGACATGCAAACAGTGTCTACCACTCCCTTGATTGTAAATTAGGTGGATACGTTTGCATGCGCCACAATGCCATTAGAGACACTGCAGCTTTCTTCCTTCAAGAAGCAAAGTGTAAGGATGTAAGGATAGAACCTGCACTCCTACCTGTCCAACCAACTTCATTCTCCAGGAAGACCAACACCCAGGATGAAGCCCGTCTGGATGTAGCAGCTGTTGGACTGTATGCCCCATTTGAAAGAACATTCTTCGACATCAGGGTCACTCATCCTAATTGCAACTCAAATACATTTAAGCCACTAGATAAAATCTACAGTGCACATGAGAAAGAGAAGAAAGATCTCTATGAGGAAAGGGTACTTCAGTCAGAGAAAGGGTCCTTTGTCCCACTAGTCTTTACAATATCCGGAGGTATGGGCCCACTCTGCACTGTGTTTGTAGATCGTATTTCTGAAAGGATAGCTGACCACAATAAAGAAGCTAAGAGCCAGGTCAAAAACCACATCAGAACACGATTCAGGTTTGATCTGCTACGAAGCACACTCATAGCACTCAGGGGAATCAGAGGAAGACAAAAAGCCCAGCACCTTGGACTGGATGACATATCCTTCAATCTCATTCCTCAGAAGACGAGCTTTGAGGTCTCTTAAGTTTGTTTATATGAATTTTATAGATAATTTATTGTAGCTTCTATATTGTGTAAAATTTTACGGACGAAATGATCCCAGGGGGGACTCCCAACCCACCGCCTCGGCGGGTAGTTGATACACCTTTCACAAGCAAAAGCCACTTTGGTCAACTTGCTGTGAGGTGTCTCAGCTACATGGGTTGGGGGTCCCCCCTTTTTTTTTCTTAAAAAAAAAAAAAACAAAGGCAACTTTAACTGTGATCAGCTATGCAGGAGGTGACCGGGACATGATTTCAGGCCTGACCGGGACCGGGATGAAAAATGTGACTTGACCGGGACCGGGACCGGGACCGGGATAGCTCAAAATTGCCAATCCCGGTACCGGGATTCCCGGAACCGGGAATCCCGGTCACCTCATGCAGCTATGCTTGTTAAATAAGCTCCATTTTTAATAGTTTCAACAACATTTAATCTTGTGTGAGTTTTTGAATTTTAATTGATACTAATTATTATAGTTACTGGTGGACTGCTCTTGCAGGGCTTCTCTGCAGGAACGGTTGTACAGTGAACAGGAGAAGATTCTGTGGCAGTCGGTGTCTAATACTCTGCAGTTTCGACATTGAGGGTTGTTTTCCCTTGTTTTCCTGACCACTCTAGCTTTAAACTCTGTAAATGTAAAGACTTAATTCACAGTTCGCTGAACCCAGCTGTCCATGTTAGAAACTAAAATATCTCGTCAGCATGGTATTATTATTGGTGGGCCTTTGCCTCCTCCAGCTGCAAGAGGTGCCCTTGCACAAATGGGTCACCTGTCAGTGCTTTTATCGTTCATTTTGCAACGTTCATTTTAAAGGATATCTCAAGAGGTGGAATCACAAGCACAACAGATATTAGAGGACTGCAGCATATAAGAGCTTTATGAGAACCACTTGCATTTTTCTATAAAGCATTCTGAGTGAGCTTGCATCTAGACCCCTGAGCTGTGGTAGGTGGAGTTTTGAGTGATCCTGTAATAAGCAAACCAGTATTGTTTAAGTTTGAAAATAGCATGACCCTTGAAGTTAAGCTTATTATTGATGCTGAACCCAAGAAAAAATGATTGAGATGTATATGTTATGGTTTTACTGCCAATAAAGAATGGTCCAAACCATTTGCATGAGTATCAGCATCCTAGGTTATTGTTAAACCTCGACCGTACTATGGGGGATAACAGAAATATATTGATTATCTGGAAAATCTTACTGAACTTGAAAATCAAGGTCTTTTACCCGTACACACTGTCAAATTTGCCTAAGTGCTAAAATCGGTACATAGCAGGAAAGTTAGACCTTTTAAATGCCAGATTTTCATCATTGTAATCCTACAATTTATAGATATCAGCTGCTCATTCTGATACATTTTAGCGAATTTTGAAATGCACAAAATAATAATTTTAACAATATTTTACATTTAATGTAAAATATGGTATTACTTTGTAAAATTTACAAAGTAATATCATAAAGTGGGTATTGGGTAAAGTAAACGTTGTATGGTTTCTGTGTAGAAAACCTACAGTTATTTCTAATAGGATATATCCTGTAACACACAAGCAGCTTCGCACAAGTTAAATTCTTCTATTGTTTTGTATATTATTCATTCATATGAATTGTGATACAAACTATTTTCATTACATTGTGTATCACTTCTTGTCCTCCATCTAATGCTTCCAAGAAGTCTGCTTGGGCTTCTGCTACACACAATCTGACATTTTTTCATGATACATGATACTATACTATACTAGTTAGTTACTATTTTCTTACAATGAAATACATGAAGAATGTTTCCATATTGCACAAAAAACATTAGCCTGAGAAAAGAACCAGGAATATGCAATCTTACTGTGCAGAATATGATTATTGTAGTCCATGGTGTAATTACAACTGAGTACTTTGAGTTGATAACAGTTTGTGGGTTATGGCTGAAATTATTGTGCTTAATGATGATTTGCACCATTATATTCTCGTCTCCAAAACACCATATAAGTATAAATGTTCATGTTGTTATCTGTGCTTAATTGTTTTTTTGCATCATGTGTCCCTGATCATTCCTTACAACATAATGAACTGTTTAAATGTAAGAGTTAAAAGTTTAAAATTGCAATGATATATATTTTATCAGTATGTAGATGCCATTTGTCAGAGAAATCCTGAAATGGGCTCCTACTTGAAGGTCAATCTCCTCACAAAAGAGACCAGAACCATAAAAGCACATGATGGGACGACTATGCAAGTAAGATATAATAACAAATTTATTTTGTTCCAGATATTGCTCCAATTGCATTGCTAGTGTTATGTTTTTAGGTACCAACATTAAAATGAATGCGCTATATTTGACCTATTTCAGAAAATACTGGAGATTGTGATAGGAAGGTTACGAGCAATAAACAAACAATATTTTGCATTGCAAATAACAGATACATTACCCGATGGTTCGAAGATAGCCCACTGGATTCCCAATAATTATACCCTCCCTGATACCAACCAAAGGTGAGTGCCATCATCAGTCATCACATCTGCTTGTTTTATTTTCATGTAATGTAACTCATAGTATAGTGCCTCGGCACAGAGTGGCTTAGGGTTACTGAAAAGGAGATAAGCACCTCAGGCCATCCCAACGTTCGGGAGAGACCTGCCCTTGTATCTTGTTGTTGTTGTAACTCATGAGAAGGTTGTACATTTAGTTGTACAAGGCTTATTTTATTTCTAGACTATTGACGTGTCGTCGTCGAGAGGCTCTTAATTCAGTGTACATACTACGCTATGATAACATTCATTATTCAAAACATGCATCTTCCCATGTATCAGACATCTGTATTCTGTACACGATAGTCTAATTAATATTTATCAGTTATCTCTCATTCTAGGAAACAACAATACATTATGCCATTCAGAACAGAGTAAGATAATTGCCAATCCTACTTACACGTCACCTGTAACCACACCACACTCCCTCAGATATCCTCCAGCAGACAAAGACAGGCCCTGGGAGTGGAATCTAAAGATACGGTTCCTCCCCAACAATATTCAGAATCTCGCAGAGTCAGACAATGTTACATTCACCTATTTTTACCAGCAGGTATAACAGTCCTGTCTTGTTTTGGTATCACTTCTTTTTTAAATGAGTTGGGCACTTTGCCCTGACAGTGAGGTTCTCAGATTCACTGCACAGTGCGCTAGGTGCTAGGTGCTAGGTGCTAGGTGCTAGGTGCTAGGTGCTAGGTGCTAGGTGCTAACCGTGATTGATAACTAACTGCACACTTTTCTTATTTTACTGAATCAGATACGATGTACTCATAAGTTTTTGTTTGCAGTAGAGCCACACTATGCCGATCCTACATTATACAAACCACATACTTCGTGTACGGTTAAATTTACAAAGTAGATGAGGCAGTATTTATTGAGGCTATGATACATACACTGTATAACTAATAGCACACGTAAACAGACCTCATTGAACTTAGATATATTTCCCTCACTCAACATCATGAAAGTAAAGATCCGAATTTCTTAATTTCGTATACTGCACTAAACTCTGTATTTACCGATTGTAAGTGCCTACTCTAATTTGAAAATAGGTAGCTATAACGAATAAATAATCGCGTGCGTGGCCAGTATTACAATCTACCAACGAGTAGTTCTGCCAACCTTACCACTGCCATAGAACACACTACTTCATGTGATAGGAACCGTTTACTGTACACTAAATGTGATGCAACTTATATTCTGCCTAAATATCAATATGAAGTCTAAGATAACAGCCTCCTCACAGATCACAAGAACCATTAAACATATCTGGTCGTAGTTGGGTGATGTGCTGTAAATCCCACATTTGATCATTACCCCTCAATTATCGCTAAACTGCAGTGCAGTCCTAGTTTATATCTAGTAATAATGACGTTAGGGAAGGCTAAGCGAATTAACTGTGTCACACGTAAAGTCTTCAAACTACTGGCTCAGCTGAAAAAGTCAACATTTCCGCAGAAATTTTAAATCCCGCATATTTAAGAACAATGACTGTTTACAGTACACCCATAAACAGTTTATCCCTTCACACCTGACACCTCCGCAGTACTTCTTCACGCAGTTTATCCCGCAGGTAAGATTGGAGTACTTTGAATTATTAGCAGAACAGATGGACATAGACACAGCAGTGCAGCTTGGTTGTCTAGAGATGAGACGTCAGTTCAAGGACCTCAGTCACGAGGCACTCAACAAGAAATCCAATATTAATATGCTGGAAAATGTAAGTCAGTGATCAGTATTATATTATATGCGTATGGCTGCACAGTTGTACTGTAATATAGTGGTAAATTTTGAGAATCATATTAAAGTGAAACTCAGGATCTGTTTCAAATTTGCAACAGTTACAGTTGAAATACTGATAGTTACAGTTACAGTTGATGCTGCAGTTTTGTGGATTTGTCATAGTCTGACATTTAGAAAATAGAGAATGGAGATATGTTGTACCTATTGAGGACACATTTAAAATTAACGTTTAAAACCAAGACACGCCAGAGTGGGTGGATGTGCCAATTAAAATACACATAAAAAGAGAGGTGGTGTCTATTTCACTGATCTCAACCGCCAAATTGTTCTGCAGTAATGATATCGTGACAGTCATATCTCCGTGTTAAGTTATCTTTTAAATTTCTATTTGGAACGAGCTGTTCATTGAGTTGAACGGTTCGTTTTGTAGGTCAATGATAAAACCTTTTCAGATATATTGATGGGTTCATCACCTTAATGTTATAGCTGTAGTACTAATATCATCATTATCCTAAGATATAATTCAGAACTAGATCCAATTATAATAATTTGAAATCGAGTAACTAATTCGATTATGGACTATGGTATGTCCATGAAACTAACATACTGTTTCTTCTCAGGAGATAGGATTTGATAAGTTCATTCCACGCTGTATTTTAGATCGTGCCAGATCACGAGAAATAAAGAAGCTTATCCAGACGAACCTCAAACAGGTAGATTCCTTTATCTAACAAGTAGTGCAACTTAAAACTAAATAAGTTGTAACCTGTATCATAATCTGATATTTGTTGATTAAGTCGGTTTCTGGGTTTTATTTTTTGATTGTTTTATCTCAAGTGAGATAAATACGACCGCATACTAAGTATTTATCTGTGCTTTTTTCATTTAATTACCTAACGATATGATGAAAGCACACTAATTATTAAGATAAGATAATCTAAATTTAACTTGAAAACAACCTAATGGCGCCTTAAAAATGGCAGAACCAGTTACCATATCTTTTGTTTCAGTTCTCAGTCCTGACAGAAAATCAGTGTGTATACAAGTTCTTCGAGATATTGTCAAAAGTAAAGCACATTGGTATCATGCCCTTTTATGTTAAAATGGGAGATCTTGAGGTAAATCTATCCAAATTGTGTGCCTATTTCCATGTTTACTTAATTTAAACGTCAATTTGTTGACTATTTTATCGATAATTATTTTAATTGACTTGATGCCACCGAGAGATTCTGATATAAATCCATTATGTTTATCACATATTTATCACTCTTAAAATCACCTGTTCTGAACTTACATCTCACAGTTCATGTTACAAGAAGAGCAGCTAGGCAATACAACAACCATTAACCATTACCACTGAAGGGCAGCACTAGCCAGTACTATCAGCCAATGTTAGCCGTGTCTTGCACACGGAACCAGCTATACACTTATATACACTACACCACAACGGCTTAGTACATGGTGAGCAGGATACACACTGTGTATCTAGTGCTGAACAGTGCACTGTACATTTGTACTGTGTGTACTGTACATTTGTACTGTGTGTACTGTACATTTGTACTGTGTTCACTGTACATTTGTACTGTGTGTAGTGTACATTAGTAGCCTGTCTGGTGTACTACTCATTCAGATACAGCGAATAATTAATTTGCTTGGTGTGTACTGTGTAGCAAAGCTGTACAAATAACAAAACGATCGCTGTGATAAACAATAAGATATTATAGTGTGATAAGATAAGATGCTTCTCTGTGATAAGATAAGATAAGATGCAGGTACCACCCGTATTTACACTCATATCAATATTGAGTCGGATCATTTTCCAATACGAGATTGGGGACGGGTTCTATAGAAAATAAAAATAAGGTACTACTATACTCTGTGATAAGATAAGATGCTAATCGTGTCATAAGAAACGGCAAGTTTACATTTTACAATGGCTGTACAGTGTACAATGTACATCCATTGTAAAATGTAATCGTTTATAATACACAGTCCAAAATAAACACGTCCAAGAAAAGTTTGTTAATAACTCGCCACATTTCCCAGTTAACGACTTCCTGCATCGCAAGCTTTGGCTGCGATGCTTTGAAATCTGTGTTAAAATATTTCCAGGACGAAACTCCACCGGGGACCTGTTCATTCTGTCGGCGAGACCCTTATAGTTATTAAGCTTACTAAGCTAGGAGTATGTACGTGACCGGTTACTGTTATCTGTCACACAAAGAATCAGTACTAAAATACTGGGTACAGCAGTATAATCGTGTTTTTTATCATGATAATTATTTATCATTGAAATTCCTGCTAATTTTGGCACATTATAGCGACTCTAATTATTGCAACTCCTTACTTACTACCTGCTTACTACCACCTTGTACCTCTTCTGGAAACACAGTATTGGTGCTGTTAAATATACCGTATTATAACTGTTTACCGTCATATATCTCTTCTTAATACTCCATATTATTATACAAATTATAGTAGAATAGTTGTTAAGCTGGCACACAAGATGCATTATATAACTGGACCAGGTATTGAGGAAGGTTAACTATTAACCAATGTACTCAGTAAGTCATTTTTACACAGTTAGTAGGGTCACTTTACTATTTTTACTACTGGCAGGAAGAGGAGACCGAGTAGGAGGAGTACAGATCACTCTTATCTCATTGTACTGTGTAGTGTGTACACTTTGTATATAGTTGAGCGGTATACTATGTAGTTGCGGGTGTACTATATATTAAACTGTCACGAGACATATTTCTCTCTCTCTCTATCTCTCTTTCTCACTCTCTCTCTCTCTCTCTCTCTCTCTCTCTCTCTCTCTCTCTCTCTCTCTCTCTCTCTCTCTCTCTCTCTCTCTCTCTCTCTCTCTCTCTCTTTCTCTCTATCTATCTATCTATCTATCTATCTATCTATCTATCTATCTATCTATCTATCTCTCTCTCTCTCTCTATCTCTCTATCTTTCTCTCTCTCTCTCTCTCTCTCTCTCTATCTCTCTCTCTCTCTCTCTCCTATCTTTCTCTCTCTCTCACTCTCTTTCTCTCTCTTTCTCTCTCTATCTTTCTCTCTCTATCTCTCTCTCTCTCACTCTATCTCTGTAGAGTGATATACTTTTTACATTATTTCCTAAGCATGAATAATGCATAATAATAATAATGCGAGCTAGAGATGATGATTGATGATGGTGTGTAATCTGATGATGACACATAAACAGTTTAGTCGCCCTGTTTATTATTATGAGGACGACAGTGTGAAGAGAATGAATATGATATATGCTTTATGAGTTGAAGTGATCTGGGGCTGCGGTATCTGCTGTACATTATTATTATTATAATATAAACCTCTACGTCAAGTGATTAGTATACATGTGTTATATTCTTATAACACATTTATATTATATTTATATAGCTAACTATTGTCATCATTAGACCTTTTTTAGGAAGTACTATGTCCTTGTTCTAGACCTGGGTACATTTAATCGCTTAATTAAACTTTATAACGAGTAATTCTATATTAAACTTTATAACGAGTAATTCTATATTAAAATATAACAGTTCTACCGAATGTGGATGTTTTAGATTTCAACTAAAAATAAAATCGTTAGTCTAACGGAAAACATATCTAAGTAGGAACAAGCTCGATAAAATACTTGCGAGCTGTGTATTACACGAAACTTTATGAGGATCTGAACAAATTCAGAAAATATTTGTGAGGATTCCAAGTGTACTAATTTCTCTACATTATCTTGATTGTAGAATTTTGAGGGTAACAAATTCAAATAATTATATAATTTAGCCATGTATTTTTACCTCATAATATTATTTAAGACCTTGTATGTGACGTGACCTTGTACGTGACCTCGCATAATATCCTTGAAATTCAGTTTTATCCCGACTTAATATTGCGCGTGTTAAGTGATTTATAAGATAGCTCCACAACATCAACCCTGCAAACCCACTACTCACTTCCATTACTTCTACTGGATCCCTAATTTATTAACGAGGATAGTTTCTCTAATAAAGAGTATAATTGTCCGCTATATTTCTACCGATCTTGTCTTCAGCTGGAGCTATATTCATTATCCTGTGTAAAACACATTGTCTTGTGTCACAGTACGTGTCTGTAATATGATCTACATGTCATGGCTCTCTCTCTCTCTCAAAACCCTTTAAACTAAATCTGCAAAATGTTGTACTGCAGCTTTCCTGCAAAAATATCGAAATGAAACAGCTCCAGCTCGAGATTAAAGGTTGAAATAACTCATCACATCTCTACAGACTGAAAGGTCTCCCCAAGTTTTCAACCAAACCCTTTTCTGTAACCACATTAGCACATGTCTCATATGAGGAGTATCTAATAACCGGGCTCAACACTCTGTTAAAAAAGTAGGGAGTACCAGTGCAGTGGAACGAGAGAGAGAGAGAGAGAGAGAGAGAGAGAGAGAGAGAGAGAGAGAGAGAGAGAGAGAGAGAGAGAGAGAGAGAGAGAGAGAGAGAGAGAGAGAGAGAGAGAGAGAGAGAGAGAGAGAGAGAGAGAGAGAGAGAGAGAGAGAGAGAGAGAGAGAGAGAGAGAGAGAGAGAGAGAGAGAGAGAGAGAGAGAGAGAGAGAGAGAGAGAGAGAGAGAGAGAGAGAGAGAGAGAGAGAGAGAGAGAGAGAGAGAGAGAGAGAGAGAGAGAGAGAGAGAGAGAGAGAGAGAGAGAGAGAGAGAGAGAGAGAGAGAGAGAGAGAGAGAGAGAGAGAGAGAGAGAGAGAGAGAGAGAGAGAGAGCGAGCGAGAGCGAGAGGGAACCCGCGTCTAGTCAAGTGTGTTTTATAACACTGTGTAATACAATTCCTCCAAACAAGTGTTTGTCAGTTTGTGCGTGGGATAATGTGCTATCTAGGTGCTATAAAACACTAGCGCAGTGTGAGTGTATCTAATACACTCACCACACGGCGAGTGTATGTAAAACATTTTGACTGTACACTGTGCGGGGTGCTTCAAGGCAAGTTTCGAGAACCTCTAAAAATTTATCGAGTGATGCCAACTGTTTGAATTTGCTTGTAACTTGTAGCTTATGTATTACATTTTGTAATCAAAATTAAATGTCACATAAACAGAGTTCCACTTAGAGCCCCTGTTATTGTATGTGGAGAGCAATTCTGTACATGGTGGGACTGTAGCGGGAGTGTTTCGCTCATAGCCTGGCAAATTCTTTGAGTGTAATGCAGCCCTACAAATCACTCTCTCCTACCAAGATAAGAAACACGCTTTACAAAACACACACACACACACACTAACACACACACACACTAGGTCTATATAGTTCAACACTTGCTATCTAAGTGTCAAATATCCAATGTATATCATCATACTGCAGTGTGTGGGGCGGCGGCTAACAGTTGCAAGGGGCTCTGTGACTCGTCATTACAATACAGTGGATGTAAAGTACACAGTTAACTGTACTTATAATAGCCTGTTAAACAATGATAATTGTGCCCTAATTAACTGCCCAATACTAATGATGTATTGTTACTGCAGGACGCTCAGTCAATTGAAGTACATGTGGGTCCTCTACATGGAATTTCCTACAAACTCGGAGATACTCAGGTTAGTTTTAATGAGATAATTAAAAGTACAATATCTTTCTCACTGTCTCCGTTTGTGTTGTCACACGTGACTTGGGCCCTATTAAAGATAACTTTACTAGAAGAATAGTTTGTCTTTTGCCTCACGTGTAACCGATTTGCGGCTTCTTTTTGATACACAAATTGGTCTTAAGAGAAAATTTGTTGGGCTAGCCGAATGTTGATATTACGCTTGTTGATCAAGCCTGAAGAGCATTAAACATGTACGATTTCACTGGTATGAGATTTAGGATAAAATCATTAGGCAACAGGAGTGTTTTTCACACCAGGGTTATTTACAACACCTGCTCACGTACCAAGCTGCTATGTACACAATTTTCAATATATACACATAATACATATATTTATATTGTTCTTTGAATAAAGTTAGAATATATTGACACTTTTCGACTGACCTTTCAGGTGCGGATAGACTTTGACAGTATACAGGCAATCACAGTCGAGCCCACTTGTACTTATCAGACGCGGGTGATACTCATGTATTTTATCACTGGAGTTATTCAAGAAGAGGTAAGGCTTTTGTTTGACAACGCTGTGTTTTGTTAGGTCATCCGTCTGCAAATCGTAAGTAACAACGTATGATGTTGTGCGAAAGTGTGCCCTAAAGGGTCTTCTGATTTTGTCAAATTTCGCGCACGAAGTGTGATTACGCGCAAATTTAGAATAGACAAACTGGATCTTGTTTATATATATTTCGTATGAGTCGGATAGAATATACGGCTTCTTTTGCTTGGACCATATCGAATTATCTTGCGGCTTTATATCAAAGTCTTCATGGCGTATTGACAGTTTCATTCACTGATAGTCCATTTTTCTCGGTTTTCACCCTGTTTGGGCGAGTCAAAGCGGTTTTTCTTTCAACGGGACAACTAACGACAAAATAGCAGAATCTATCTGCAAAAAGTGTCGTCACGTGTTTCACAAACGTGCACCAACTCCCGGCGATAAACAACGCCTCTGAACATGATCCAATTCCTTATCTGAGATCACTAACAGATCCGTCTGACTTCCCTTGACCTTATCACCGTTGTTCCCGCATACCTCCTCGACAACAGCCGCTCTAGAACATTCCCCCTATCTATTGAGTACTGCTATTCCATGATATAATAATATTGACAAGAGTACGTTAACCGCACCATCCAATTCCAATTAGCGGCTGCCTGATGTTAACTTATCATTATTACTATTACCAGTTCTGTCATGTCAACTAGCTGCATTTCGTAAAGTGCTGTTGTCTGTACACATTTGTCTGTCTCTTGTACGTCTGCAGTATGGCTAGACTGTAGAATCATAGATAGTTTTATCGTCTCTACTTGCCAGTTGATTTATCTTAGTTGGTTATGCTTGTACGTGACCCTTGCAGTTTTAAGAATTTACCACGATCCTCCGCTTTATCAGCAGTCAATGACTAGACAGGACTATTGCAATGAAATACAATCAATTTCTGGACTTAAATACTGGCTCGTAGGTGATCATTACGCCTCATGATATGATCATATCACCATTTAGTGGTCCTTATCATTATTGTTATCTTGTTAATGTGTTTGGTAAAGGCTTGCAGATAGAAGCTATAATGTAGATTTCGGTATATCGGTCGTCGAAATGGATTGATCGTAAAATTAACTTAAAAACCTTGGGCATGGTTCAATTCGTCATCTGCAACATTTATGCTTAAGAAGACGGAAGGTTGGGAGCCGGTATCTTAGATACCGGGTATCTATTTAACCAACGATTTTTTGATACATTGAAGTAACATTAATAAGTAAATATTTAGGGTTTACAGATTGCAAAATGTTGGCACTCCACTGAAGCCGGTTGATCTGTATTTCAAGTAGTGAAGTGGTCTGGCAGGTGTTTCTTTCGGCGAAAACGAATCATAAGTGTGATTTTTAAACAGGGTACTATAATAAACTTTAAAAGCGTTGCTTTAAAACCCCTTCTATTTGCTGGCAGCTTAGAGTATGTTCTCACTTAGAGTAGCTTAGAGTATGTTCTCACCTTCTACTGGCTAAGATCGTGCTCCCAGTAACTCCCACGTAAACGTTTAGTTAGCAAAGCAAAACACGGTTTAGACAGTGTATATAAAGGTTAACTGCCTATGACTGTTGACTACAAAGCTTGAAATACGAAGCAAATGACATAATACAATATAATATAATACAATGCGGAATTGCTAATTTCTGAAAGTCGCTATCCGGGAATCACGAGTGCAAAGTGCGAGTTACTCAACTAAAGATTTGGTTATTTCTCAGCACTAAGCTCCCAGCCATTAACGAAGCTACAAAGGCGATCAGGATGTCTGAAGTTTGTTTTCTGGCACTCTGAATCCCCATTGCAACCCAGCTTTTAAACTGTCCTATAGATATCTTGCTAGCTGCTTACTGTGACCAGCTTTTATCCCTTTTTAACTTAGTTAGTATATTAGATAATTGATGGTGACACACTTTTTCCGTTCAAATGTTTATCCGGAACATCTACGTTGAAATTGGCGATCACTTCACTCCCACATCCCGTGCGTGATAATAAAACTCCTCTAACCCTCTCGAAAGTTACTGACCAGTCATTCACAACAATTTGACATGTCGTATAATGTATAACTGTGCAGTGTTAAAAAACTGAGTGGATGTTTATTGTTAGTTAGTTACTGGAGTCTGCGGAGTAAGAGAGAGTTTGCTAGCTAGCTCAGAGCAGTCACGTGATCTCCCTCCACTGTATTGTTCCTCTGCTTTATACACTTTCCTGTACACTCTGCCCGTACTGCTTCAAATGTATAAGTACTCGCCTTTGTTTCCCTCTCTCTTTCTCGTCACAGTTTCCCAAACTCTGTGTCGCACTACTAACCCTTCCCATCTGTCGTGCTACAAATTTCCAACCTGCATTGTACTGTTGTGGGGAGAGGCGATAGGTTTAAGGTATTTGGTTACTAACTTTAGAACGAGAGAGGGCTCGAGTTTTGTTTAACTTTAACATTTCGCAGCTACTAAAGATAATTACTGTTCTCATTACAGTTCATATTCCCGGGATTTAGAGTTCATATTCCCGGTTTATACATTCGGTTCTCGAATAATTAACGTTGGTATCTAGTGCCAAACCGGGGAATTAAGAAAAATACAGTGATTGAGAAAGAGCGAGATATTTCAGTGAAATGACCTAATTGTCCTCCATTATGCTGCTTATAGTTAAATCACGCTCAGTGCTTAGTCGACTCTGTTCCCCGTATTGTACTATCTGATTTCTCATCCTGTACAAAGAACGCCCTGCACTGGACGCCGCATTTTGCTGCTCACGAGATACCGCGCCTTCCCGCACGAGATACCGCACTTTACCGTACTTTACCGCACTTAACTGCAAGACATCCTGGACAGCTCAACTTCAACTTTAGATGTGACAGACAACAGCTGTCCTTTGTCCAGTTGTGTGATGTGCTCTCCTGTGTTGACAAGCCGGTAATTGCTCAGGCCTGCTAAACTGCTCTGCTTAAAGGACAGCACATATTGTAGTGGTGGTGGACAGTCTGCATTATTCCAGCTCCCTCCATCTCTGTTGTCCGCCTCTCTGTTGTCCGTGTCTCTGTTGTCCGTGTCTCTGTTGTCCGTGTCTCTGTTGTCCGCCCCTTTATTGTCCGTCTCTGTATTGTCTGTTTTTGTCCGTCTCTATCCGTCTCTTGTCGTCACTATGTCTCGTGTTCAGCCCTGCATGCCTGATGCCACCTAACTGCTATATCATGCGCCCCGTTAAATTTACTACCGCCGGTGGTGGTTTCATGTGGCAGGAAACTGAGGGCAGTCCGAGGAAGGAAATTAAGGAATTGTGGAAATTGGGAAAATTTATTTTAACTACAATTGAAATCTGACACGAAAGCATTCACTTGTCTAACTCTAAGTAACGGCTTGCTGATGACAATCAGGCTTCTATCAAAGACTTTAGTACCCTGGTAAATGATGGTTTGAGCACAGTTCTTAGTGAAGATACTGACAGTCATTCCTGTATCCTAGCACTGGGATTAATATCAAGTCTACTAGTGTAGTTAACAAAGGTTTTAGTACGACTTTTGTTAACATAGCATAAGGGGATCTGATCTAACATTGTATTCGTTCGGAAAATAGTTTACACCAAACCCGTTAAAATCCTTATAGCTGGGCATTATTGGAACTTGTAAATGTTTTCTCGCTCTCCTGGTGGTACATAGTTAGTCTGCCGAATGATAGTTTCTGGACCTCAGTTTGTCACTGCAAAATTCAAACCATTAAGTCAGAGAAGGTGAATTAGCGTTTCACTTCCTTTTCCTAACTGCGACAGAGTATAAGTCACTGAAATGTTGGGTTGTGAAATGTTGGCGTGATAACGCCAGTATACACTACAGTATCACTAGCGTTGGTGATAATGACTAGTTGAGTAGACCACCTCGCCTGCCCGTGTTGGCTGCATTATCTAACAGCACTAATTGGTAGCCACAACTCTCACTTTCTACACCTCCACTCGCTCTCTCGGTTTGTTTTCTTCTTCCCGCTGCCTTGGCCGCCACCCAACTGGAATTTCAACTTGGGTAAATCTAATTTGCTGTAGCGGTTGCTTCCAATTTCGTAGCTTCCCTGTAATTTATTATTGAAGCTGTCTCCCATTTTTTATCGAAGCAAAGGGTGAAGTGGACATACTTTTGTCATCTCTGCTATTTAACTCGATTAAAGCCCGGTTTCGTGCTGCCGTTCGTAACACTGTGTTAAAGTATATACTTCAAGTTTTTACTGAAAAAAATGCGCAAGATGTACATATTTTGCGCTATGAACGTATATAGAGTAAATTATTGTGTACAAAGTACAGTCCGTTTGCACAGTGCAGCTCGTCTTCAAATATCTTTGTGACAGGCTAGGTCGTAAGAGCAGAATGTATCTTTCTGCGATTGGACATCATTTGATAATGTTTTATTCATCGGGAGCGGGCCCTCCCTGTTCTGAACACTGCCTTCTCTTTGTTACTTGTAGTTTACTTACTGCTACTATATAATACTTACTACTACAGTATCCACCGTCTGTTACTTGTAGTTTACTTACTACTACTATATAATACTTACTACTACAGTATCCACCGTCTGTTACTTGTAGTTTACTTACTACTACTATATAATACTTACTACTACAGTATCCACCGTCTGTTACTTGTAGTTTACTTACTACTACTATATAATACTTACTACTACAGTATCCACCGTCTGTTACTTGTAGTTTACTTACTGCTACTATATAATACTTACTACTACAGTATCCACCGTCTGTTACTTGTAGTTTACTTACTACTACTATATAATACTTACTACTACAGTATCCACCGTCTGTTCCGTAGAAAACGTAGTACTGTTTTACTTTATAATTTCCTGTCTTCTCTCTCTCTCTTATTTCTTATTATCCTGTGGTAACTCCCTTCCTTGCTACTTATTATAGTGCCTCACAACCGAGATCTCGTTACCGCGCATGTTCCCCCTGCGCGCTGTCAACTACCTGACCTCTCAACTTCCATCACCTCAATTTTTAGCTCATTAATTAGCCGGCACTTCCTCAGAATCAGCTCTTACAAATTGTATGTATTTGTGGCTGTGGGTGAAGTAGTATGGCTTTATCCGATAGTAAATTACTTGATGATATCTAATTATAGCGGTTGGACCTATTTGCACCGAGCGTGTACACAGCCCTGGAGCTGGCCTCTCTTGTCGATGGGTACTGTGTGATCAACACCGCCAACAAAACCACCAGGATCACTCCCGACTCTGAAGGTTTGTCATTTTATTTTACTCGACAGCTTTTCTGCGTTGTGGTTCTCCTTTTGTAGCATTCTGTTCTCCTAGTTTGAACTTTGAAGGCCGGAATTTTATTGCAATCGGTCTCAGGGCCTTCGCCCTTCAGTTCGTAATTGGAGTTTTGTAACTTTATCTCTAGCATTTAAACTGCTACTTGAGGTTAGAAAGCGGATGCTAGAGTCGGTTTTCTAATCCTCTAACTTGCAATATCAAACGTTTCAAATTTGTCAGATACTTTGTCGATTGGACAAGGTTCATAAACTGAACTTGTGTTTCAGGAGCTCCTAGGTCGTTAAGAACGAAAGGTATCCATCCCCGGACCCACTCCATGTACAGCACAAACAGGTAAAGAAAGCATCAATTTGTTGCTACAGCACGGATGTACCTTAATATAATATATTACAATAAGACGAGAATGACGTTGCGTAATTTTAGGATCGACACTAAAAATTATTAAAACGCCTTTTTTTGCGAATGAAAATTTGTCGACTTCTGGCAAGAATTTTCCCGGAGTTTTACAATTTACACATTTAATCGTCCTACTTCAAAAGGTATATATTCATACACCCGGAAATCTCTTGATAATTTCGACATTTTAAACAAATGTTATGATCTCTTTCGATTTATTAACAAAACAATCCTATTTTTGCTTGTCAACAAAATACGACTTCTCAATACTTCATATTTGCTCATTCTTCGTCATTTCGTTACGAACTAAAGTTTTTTCCATAAAATAAATTAGTCATTCTTTGCATTTGACTATGTTTTGTATTTGATGCCGCATAATTCTCATCTTAGCCCCGTATTCACATGCCGATCCCTCGATTATTATCATTATATCGATGCGATATATTCTATATATTATAAAATATACAGGATTAAAGATATGCTATTTTTAATGATTATATCGAACGACCATAAGTGGCAAGAGTCAAGACACTGACAATTGACAATTGACATTATCACATCATTATATCACGTAGTATTGACCAAGTTGCAGCCACGAGTGGGCTCTACAAACCTCCCAAATACGCAGCAGCTCAACTAAATCCACGATTAGCAGTTAGTGGAGCTGCAGATGATAGTATCTCGTATCTAGATACGATATCTCCCCCTCAAGCTAGTCTAGTGAGAGGGGACCTGCCTCCTGTCCGCTACCCCGTACACAAACAGCTCTCCACTGCTGAAGACGTTACAACTGACCCGGCCTTAAACCCTGTCCTGTCACCGACTGAGGAAATCCCCCGCTCTAACTCTAAATCTCCAATCTCTTTTGTTGCAAACCATTTCTCTAGGATACTATCTAGACCACCGTCGGGGGAGAGTAGATTGTCGACAGGGAGTAGTGGAGCTGGGAGTAGTGGAACTGGGACTATTTTCTACACGGGGAATCAGCACGTTTCATCTGTCCTCTCGGGCGTGGTTCCTGTGGGGTTCAATCCGAGTGATGAGAGGCTATTATCCAGTGATTATAGAGATAGCAAATACAGACAGGACCCTGACAGCGGACATGACCCTGACAGTAGACATGACAGTGGAACACCATCACGTGACAGTGGAACACCATCACGTGACAGTGGAACAACATCACGTGACAGTGGAACACCATCACGTGACAGTGGAACACCATCACGTGACAGTGGAACAACATCACGTGACAGTGGAACAACATCCCGTCTTGAGTTAGTAACCCGAGTATGTGACATCGTGCGTGTTTGGCTGCCCCATTTATGTTTCCGTTTAACAATGCAGCACTGAGCCCTATGAAACGACCGATTTAGCTTATAATCATGATTAGCAATAATGAATAATCTTGACATGCTGCATGTATCGAATTTGTCTGAAGTTAGTATTTTAGAGCTGTAGAGCCTAGAGGTAAGCCGGGGGGGTCCAATGGCATAAAATGGAGAATTACCCAAAGGATTTTCCATTTACCCCGTAAAAAGGTCTCCATTTTATGCCAACAAATTTTGAAACCCAATTTTTTACAAAATTTCGACCTTAGAAACGAAATCATCTAGAATCTAAATATCATTTTGGACGCCAAAAAAGACAATTTTTGCCCTTTTTATCATATTTCGACCTTCAACAATTTTCTACCTTGAACACGAAGGGTACCTTTTTTTGTTTTCGAATATCATAAATTTGGTACTAAACGGTTTGTCTTGCCAGGCTGATAACAATCTGATAAGCACGGTCCTAGTGAAATTGAGTGGACTTTGAATATAAAAACTAACTGTCGAATTGATATTGGCCTTTAGTAGCCTGGTATGAGCCTCTAGTAGCTTAGTATGAGATTTGACTAGCCTGGTATGCGTAAATAGACATGTTAGGATGTCCAACTCAGTGTCCAAGTAAGGTGCCACATACGTAATTCGATGACCAAAATTCGTGGCAGAAAATGGAGGATTACCCTAAGCTTAAATTCCCATATTCTTCATAGAAAGAGTCTCCATTTTATGCCATTGATTCCCCCCCCCCCCCCCTCCCCACTGTCACCCGGTAAGCCTTGCCAAGTTTCTAATTTCATCCAAATACTCTTTATTTAGCGGAACTAAACTGGTCGGATAAGTGTGACTATTTTCTGGCGTCGGTTGGATTCATTTTTATAGCTGAGAAGCCCCTGTTCTGCAAAGGAGCACCGCAGTTCATGTGAAGTACACATCAGCACAACATATGTACTCAGCATTCAACAGCAGCACCGTGTACACCTCTCTTGTCATCACCATCTTAATTGTGGTTAAGCAGACCCTCCATCACACTCAATTTAAACAAAACCCGCTCTGTTTAACTGCCAGTAGTGCGGGGTTTAACGCTACAACCGACACAAGGAAACATTGCACATAGTGACATCATCCTCATCAGCTAACGTTACACATTCTCCTGTACATAAGTAATGTGTTGTTATAACTAGATCTAATATTATATCTGGCTTCATCTCCTCCTCGCTCAACGGGTTTCTGACAATACCTGACTGTAGGGCAACCCGCTGTAAACCCGACAATACTTGTACCCCGACTGTAGGGCAACCCGCTGTAAACACGACAATACTTGTACCCCGACTGCAGGTCAACCCGCTGTAAACACGACAATACTTGTACCCCGACTGTAGGGCAACCCGCTGTAAACACGACAATACTTGTACCCCGACTGTAGGTCAACCCGCTGTAAACACGACAATACTTGTACCCCGACGCGACTGTAGGTTAACCCGCTGTAAACACGACAATACTTGTACCCCGACTGTAGGTCAACCCGCTGAAGGCACGACAATACTTGTACCTCGACTGTAGATCAACCCGCTGTAAACACGACAATGCTTGTACCCCGACTGTAGGGTAACCCGCTGAAGGCACGACAATACTTGTACCCCGACTGTAGGGCAACCCGCTGTAAACCTGACAATACTTGTACCCCGACTGTAGGGCAACCCGCTGTAAACACGACAATACTTGTACCCCGACTGTAGGTTAACCCGCTGTAAACACGACAATACTTGTACCCCGACTGTAGGGCAACCCGCTGTAAACCCGACAATGCTTGTACCCCGACTGTAGGGCAACCCGCTGTAAACCCGACAATGCTTGTACCCCGACTGTAGGGCAACCCGCTGTAAACCCGACAATACTTGTACTTCGACTGTAGGGCAACCCGCTGTAAACCTGACAATACTTGTACCCCGACTGTAGGGCAACCCGCTGTAAACCCGACAATACTTGTACTTCGACTGTAGGGCAACCCGCTGTAAACCTGACAATACTTGTACCCCGACAACCATTATAACCCGATGGAACCTGACAGTATTTATGGGAGTATGCCATTATACCTGATGATGAGCTCTAACTATTTTCAGGCACAGTTTCAATGGTCCTGGATCTCTCGGCCTGGGTATTCCTAACGATCTTCAGAGACGCAGTTGTTTTGAGATGTCCGGATATGATAATTCTGATATGGGCCCTACCTTCGTAGAGGAGGAGCCTGACTATGCTCAAGCAGGTATGTGGTCTGGAATGGGTTCTGCATACTTGTATTTTTAAATTTTTGTTTCAATGATTTCGAATAACTTGTGTTAATTGCCTCAGATTTATTTTATTTGTCAAAATGTACATCATATTCAAGTTCATCATACCAGCTCTAAATAGGATAATGCTTCGTGTAACGCTGAAAATCAAAATCATTTCCATGTAAATATACTGTAATTGATTATTTAGATAATCTAAGCTATGAACCGATGACACGGCTGAGTTTCTCCCGCTTGCACCTGCACCCCATCCCTCAAAACAAACAAATCATCAGAAAGTAAGACATTATTTACAGTTCACACTTCACTCATTCTCATTTCAACAGATACATCAAGCCTATATCTGCATTCACTACTATTTCTATTGCTAGAAGTATTTTACGAATGGTAAACGGCATTTCAATTTCAGAAAACGATGATTGGTTCCTTCCTCCGGAGGATCTAAAGATATTTGATGCAATTGGAGAAGGCCAATTTGGCACAGTCTTTAAAGGGCACCTGAACATGCCGGACTGCGCAGTGCACACTGAAGTGGCGGTTAAGACCCTCAAAGAGGAGTCCTCAGTAACCGACCGGGACAAGTTCCTTGCTGAAGCGTTCACTATGAAGAAGTTTGATCACCCTCATATTATAACTCTGCTGGGGGTGGTGCAGGAGGATAGGAAACCACCCTGGATTGTTATGGAGTTAGCTGAGCATGGTGAACTAAGGGGTGCGTATTTGTAGGATAAGAAATACTAGGTCCAAAAACAGGCTTTTCACATCTTTAATAGAATTGTACTATCTAGGCAGAATTTCTGATATATACTCAACTTAAGGATCGTTCATATATTCTGAAAACAGATATTGGATTTTTAAGCTCCCTACCCCGTCCCACCCCTCCTCTCTGCGATTTTTTTCTTTCACACAGCGTAAGCATTTCCAAACCCCTCCTCCTTAGGTTGCTTACGTAATATGTAACCAACCCCTTTCTGCTTTTTTTCCCATTTATGTTACAAAAGCTACGTTGTCCAAGTAAGGTATTATAATATGGAATCATCCCCGACTGTGTGTTGTATGAGGCACCCAGTTTGTCAATAAACTATTCCTCTTCTAAAACTACTTGGTATTGTTCTCATATAACGTCAGCATGATTTTGAAGATTTTATTCCCACACCTGCACCCCCTCAGCTCCGTGTAAAAATTAGCGACATCATTTCGGCCGAAATCGAAACCCCCTCCCCCCTAGGATGCTGACGTAATATGTGAACGATCCCTAAGTAATGCTCCGTACACCAGGGTACCTACACAGACGGGGTAGTGTTCTGACGATCAACACCCTCCTCATGTTCACGGAGCAGGTCTGCAACGCTCTAGACTACCTGGAGTGCGAACACAAGGTGGTTCACCGTGACGTCGCCGCACGCAACGTCCTCGTCTTCTCCGACGTGGTTGTGAAACTCGCTGATTTCGGTCTGTCCCGGCATATAGAAGAGGAGGGATATTATAAAGGTAAAGTGTAATCTAAGTGTGTACGTGTGCTGGATTTAATTGAAGTACTCAGCAGTCCAGGTATACTGCTGTGTAGCGCCAGATGGAAGCTGTCAGTACGCCTATCAATTATGAGCTTGCATATGTCAACGACATCCCGCGTTCCCTGGCAAACCAGTGGATTAGAGTTTTGTAAATTTTTCCCGCGAAATGTGGCATACTTTCTTTGTGTGCTTGAAAATTTGTTAAAGACAAGACACTGTAAATATTTGGAAGCGTGATAGACGATATAAAGTCGCTTAAATCGTCTATTTTACAGCATCTAAAGGAAGACTCCCGATAAAATGGATGGCTCCAGAGTCAATAAACTTCAGAAGGTTTACCAATGCTAGTGATGTGTGGATGTTTGGTGTTTGTATCTGGGAGCTTTTTATGCTCGGAGTGAAACCTTTCCGAGGTTAGTTCTTATCAACCATCACTGTGTCACTTTGGAAATTTGTTGAATTTACAAAGGTCATTCTACATCACTAAAAATTATCAAATGTGTTCCAAAACATTTGGCCGGTGTTTCAACAGGAATTATGACACGTCTACATATTATATCAATGATATTTTATGAGAAATATGTTTGCAGGAATAAAGAACTCTGAGGTTATCAGTATGATAGAATCTGGACACAGACTAGAACTTCCAGCCAAAATGCCGGGTCCACTCTACCAACTAGTTTACAAGTGTTGGAGCTACGAACCAAGCGACCGACCTACCTTTAAGAACATGACAACCTCAATCAGGCAGCTGATGGAAAGTTACAGCGACGGTGGGTCTGGTGCAGGTAACGCGCTCTTACCGCCAACTAAACCACCACGACCCCCTCACTTCCCGACCAGCTCATCAAGAGACAGCTTCAGATCGACAGGAGCCACAACAGTCAGCACTATCAGTGACAACGTGAGACAGGAGGACCTAGCCAGGAACCTGGAGGAACAGAGAGCCCAGTCCCGAGCTGATGGGTTGTGGCTGAGAAAACAGGAGAGTGAAAGTAGGCATTCCTTTATCCCTCCTCAAGAACCTATCCCGCAGTTAGGTAGCGCTCCGAGCAATGTCTCTGTTGTTAAGAAGAGGATAGCACTCCCTCTGAACATCGACCGTACTCATGACGAGGTCTACAAGGGCTTGACGGCTCTAGTGCAGAAAATAATGGACATTAACCAAATCTTGGAAAAGGTACACCAATATTTAGTGCTGATAGATAAACATAAGAATTATTGAGTAGGATCAGTATAGATTGTAGCAATATTTCTAGTACATCAAACAGCTTATGAAACTGATCTACTGTTCCTCTGCTGTTAACATCTGCCTCAGATCTCAACCGTCTCTCCAACAGGTACGAGCAGAAGATTTCTCGGGTCTGATCGGTCAAGTTGGGACGAACCTGCGGAAACTGCTGCAAGCCACTGATACCGAGTGTTCCAGAATATCGGAACAGGGCTCTATTGACAGATCACAGGTCGGTTAAACCTCGCTGTTGTCGTGAAAAGTCCATTCTCTCCAGCTCACTTGTAGAGTTCTAGCACTAGGCTTTCCGATAAAATTTATTTTACATAGGAGGTTTTTTTTGAGTTGCCAAATGTATGACACTTATGAATGAGGTGTATCGCAGGTGGATATGGCTCAGAAAGTGATGATAGCTGATATGAAAGACGTCATCGAATCTATGCATGATGCAAAGCAGCTTTCTTCTACCACTAGAGACCAACAATATCGACAGGTAATATCCCATATTTTGTATCCTGTCTGTCAATAATTAACTTATTTTTAGAGTCCATCTGACATTAGGATACGAAATATGCAAATAAAGTCATTTCTTCAAGAATTACATCCTGTTATTATTAACATATCAAAATAACCATTACGATCAAACATTGGCAAAGGTTAGCATTGGTTATACCAAACTATTCTTCGAAAATATCTTAATATAATATAATCGTACGGTCACACAACACATACCTACTTTCAACAGAGACTGCTGCTGAAAGTAACCACGTTAGCTAAAGACGGCAAATCGCTCCTTCAAGCGGTGGATTACTGTCGTTCTCAAAGCATGCTCTACTCTCCTAACATCGACCGGTCTGCTTCTGTCGGCGACTCACCGATATTCAAGGTAGAATGTTTTATATTTTTTGGGGGAAAAATGTTTAGCAATTCTAGAAGTAGAGTAGGTATTTTGTGTTTAATCCTTGAATGTGTCAATAAATGTATGCCTCTAGGCCCTGGATGCTAGTGTTGCGTGTTTATCTAAGAAGCTCGTTAGTATATTGATTTTGAGATTCGAAAAATCATCGAAAATAGTAATTGTAAAGCACGTCATCTTTACCAATGAATTACCGATCAATATTTTAATTGTAGCATGAAGAGTTATAAAGAGCTGTTGTCAAGTCTTTTTTGTTCTTTTCGGTTTGATAACTGATAAAATAGTGTATAATAGAACAGGAATTAATGGAACCAAACTGTTTGTTTCATCATATTTGTTTGGTCAGTTATCAAGGTTAAAAGTATTTAAAACAATAGCAAAAGGTTTCTGAATAACACTGAATCATTAGATTGAAAAAAACTTCTATTAAGAATCGTATACAAAGCATGTAACTTCGAATGAACTTTAAATGTTAAATCTGAAATGATCCTCTGATTGGAAGCACGACGTTTAATGGTGTTATCTAGAGTATAACTAGGGAGGAGAGACACTCGGAATTGGACCCACCCTCGGAGTCAGCGGCCCAACCCTCAGAGTCGGACCAACAGCGAGGAACCTGATGGGGGTCCAGGATCGCTGCGCTTACTCTGTCGACCTCTCCCGCATCAGGTACCATATTCCATATAATTACAAACATCATCTTTCTTTTTAAGTATCGAAAACGTTTTTTAAAGATTTTTCCGAACAAGTTTTACATCATTTAGAAGGCTATTTATCTTCATTTTGTTTTAATGGTTTTCCTCATCACTTTCCTGTTACCTAGTTACCTGTGGCTAACTGACCATGTCTGCTTCAGAACGGAGGGGTTGCTGGATGGGCAAGAGGCGATGTTAAGAAGACAGTCTGCTCCTCCGCCCACTGAAGGAGCGTCCTCCTAGTGACACGTGGGCGCCTCTTTTTACTCTCCAAGGAATGTATCGAAAAACTGTGTAATAGTCGGTTGATTTTATTGCTTTTATCTCCAAATTATGATCATGATTGAATAATGAACGTTGAACTGCGTGGATTAGAGACGACGTTTTTACGGTTGAATTTATGAAAATCGATCTCTACGTTAAAAGGGTCTTTCTTATCTTAATTATGATAATCCTTGCCTGAGTTGGTGTGTTTTTAAATCCATAATCCATATTGACGCTTGTTGTTAGGTTGATTTGAGCATCCACTGTTTGATCATAGAATTTTCAGTTAATTGTCTGAAATTTTATCATGTTTTATGTCAGTCCCAATGATTAATAGTACAGGTTTCTGTAAGGAAGTAAATACATAAAAAAAGGTATTTTTACCGATAGTTCACCTGTTTCAGCAAAACTTGTTAAAGATAGGGAATATTTTAACCCGAAACTTAATACATTTTGTCTTTTCATTGACTTTACATTTCGTGACTAGACTGACGTTTCTTTGAACAATTTTAGAATTATTTTACGTTTTATAAATCAATTCTGTTCTGCAAGAAAGGTACTCGATGAACAGCAACTCTGATCAAAATCGACCCAGCGAATGTAAAAGTACCATGATTCTTAATAATTGAAGTGGAGTTGCTTGTTTGATCAAGTTTTGGTTGGAGAGTTTGATTTTGCGGCATGCTTGTTTCCATGGCTACTATAATAACTTAGTTTGATATCCGTCTCTGCGAGTATTTGTTGTATTTACCTATGCCAATTTGTTAAGATTTTGTTTTGCAAATTTATTTAAACTTATTTTTATTTTTCATAAGCTTGAGAACTTACACCAAATCTAAATGGTATTTTAATTGGTTATATTACTCTACGATGTGAAGAAACCTGTTCATCACCATAATTATTAAGCTACTTCTTAAAGAAACTAAACCAGCAATCAGCATACAGGGGGGGTACCAATGGCATAAATGGCATAATGGAGAATTGGCCAATAAAAATTTCCATTTATGCCATAAAACGTATGCCATTTATGCCATTTTTGATATGATACTTTTCTATTTTCTTTATTTGTCATATTAATCTTTAACGATCATTCCAAGCGTTATAAAGCATGAAACATGTCTCTTATTCAAGTACTAATAATAATTTGCGAATTTAAAGTCAAATATGAAGACCTAAATTCATGGCATAAATGGAGAATTGGCCAATAAAAATTTCCATTTATGCCATAAAACGTATGCCATTTATGCCATTTTATGCCATTGGTACCCCCCCAGCATACACCTAACACATATTATGTATCTATTACTACTAGAAATAAATAATAATAATAATAAATTGAAATTTAATAACACCGCTTTTAAGATAAAACTTATACTCACTACTCAGCAGTGTTTGATAGTAGTAGTACATAGTAAATAGATAATACATGAAATCAACGTATTTAAATTTTATTTACGCTAGTTTGTAGTTGCTCTATCATAATCAAGTGTATTAATGGGACACTGCTACAAATTTGCGTCAAAAACTTTCCAAATTAATTGTGAGCTAGGAAATTTGTTACCATTACACAAAATACACATAATACCATCGAGAAACACTAAATTAAAATGGGCACACCCCAGTCTAGTTATTCATATTGGTTAGGTTAAGGGTTAGGCAATCAAATTAGTAACGGGTGATATTTGAATTGGGATAGATCGACATGGGCTCGCTATACTAATAGTGGCGCCCATTACCGTCGTACCACTGCTCCGATCCACAATCCCTAGGGTCACGCGTATGTCATATATGCATGTTATTGTTACAGCTGCTACAAGCTAGACTAGGCATATTCTACTTCTTATCTAGAGCCTTGCGTTTGCTTATTGCTAGATGATACAAATGCAAATGCTTGTATCACGTCGCGTGACCCCCATTGTCGTTTCACTAGTAGTAGTAGTAGTAATAGTATCGTGGTGAAAGCCACGATACAGCCGTGCACTCGACAAACAAATTGAAATACAATGTTTAAAGGAATTAATTTCGAGGGTTGATTCATGATGTTAATCCTTCGCATCTCGCCGCTTTGCACAACCACCATATGTGGTTGCGAGAAGCATTATTGGATGCGCGCGCGGCCCAGTAGTTCATCGTGCTACAATTTCGAGGGAACCTGATCGTAGCGCTGCTTGTATCACGTTGCGACCCCCATCGTCGTTACGACGATACAGGGGGAGCCGCGCACTTCGTGCGCGGCGGGTCATACAACGTATGACAAAGCGCTGCATAGTGCATGGTCGCCTTTCGTCCGCTACGCGAGCACCCCACGGATATGATGTGTAGACATTTATCATTTATAGTGGGGCCAAGAAAACTTTACTGGCTAGGCTCTCTTTGTGGATTGTGGAAGTACTTTTTGTTTTCAAAATGTTAGTATCGCATTAAATCATTAATTAACGTTTCCTCACCAGAGTCAAGGGTACTTTGCGAAGCAAAGCATCGATGATCTAGTACGAAGCAAAAATGATTATGATAATTCAATGCGAAGCAAAAATAGTTTTTACAGCTGGGGTTGTCCATTGTTAATGAATATGAACTAGCTCGACGCGCGCTACTTCGTAGCACTTGCCTTGGGCCAACATTTGCATTTCGAGAAGAAATTAGCGGCGCGCGCTACTTCGACGAAATTTAAACGAGTAACATCCGACAAACCTGGAGACCGGCCAGCCATGCTATAATGTTCATAAACATAAAATAGAGATTCAGCGGAATGACAGGCTGAGCGCCGCCCAGTAATTGTTGACTCAGCCAATTGAATAGTGATCATAATCCAATTAACGTGATTGAATGAAAAAAAAGCAAAAAGTTGAAAATTAAGGGATCCTACTAGCTGCTTGTAACGATTTCCTTCATTGCACTCAGTGATGATTCCGATAATTACCATATGCTCTGTTTGTATGACCCGCCGCGTTGCTCTTGTGAAACAAGCGCGCTGGCCGCAGTGGCGTGAAAGCACATGGTTAGGTGTAACAAAAGCATATGCTGAAACCCTAACCCTAACGAGAAAATAAACTAACTTCCTTATACGGCCGGTCATATCACGTGATCGAGACAGTTTTTCGCCAATATCTCGTCAGGGGAGCATTTTAATCCTATGTCATGGGGGGGGGGGGGGGGGGGGGGTGATTCGGAATCAGCGTCCGAAAATACATTGTAGTTGGTTGCAACTGTCAGGGGCATTTTTAGAACAATCTCGAAGATGTACAGACCCAGAAGAAACAAATAAAACTGTCTCTCAAGCAATCAAGGATTTGAGGATACTTACCGAGACTTGTCCAATATGCGATCTTAAAGTGACCGAGTATGACGATGGCTTGCTGTGCGAAAGATGTCACTCATGGCATCATAGGACTTGCTTGAAGATCAGTAAAACAGAATACAAGAAACTGAGTGAAAGCGATGATGAATATCTATGTACAAGATGCCTAAAAACAACATCAAAGGACGCTGATACTGTGGTAGAAGAGGCAAAGGAGTGCTGTTTCCCAAATCATGAAAATGTAAGTGATCCATCTCGATTGGCTGGTCACACACATCTAAATTAAATTACCCTAGGCTACTGTTTTCCAAGTCTTGTCCTGTGAGTAAAGTATGTGTGAGAAAGTTTTAATAAAATGAATGTATATTTTTGAATTTTTAAATTTTAATTTGAGAATGAAGTATAAAGAAATTTTTAATTAGCATTGTATAGTTTAAAATATTTATAGCTTATTATAACCATTGATAAATTTAAGCCATAATCTTTCGCCTGCTCTCCAATATCCACCTTGAAGGTGCATTTTTAATCCTTGAACTACACAATATAAAATCAAACATGTTTTAGTGTAGACTTTTTGTCACAACAAGACTGCAACCTAGATAGTAAAAACTTTAAACAGAACCCCTAATGTCTGCTAACAATTTTTCTTATAGTCCTAATTTGAGCCTTGTCTCTAAAAACTTAACTGAACTAGCGTTTTGGTGTGTGCAAAAGCTCCCAGGCACGCGCATTCCTTGCCCCGTTAGTAACCTGTCCTTCCAAAACCAAACAAGCAGTCAAGGACAAAAAGTCATAAACCAAATGGGCATTATATTTTATGAATTGTTTTACATCTTTTATTCTGTAAAATGTGCTAAAATTAAATTTCTTGTTTCATTGAATTTCTTGTTTCATTGATTGAAATTAGGACCATGGAATAGTTGGGAAGTTCTGACAAAATGTGAGGAAATATATGGTGTTACAGTTAAATGGAGAAGAAACATATTTTTGCTTCCCTCAGGGGCGGCAGGAAAAGCATTCATCGAAGAAATGACTAAAGTGGCCAACAATTTCACATCAGGCAGTGCTATGGAATCAGTGACCATCACCCTTTTGATGATAATGCCATCACTGCTGTTACAGAAACCCTCAAAGAGGTCCAAAGCAAAGGAACACACTGAAGTGCTGAAGAGAAGACTTGTTTTGTGGCAGGCAGGTAAGCTAGAAGAGCTGCTGCGAGAAGGACAGGAGATTCAGAGGAGATTGGGAAAGGGGAAGCATAAACATGGCCATGTTGAGAGAGTCTTCACTCGACTTATGATGAAAGGAAAAGTCAGTGCAGCAATGCGGTGGATTGGTGAAAATGCCACCGGAATTCTTGAACCTACTCCAGATGTGATTAAAGTGCTGAAAGAGAAGCATCCCAAGGCATCACCTGCATCAAAGGGAAGCTGTCTGAGTGGACCAGTGAGGAGGGTAGAGCCGGTAATATGTGACAGTATTGACGGGGAATCGATAAGACAAGCAGCAAAGAGAGTACAGGGTGCTGCAGGGCCTTCAGGGATGGATTCGGATGCATGGAAGAGACTACTGTGTTCTAAACAGTTTGGTAAGAAGTGTGAGGATCTATGTAATGCCATAGCAGGGATAGCAAAGAAACTATGTGTCCGGAATTTGGATCCAACGCTGTTGACCTCATTGACAGCATGTCGACTTGTCCCCCTGGATAAAAAGCCTGGAGTCAGGCCAGTAGGCATAGGTGAAGTCTTAAGAAGGATAATAGGGAAAACAGTAATGACCCTCCTACAGAAAGATCTGGTTGGAGCCACTGCTCCTATTCAAGTTTGTGCTGGTCTTCAGGGAGGAGTGGAAGCAGCAGTCCATGCTGCAAGGGACTGCTTTGAAGACCCTGAAACTGAAGCTATCATCTTAGTGGATGCAGAGAATGCATTCAACTTGCTGAACCGAGAGGCCGCTCTCAACAACATGAACATCGTTTGTCCAGAAGTTGCTACTTACATTATGAACACCTACAGAATGCCTGCTAGACTGTTCATTGCAGGAGGAGATGAGCATCTTTTTAGTGAAGAAGGGACCACACAAGGTGATCCACCTGCCATGGGATTTTATGCCTGTGGTACAATACCATTGATTGATGCAGGAAACATTGAGAGAAAGGTGACTCAGATCTGGTATGCTGATGACTCTGCTGCTGTATGGGGGAAAACTGGAGGAAATAAGGAAGTGGTGGGATAACCTCTGTATTAAAGGACCACTCTTTGGATACAACCCTAAATCTTCTAAAACATGGGTGATAGTCAAGCCTGAGCACGAAGAGAAGGCAAGAACCCTATTCCCAGATGTCAATGTGACAAGCATTGGTCGACGATATCTGGGCAGCTTCATCGGAACAGACCAAGGAAAAGAGGCTTTCATTGAGGAAAAAGTTCATGAATGGTGTCGTGATCTTAAACAGTTAAGTGATATAGCATCAAGAGAACCTCAAATAGCATACAGTGCATACATTAGTAAAAGATGGAACTATGTGTGCAGAGCTACCCCAGGAGTTGCAGATAGGCTCACTCCTCTAGAACAAGTAACACGTGATGAGTTTATCCCAGCTATCATTAACAGGCTGTTTAGCTGCACTGATGAACTAAGGAACATAATGGCTCTACCACCAAGATATGGAGGATTGGGTATACCAGTTATGATGGAAATGGCAGACCGAGAGTACAATTTCTCATGTAGAGCCACAAAACCCCTTAAAGAAGCTATTCTCAAGCAGATAGAGAACTACACAGAGGACTGGAGACACAGTAAAGGAGTGAAAACTGAGATAACGACTGAACGAAATCTCTTTTATCGACAAAAACAAGCAGAAATACGCCAGGAGCTCGAATCAACACCACTGGCAAATTTGATGTTCCAACTAGCAGCTGAGAAAGGGCAAGTGCTTGGTTAACAGCGCTACCTTTAAAAGAGTATGGATATCTGATGAATAAACAACAGTTCTCAGATGCAATAGCTCTCAGATACAACCTGAACTTAAAGGACTGCCCTAAAACATGTACATGTGGCCAGAAATACTCAGCAAACCATGCGCTCATCTGCAAACTTGGTGGATATGTGTCACTGCGGCACAACTCGCTGAGAGACACCTTTGCAGAACTAATGAGAACTGTGAAATGCAAGGATGTGCAGACTGAGCCAGTTCTTCTTCCAGTTGATGGTCTAGAGTTACCAAAGGGAACAGTCCTAGGAGACCAAGCCAGGCTGGACATTTCTGCAAGATCGATTTGGAATGCTTCAGAGAGGGCATTTTTTGATGTAAGGGTATTTCATGCCCCAGCCCCCTCCAATGCAAGCAAACCGATACCGGCAATGTACCTGTCCCATGAAAATGAGAAAAAGCGATGTTACAATGCAAGGGTTCTTGAAGTGGAGAAAGGAAGCTTCACACCTTTAGTGTTCTCGACTTCTGGTGGAATGGGTGGTGAAGCTGAGAGACTGGTCAAGAAGCTGGCCAGTAAGATGGAGTACCACACTGGTCAGAGGTACTCAGACGCTGTAGGATACATAAGAATGCGCCTTCGCTTTGAAATCCTTAGAACAACAGTGATTTCTCTCCGTGGAGACAGAGGTGCGAGAAAAAACATTGTTGATATAAACAGTCTAGATCTTAACTTGGAGCCACAAGGCCAAGGGTAATTTTTGATTGTTAAGGGAATTTTTTGAATTCTTAAAGGGTTGATTTTATATAGGGTCATTGCTATATTATGTGTATATTGTTTGAATAATTTTATAATATTGAACAATCTCGAAGATCGACTGAAGAGTGATTTAGCACGTTAACTATGTTTTCGCTACTGCGACCATCTGGTTTGGTTTCTTGTTGTTGTCTTCCCGAAGTTCAGGACCATGAAATGGATTCGTTCGGCCCGGTAAACATTCGTTCGGCCCTTTTTTACTTCAAATACACGGTTTTACTTCCTCTCTATTTGCAGTCAGAAGGGATTGCTCATATATTCTTACACAAGACATAAGAGTTGTGCCACATTTTCGAAGCTGCTAAGTTAATAGTTAATATAAATAGTTAATAGTACTGTTTACAGTACACTACAATGTAGATTTACTGAAGGGATATCCCAGTAAGACTTTTAGGAGGTACCCCTCCTCATTTGACCATCAATCAAGTTTTCTATCGTTCGGCTGAGTCAAGCAAGGAGATTGCATAAATCCAATGGATCCTTAGCTACTCCCTAGACTAAGTGACACTGGAATTCAAACCCTGGACCTTCTGTGCAGAAGGCGGCTGCTCTAATCACTAGGCCACCGAAAAAATCCTACACAGTATGCTCATTGCTCTTTGACCGACATGGACTTCACACACAACACATTCCTTTCCACCTCTCTGTCACTCCATCTCTCCCTCTTATGTCCATCTTTCTCACACATAATGCGATGATATTTTGTAGACAAAATACTTTACTTTTACTTTACTTCACACCTTTTTCTTACGCAGTCTTTTTCTTTTTGATTCAGGATCACCAGCAACAAACCTGACAACGTTTCTCGGCTTTCGATCGCAATGTAGCTTCCTTGTCAGGCACCCCAGTGGCCAGCAGTCCAACAAATGAACCACTATCTGATCCATAATTACTTGAAGATACCTGTTAGAGCTTGCAATTTGCAACAAGATAAAGTGAATAGCTCCAAGAGTCTAGATTTCCTGTGAAATTTCATAACCTTATACCTTAGCAGACCTCAAGAAAATAACCTGGTCTAATCTAAGTCGTGTTTCCACTGCACTATTTTCACTAGAAAACTTAAGTTGTCTTCGAAATCAGATAAAACCACCCAATCCCAAACTCGGAATTATGTAAAAAATGCTTTACTGAAACTTGTTTCACTTCTTCTTTAACAAAAGCTTTTGTGATCCAAAGGGAAACATTGTAATAAATTCAGAATGTTAAGGATCACATGAGGTACGTATTGTCTTGCTGGAAAGTTGCTAGTTCTACATTTTACAGCTTACACACTAACCTGATCGGCATTGATTATTAATGTTAATGTTGTTAATAAAGATTTGTCCTATAATTTGCTTACTTGCTTTAGCGAGCATCACTGATCGAGAGGAAATTTGCCTCCTCCACAGGGATCAGGAAAACAAACTTTTTTTTAAATTTCTGTTTTACTTGTGGCTAGGTGGCAGAGTGGTTGGGGCTTCCGCCCGTAAATCGGAATTTAGTAGCCAAATTTCGTTGTTATACTGTTGTTACACTGTTATCTGTCAACTGAATTTAACTCTACTAATGTAAATTTCAGGTAGAATTGCATTTAAATGGATGATGTAGAAGCCCCCGTTCAGGATGATGACCTTACTTTGCCTAGATCAGCAGTTAATAAAATGGTAAAAGAGCTTCTTCCTCATCTTCGTGTGGCAAACAACTCAAGAGAACTTATACTTAATTGTTGTACTGAGTTCATACTTTTATTATCATCACAATCTAATGAAATTTGTGAGAAGCGCCAAAAGAAAACTATTTTGCCAGAGCATGTTATTGAAGCTCTACAGGAACTTGGTTTTAGTACTTATGTACCTGAAGTAAAGGATGTCTTGTCAAACTTTAAAACCCAACTCTCTCACCGTAACAAAGGGAGTAAAAAACTAGATAAAATGGGGCTCTCTGAGGAGGAACTGATTCGGCAACAACAAGCTTTATTTGCTGAGGCTAGACAGCAACATTATGAATATGAACTTGCTCAACACAATGCTGCTATGGAAGCAGCTGCAGCCACTGCTGCTGGGACTCTTGCTTTGCAAACTCAGACTTCAGTGACACCAAGTAATAACAGTGCTGACGATGATGACGATTATGATTAAATCAGAGGTTCTTCGATTTGTCATTTTGTTGCAAATGGTTTTCAAGTTATTCAAAGCAATCAGATACTAACATATCATTCTGTAGGCCTTGGTAGACATTTCCTGCTTGGAGTGTTAGGTGACATTTCATGACACCATCCATCCAGTTGGCCTATAGTTTGCCTGCATAATAGTTGTGAGGCAGGAGACCAAAATTTTTAACTTAAACTTATTATACAATGTTGACCTGATGGACAACCTTTAACCTAGGTATGAAATAAGAAACATATTTTAGTTGTTGGAAAGGATTCTAATATAAAGCTGTTTTAATAAATGACTTATTTGTATGTTTATTTGATCCAAATTCGATATTTTGTTGCATTCTTTCTAATACTTGCAATTCATCTCCTTTTTTGCATGAGTTGCTTATAGCTTGAAATTTATAAATTTAATACATGCTTTCTAGTTCATGTTTGTTGTATAATATATTTAAACATCCAATAAAACAGTTAGTTTCTGCTAAAATGAGGACTAACTTTTTCCTAGCTCAGGTTAATGGAGGGAACCAAGCAAAAGCTCTTAAGCAACCTTTTAAGAAGGGATGACTCAATAATAGGGATAATCGTAGCTGAGAAAGATTCAGCAATTCCTGTTTTATCTTCATACAGTCCTTCTTGCCCTGATACAGTCGACAGACACAGACCTTTTATTGCATCAACTATTACCCTTATGAGAAACTCTAACAAGCTAGGTGATTTAAAAAATATTATTGCTATACAGTATACACTCTAAATGAGTGAGCTCCTACTTCAGTAAAATTGTATTTCACTGGTTGGTTACAGTGGCGTAACGTTGCCTGTTGGCGCCCCCCGCCGAAAAAGCCTCCCCCTGTAGGCGCCCCCTCCCCTTTTGGTGCCCCTCCCTAAAATTGAACAAATTAGGTGATTTTAGAGGATACGCCGGTAAAATCTCTAAAAAAGTGTGTATCTAGAGCAAAACGCGCAGTTTTGCTAGTACTTTAGTTAAGTTTTTGAAATTGTCCCACATTCAAACGACGATTGGCGCCCCCCTAAGACGGGGCCCCCCCCCCCCCCCCCCGCACAGCGGGGTCAGCGGGGCCCTTCGTTACGCCACTGGTTGGTTATCTTCATCATTCAAATAATTTGCCCATATCGAGAATAATTGGGAGCAAACTTATCGCTAAGAATTATTAACTCCACATCTCGTACATATTATTGCGTACCTAGCAAATGTTTTGTATGAAACTTAGAGTTGGGATTTATTCCAAGTTCAATTTTTTTGATGACTAAATGTTCATACTATTTAGAATAGATACAAAAGATAGAATAAAGAATGTATCTTGAGTTTAAATTCCCAATTAGTCAGACTGAGCAGGTTGAGTTGTAGTAATACACAGTACTGAGGTGTTAAAACATTTTCATTACTATCTTCAGTAACATCTAACAGAAAACTATCATTCTACAACTTAGTGAAGAGAAAGTTTGCTCAAGAGACGTATCTAGCCCTTGATCTTAAACGTAACTGCTCAAAGAAGATCGCGCAATTCAGAAGCAGCTCCCACCGCTTTAACGTTGAAACTGGTCGCTACGGCAAAAAGCGGTTTAACATAAAACATCGGGCCTGCAGACATTGCTGCTCAAGTGACGATGACTTGTTAGATCTTCTCTATGAGCTACCAGGGGCCTATCCAGTGATAGAAGATGAGCATCACATCCTCTACGAATGCCCCCTATACGAAGACCTACGCAAAAACCTGCATCAACGAACGAGGGACCTGCTAGTAATGAGAGAAGAACCGGGAGAAATCTTCGACGACTCAACAACAATTAGAGACATTGGATGTTTTTTAAATAAGGTCGATGAACGGAGGTTCCCGAAGAAAAATACTGAATGAATGTCGTGTTTTGTCACTGTGTATTACACAGTACTGAGGTGTTAAAACATTTTCATTACTATCTTCAGTAACATCCTCAAATTATTTGTTATATAGTAGTGTTGAAGAATGTATCTTTGATGCTTTTGAAAGTATTATTTATTTGTTTTTCAAATACAATAATTTCACTATCCTACAGGGTTAGGTGAAACACGGAGAGCGTGTGCCACGTACGAAGATAAGAATGTTGTCAACATATTCTACAAGCAATGGGTTATAATAATAATAGGAAAGTCAGACAGCTCTCTAGGTACAATACCGCTCCTAAATGGGGTCTTATATATAATAATACTATTATAATATATAGTCAAGTACTTTAGGTACCTCTGAAATTGTTATCAATAATTTAACTTCTTCCAACTACGCATCTTTAAGCTGCTTCTCTGTAAAAGTTGAGCCTGTTTGAACATATCTCGTGCATATTTTTTGGCAGCAATATATAAAAATGTGCACCACGTACACCAGGCATTGTATTTCATGACAATATTTCTATGTGCCTGGAGATAATCTTGGGATCAGGTGTCCAGGCACGTAGCCAGGGGGGGGGGGGGGGGGCAGGGGGCTGCAGCCCCCCAGGAAAAAATTGAACCCCAGAAGAAAAAAAAGAAGCCCCCTAGTCCCCATGGTCGCCTGGTAACTGGGCTGTGTTTATGACTGCAGTCTGTACTGTTTAAACGGCAGGCTATTGACTTCAGCATTTCGTAAATTATTCCCAAATCCCACTATACATGTACTTATTCCATTCAATGTGTCAAGTACTGAGTTCGGTAGGGACTGTCCCCTAGACCGTAGAAAATGTCAAAATCTTAAGACGATGAGGCCTCAGTAAGTCGTATATTCTGATTGGAGAATGCAGATTGCTGTTGTGAAGTTACCAAATTTACGTGAGTATTTGATTCTTTTCAGTCCCAGTTTATTGCTACCCTACAAATTTCTTTAACGCCAAATGTCGTCTAAAACACCCTATTTCTCAAATTTTTCCCGGGGGGCTGCGCCCCCTAGCCCCCCCTGGACCCCGATGGGGGCTGCGCCCCCAGACCCCTGAGCTGCTGCAGCTGGGTTGGACTGTCGGCTCACTTCGCTCGCCGAAGGCCCCCCCAAAGAAAAATCCTGGATACGTGCCTGCAGGTGTCATAACCGACCTATATAATCTCTTGGTAATCTTAGAGTTTCATTTAAACGTTAAAGATATATGAAAAAGTTGAATTTTAGAAAGAAATAATTGTACTGCTTGTTAAATCACCATTCACGTCATTTCAGGGGGGATGCTGTCATTAGAAGATGAAATCTATCAATGTATTGCAGACCTTCCTACTTTGCCTGACGACTAAAATACCCTTCTTACCCAACATTGTTTATGAAAGACTGATCGAAGCAGGCTGCGTTGTTCGTGACTCATTAATAATTTGATATGATATAAAGTTGATCTAAACTTGATTCGCATTTGGGCTGACTAAAACAATTTTTAAGTTTTAGATAATTTTATATTATAAGGTGTGTAATATGTGTATACAGATTTACTAGCATACTGTCGTTGCAAGATTGCTTGTAACTAGCCAATTGATTATTATCTTGATGTAAGATGAACCTTTGTGATTATATGGAAGTTTTGTTGCTGCGTATTCAATTGGATTGAATTTACTAATTATTGTTGCTTCTTATAAAATGATCTGAAAACTTGTAATAACAGACAACATACATGGAATTAATGAAAATTGTCATTTATCTCTGCTTTCCAACCAAATGGACCAAAGGAGACTATCATACAGCACACGCACCTGTTTCCATTACAGATATTCTACATTATCGCTATTTCACTAACTAACTAACTAACTAACTAACTAACTAACTAACTAACTAACTAACTAACTAACTAACTAACTAACTAACTAACTAACCCCTCTAGCCCGGCTAAATGAGATATGTCTCAGCTTCCTACCTCCGCACACCAGCTCTTCACTAACCTAACACCCATCACTATAGACGGACAAACAGTCTACATTGCACAAGTCAGATCGGACAGTAACTATGCTCTGGCTAGTGTGGGTAACCTTGGCAACATTCCTGGCATCTCGCCTGTCACGTGTCCAGTCAGTTTCGGGACCCAAGCTCAGGCAAGTCCTATGAACATCCAGACTAACATGAACAATGTGATGACGATAACCAACACAGGAGTTTCCTCCCCGGGTGGCATATTGACGATGAGTCTCCCAAGTGGGAATGGTATGAGCTCCAGCCCTCACAAACAGGAACCCTTGTCTTCTCCTTCACCCTCCGGCTATATGAGGAGTGTAAATCTACAGGGTCATAAGGTAAAGATATGTGAATACTTATCTAGTTACCAGTCATGAATTCAGGATTTATCTTTTATAGTTGGTCCCTGAGAGCACTGAAAATATTACAATTTCCCCAATCCTCATTTTTATTTGCATTTTTAATACATCGGCCTACCTCTCTATCCTCACCCTAGGGACTTAGAATTAAAACACTATAATGTATAATGTATATTGTATAATCTATTTGTACATTTTTTCATCGTCGCTTGATTCGAAACTAGGATAATCAGATAAAAATACTCCCTCCCACAAGAAAAAACAGATACAACAAGAATTGCGCCGGTTAGCGGACGCTAGATTTCCATCGACCGTACTCGTAGGCATTGCCTTTTAAAATTTAAAATTACAATTTACAAAAGCCATGTGAAGGAATGGTTGAAATCCGTATTAGGTAATCATAATGTAACTCATAATAATATTTACGGTCCATTTCGTATAACAAATTAATCGCTCGACAATAATGTTCAACATGATATCAGCATCATAATTTGTTCAACAAAGGATGATCATAATAATTAATTACTCTGCACTCGACTGTCACGTAACTTCTTCAACTCGTTCTCTAGCTGGCACTGAACGACTATTCGAAACCCTAACCTATTATTTGATATATTAATTCCAATTTTAGAACAATCTCGAAGATCGACTGTAAAGTGATTAAGCACGCTCGTTCAACAATATAATTATAACGGATTATTAATAATCTTCATTTAACTGATTGGGATCTGAGTTCTGACACATGTAATTTTGCAATGATCTTTCTAATTTCTAATTTCTAATTTCTAATAGCATTATCGGGAGCCAAGTCGGTTGTTGCACCAATAACTCACAACAAAACGTGAAATTAGTATGTTATACTTGTAGTTGTACTTGTAGCGCATCAATATTCAATGATCAACATTATTTATATTAAAATCCATTTAAAATAACAGAATAAATTATTGTAATTACATACGTACGCTGACCCATGACCGTAACTGTTATGAAAACTTCAGTCAGCTTGGCGCCGCGCATTTGAAAGTGTAGTACAATCGTCGAATCGTGCAAACGTGTGCGGAGGGTAACCGTGGAGATGACACCATTACTGCTCCGCGCGCAGAGAAGATGCATTTAAATGGTTATGCGGAGGGTAATGCATGTTTTCCTTTGTGACACAATTCATGACTCACGTGACACGAAAAACATACCTACCTACTATACCCGTCCTCAATTCCTACCACTTCTAACCATCTATTGCCTTTTTAAGGCGATGGAAAAAATTGTAAAACAAAACGTTCGCTACAATACCGAAAGCGAACGGTCTTGAGGTAATCGAGACAGAAACCGAAAGTCAGTGTGATTACCAGCGCAGCCGTTGATAAACCTTAGTGAAAACCAAAAGTGACTGGAAGACTAATTGTGCTCACTACATGAACTTACGGCACTTTTATACAGCCAGATGTGTTATATGTGCTCAACGGTAGAAATAATGTTCGAAAGTTTGGTAAAATTCGTGAAAATTGAATCGGTTTTAAATCTTCATAAATCATGCAGTTTGTTAGGAATTGCTTGCTTGTGGAATGTGGAGACAAGTCATACCAGTTTATGTTATTTCAACTAATCGTTCGACCGATAAGCACATATTTGGGTCTGTTAATCAATTATTAAGGATCGTTGCCGAGCTTCTAACACAAGATGTTATTTTTATTTACACGCTATTACAACACGGCGATAACATTGGTAGAATTAGACCTAATCGATAAAAATAACTCATCACAGAACATACTATGGTAAATACAAAACGGATACAGTCTGATTAAACTTAATCAATAATTATGTTCCACATAATCATACTACATTATAAATTTTCCCAAAAAAGTGGTAGGGCCATTCAATAAAACAACATAAGTAATTTATTATTAAATATACAGATTACAGATTTAAATTTAAGGATTGACCTCTCATGTGTGACATGTTGTAAAAGGACCAGTGTGGGACACCACGCACAGTCCAGTGCAAAACATAATATATTCAGTACCACGTGAACCAGTTTTGGGGGTTAGCTTGAGGTTTGATGAGGCCACTATGATAAACAACTTCAGTTTATTGTCCACACCTTTGTAGCCCTGTTATATTAATATTATTCTTAATGTTATACACACTGCAGTCGCCTCACTGTACATTTTCTCTCGTTAATTTAGCAAAGAGTCTAGTGTGTCTGAACACCTTTTCTTCATCAGTTTAATATAATTAACATTAGTTTAATGGTTAACATTATTTACCTGAGATAGGTACATAAATTGATGTCATATTTTGCTGCTCTAATATATTCGACAGCAGTCTAACATAGTTAACATTCAGATTTCGAACGGAGAGGGGACGAGGAAATTGCTGTTGCCCTGGTTAGTGGAACATCTTGACAAGAACTCGTTCCGGGGTGTACAATGGCAGAACAGGGAGCATGGTCTGTTCTTGTTGCCATGGAAACACGGTAAAAACAAAGGATTTGATGAGGAGACGGACGGGGAAATATTCAAAGAATGGGCTGTAAACACTGGTTAGTTTCCATGGTAACAACGTGGTTTCCATGGTAACAATGTGGTTTCCTTGGTAACAATGTGGTTTCCTTTGTAACCTGGGCTGTCTCTTTGCGCGGCATCAGTCGGTGACGTGATGTTTTAGTTGTCTCTGGAATGCAAAACTTGTGACTTTCGTATGCATATAATGAATTCCTGATATCACACCAATTTGAAGCCATATTTCATAAAATTATTGTCAATTCAATTTCAGGAAGATATAGAACAAACGAGCAGCCCCAATACAAAGTATGGAAAGCCACGCTAAGAAATGCGTTACATAAACACCCCCACATTCAGGAGGTCAAGGAATATGGGAAATCGGGTCTTTTTAGGGTGTACCAAATTACCAGTAAGTTATATTATAATAACATAAACTCGTAAGTTATATATTATATACTGGTAAGCTATATTATGTCTATCTAGCAATATCAGTTAACACCTCAGGCCATAATATCAGGAACGTTATAAATACGAAAGAGTTTTGACGGTTTTATCAGATCTACATTCGACAATCGACAATATTCTAGTGCTATTTAAAAAGCGCTAGCTTCAAGGTCTCTGAAACATACGTCAATGAAAACTCAACGTAATGCATATTATCTAACCTTCGACGTAGAATATATCTATATTTAGATGTATGAGGTTCACATTGTGTTGTGTAGCACGGCATAAAATGGTATACATTTTTGCACATTTTTGACAAATTTTTGCATTTTTAGGCGGGAGTTTCTGAGGGGCCGGCGCGGCGATGGGTTATAATTGTTTCCAGGAGTAGTTCTTGACCAAAAAATAAAGTTGGGTTAAAGAATTCGTAATTTCAAAAATTTTCTTTTTAAGCACATTTGTCAGAAAACGGCAGATTTATGCCATGGATTTTGGTTATCGAATTACATATGTGACACCTAAATTAGACATCCTAAGCCTAAGGCTAAGATGTTTAATATTTATTTACGCATACCAGGTTACCCAAAGCACATACCAGGCTACTATAAGCATGATCCAGTAAACTTAGGCATTAAGTAGTGGATGAAGTAGGGCTAAAGTAGTGGATGACCTTGCTGTACGGCAAGTTAAACAAGGATCTGAAACTACTAGGTTCCGTACAGACTCAACTCTGCACCCGTGTCAATATGTTCATTATATGCAAGCCTCTTGATTTATTATGCTAAATTAAAGTGAAATTGTTAGTATCTAGTCTAGAATAAATACTTGCCCTAAAATGCTCACTTTCTGAGTTATTGGCAAATACGATAAAAAGGAAAAAAATTGATGTTCAAAATGATAATATATTATATAGATTCTAGATGTTTGGATTTAATTTACATCGTCCTTTAATGCCGAAACTTTATTAAAGATCGATTTTTGAAAAAAAAAACCCTTTGAGCAGATCAACATTTATACCATTTGGGGCTAGCTATAAATAGGAACAACCAAACAAAGACCATATCTCACCACACGATCACTTCAGCGCCAGTTAATGGTATAATGGACCCGTCTGTGTCGCTGTCCAAACCTAATCCTGCTAGAAAAACAGAGAACATGAACAGCGGTTTAAGTGCTGCCTCCACTTTCTTTTCTGGAGGTGTGTTCAGCAACGCTCCCTCGCCTGAATTCGATACAAATGTAATGGTAAGTTAAAGGAACCTGAATGACGAGATTCATGGATCACACATGATCTTGATCGATACCAAAAACTGTTTTGACCCTATTCATCAATCATCATCCCATACTATATTTTTATAATTATGAAATTCTAGGTTTACCGTTAATCTCAACCCCAGGGCCCGCCAATGTCCCAAGTAAACGGACCCAACACTCCCACCAACATGTCCTCCTTCTCCTCCCAATACAGCTCTCTCATGTCTCCTCCCACCATGGTCAATACCCCCACTATGATGACGACCCCATCTATTCAGATGTCAGCTCCTAACACACCACTAGGTGGGCCTCGTACTCCCCTCACTCCTACTGCTACAGATAGTGTCAGTCAGAAGAACCCCAGTCCACAGGATTATAGGTCTACTGATGCCGTCCGTGAGTATACCAATAATGATTAATAACTCATTGCTAACTTACTTCATTCTCTTATTGCAGTAAACTTACCTGTTGGTATGTTAATTGCTTTTGAGTTGAGTAATAACTATTTCTAACTTGTAGATTTCATTGCTAGATGAAACGACGATTATTCAGATTAGCTGGTATTTGTAATCACAACAATGAAAACAATACATCTGACTTTTGCTTTTGCCTTTCAGTCGATATTCTCACCACTATCCAACGTCAGCTCCGTCCAATCGAATGAATCAGGTTTATTAATCACTTTTCTAGTGTGAATGTTTTGAAGCTGTCGACAGCGTACTATAGTATATGTTACAAAGATAGAAGCAGTAGAAAGTAGCTGTAACATCTACGGAGTTAACAATATTGTTATCAGATAACAGTATTGTTAACTCCGCGCTTATTTGTTCGATCACCATGCCAAAAGAAATAAGTAACATTCAGCACTGTCTTGAAAACGAATGGGAGAAAGTTTTGGCCATATAAGGATCTTTCCATCGTATCAACTTATCACAAGACCAACATATTTGATAAAATACACTATATCACTGCTCACTTGTAGCAGAATGACATTCTTATTAACTCCTTTGTCAGAGTACCCCAGCGAACTAGAGATGAGTCCAGGGTCCAGTGTTGTTACAACAGTTGACGTGGTCAACAATTTCAACTCCTCAAAACAACACATAAGAAGCGCTAGTGGCACCGTCCTCACCGATCACATTGAAGAGATCCTTAAACAGGCAAATATTTTGAGTTTTGTTAAATTTGGCCGGTGCATCGTCCAAGTTTGGCACCTGATGGCAGTAGTGTACAGGTTACATTATATACAATATTATGTACTTTCCCAGGATCCTTCCTATTGACTGTGCACTTGCACTATTGGCTAACATTGGTTAAACCGGTTATTATACGCACAGCAAATTAATGACTAGCTGATTTAAAGAACGTACTTTACATTCCAAGAATACATACTCTGCAAATATTTTAATGTGCTGCGTATCAGCCGACACACAATAATAGCATTCGTTCTATGTGTATCAAATGCAATTGTGTATGATTATATCCATAATAATAACATATTTCCCACTGATTTCGTAGAATCATATGTTAAAAGTCACAGTTCTATTTATAGAAATTTAGCATGTAATGGATGTTATTCAACAGGTTTCGTTGCCACAAATGGAAACAGACAAAGGTCAGAACAACAACGATTACGGTATGAACATGGATCTCGAGGATATGCTCATAACTGGGGTAATTATCTACTTATTTGTTTAATAAGAGTTTTTCTCACTTTTCTGAGCACCACAAGATTACTATAAACCGGTTTCTTCCCTCTCAGACACCGCGCCTTTGAGTCACATGATTTAAGGGTCCAAGTACAAGATCGTATGCCTGACCCCTATCCTATCATCAACCAAGATACCAAAAATAATTGTACCCTTTTCTCAATCCTAGCTCCACTCTTGACTCAGTGTTGGATTAAGAAGGTCAAATCATATAAGCACAAGAAAATATTGCTTACTGATGCGGCAAGTAAAGGTGGTTGACATGATTTTAAGTGCATTGTTGTATATTATTTATATGGTCTAACTTGTTAACCCAATACAAAGTCGCACATCTTGCTAACTATCAAATGGAATGAACTGAAATAATCGTTGCCTATTTTGAAACACAGGGAAATATTACTACCCGAAGAGTAGGTTAATTTTACTTGCATACTTCCTCACATTGGTTTTTATACTTAAACAATCTTTCTGGGGCTTTACAACGCTGAGATTTTATTATCTTGGTTAAGCTCTTAAGGAAACTATATAATATCATCACACTGGACACGTGACATCAGACTACCTTCAAATGGACAATGAATCTAGTTACAGCAGTGTCACTGACGTTGACCATACTCAAACTTATCGTAGAGTCAATATACGATATATTTGTGCTTGTCTGCCTCGCGTTTGATGGCCATTAGATATGAAGGAGTACGGGGTATTGTCCAGATTCTATGGATTGCTAATTAAAAATGTGTCCTTAAAAGGTGGCTCAAAGCTTGATTTTATAATGACATAATACTAAGGAAAGACTCTTGTAGCCAAACTCTTTTTGACAGTATCAAATTCTAGGACCAAACATTTCTAAAGAATTTGTGATCCCCATTCTGTGAAACGCAAGTCTGTGATAAACCCACAAGTATGATAAAATCACACAGCCCTCCTAATAGCTTGACACAGTTATATTATGAGGTGTTGACAGTTGGCATTGTTTTAACATTGTTAAACACCCAGTGCTCATTACAAGCGAGTCTATCATGAAATACCATTACCATCCTTATTTAACATCGTGCCAACTTTCAGGACTCATTTCTAGCAAATCCAAATAGTGGAGCGGAAAAACAGGAGGAACAACAACAACAAAGAATGGCAGGGCAACAGCAACAGCAACAAAGAATGGGAGGGCAACAACAACAACAACAACAACAACAACAACAACAGCGGCAACAACAACAACAAGGACAACAGCAGCAACAACAGCAACAACAGCAACAACAACAACAACAAGGACAACAGCAACAACAACAACAACAACAACAACAACAACAACACATGTCTCAACAAAATACCATGTCTGACTCGCGGCTTACCCTTCAACAACAGTTCCTCATGCACGAGAGAATGAAGCAGCAACAGGATCAGTTACAAAAGCAGCGTGAGAATAGAGGAAAACAGCTGCAAGATAACAGAAACAGAAAAGAGTCCGCTTCTAAACAAATGTCAGGGAAGAAGCATGACATGTTCCCTTCCTCCCCTAACCTTAACCTTAACCACGAACAGGAAATGAAGCTTGTTGAGTTGAAGAAGCAGCGGGAGTCATTGAAAAAACCACAGAATAATGGAAGTAAGATAATGCATAATGAGCCGTCTGCGATTGATGAGATGCCAATGGAGGAATTATTGGGTACCGTTCCTGAACCTAGGAGACTTGGCAAGCGGCCACGATTGGATTGTAACACCGACATTTCTACCGAGGTAAGACAACAGCAAAAGCTTTTTTAATGTTCACAACATTTATTGTGACAATTTCAGAGGCTGTTCCGGGTTCCCGACACTCTTGATATTCATTCAATCAATGTTGTGTTTGTTGGGAAAACGGTACCCCAAAATAACGTCATGTCTTGGAGGGCGCGAAGACAATTATGTGTACAATTTCTTATTCCGAGCAATCTAGAGTTACGCGCGAAGCGGGCCGCGCAATTCTAGCTAAAGAAACACTTCAATCCATGTTGATTTTAGGACAGATGACTTATCGGACTTGACGAATCGAGATCATATTTCGTGTCATAAGACTATTAAGATGAACCTTCAGGCTCTTACCTTGCTATTGAGAGTATAGAATAACAGAGTAGCTATGATTATCAAAATTTCTATTAAAAGTGGAATGGATATTATGACGCAGTCAAACTTATAATTTATACGCCTCATTTACTGGCCAGTATATTGCGATAAAATCTAAACAAGTATCAAGTTGTCGGTCAAACCGCATGGTACAAAATATCTTGTGAGAAACATGACGTCTTTAATCAGACATGTCTGCTACAGGCTCATGAAAATGTATACACTATACAGTGTAGACTGTGAAATGGTGCTGACGATATTCCCATTGATACAGACACATTTATTATCTGATTTCACGTGCTTTTATTTTCAGGGTCCAGTCAGTGCGGTGGACTATCTTACCAAACTCAAACAGATAGGCTTACCAAAGAAACAAAGTGAGAATTATTTTAAAACCTAACGCTTTATATTTATTTCAATGGCCGAGGTTTATCTAATAATCCCAATGGCCAAGGTTTATCAGAATAATATAGTTATTGAAATGTCTACACTCTATCGAATCCCTGCTCAAGTTTTCAATATAATTGTTTTATAACTACGTCTATCGACCAGGTCCCAATAGCATGGCTATAACAATATACTACAAGACAGTGGGAGTGGCTGCGTATGGGATCAGTAATCCTGTTGGGGCTCGTCTTTACTACTGTTCAAACCAGCGTGTTCAAGTTACAGACGAGAAGACGACTAACGAATTGTACGGCCCACAAGACGCCACTCAGGTTAGAACAGATAGCATTAGTTCAGTCACGGTCTCCCGATCATTCGGCTGAGTAGACCATTACATAGGGCTACATAGACCAGATAGAATCGTTACTTCTAAGCTGACCCAAGGGCCCCTCCCGAATGATAGGCATGTGCCTGCTGAATATGTGAACAGCGGTGATAATTATGAAGTACCTTTTCAGATCTGTATGCCATGGTGTCGAGACAACACGCCCACACAAACTTTACTCGGAACACTTACACGCGGTGTGATTTTACAAGAGGAAGACGGAGACGTATTCGCTACCCGTCTTTGTCAATGTGCTGTCTTCTTCGGGGACAAGCGTGGGGTTCTCACCAAGTTAGAACGGTACGAATGAGTGCTTTGTCCTGTTTTAAGATTTTTTAAAAACGATTTTTTAAACCCATAACCATCTATTTTCTCAGTGGACAGAGAGTCAAGATATTCGACTTCAAGACCCGTTTTCTCCCATTATACTTCCAACACCTACAGTCTCAAAACAGTGGGTCTCAGGGTGGGGTTAAAGTAGTCCTGGACCCTTTTCCTGACCCTGATGTCATGTTAAGTTTCGGTCAGCGGTGGGATGACCGGAGACCAATCGAGAACACCCTTATTTGGGCAAAGGTAAGTTAATCATACGGCAGATGAATTGTTATCGGTTTTAAAGATACCTACATTTGACATGTTGATCGTCTATAATTATTTCAATTCATGCACTCCATTCAATCCATTCATTATAAATACTGACACTGTGTAGCTTCAAAAAATATACCTTATTAAGTCACACCAATAACGTAAAGTAGTAAGGTTAATCAAAATCATGTCTTGACAGGTTATACACATGAAATCCCGACAGTTGACTTTGGACTTCACTCAGCTCTTCCCGCCTCCTCCTCCTATCGTTAATGAAGACTGTATTCAGTTTTCTGAGTCCGACCCTTACGATAGACTGGCTGATGCCTTTAGCCTCGCTTTATAGTTGTCTTAAAGAAATTAGAAAACTCAGATTAATTGTTCAGAAGATCAAAATGTCAATTGTGTTATGATAGTTCAAGACTCGATACCCCAGAAACTGGTTGCATAAACGTTTGATCAGGAAGTCTTGAACCAGTGCTGTACTGAGTGCTGACCAGCCGCCCTGATAGGGGTTGTGGAAACAACTGAAACTATCAACATGAACGCTATCCCAGATTTCACAGAAAAATGTTTTTGACTTTTTGAACCACCATGATCGTTTCAGTTTGATCTGAAATATTATATTGTAAATAATGTAAAGTAATGAATAATTTGATATTTTAATACATAGTATTGAAATTTCAAAAAACTTATATTATTTGGTCTTAATTATAGATTAGCGAATTGACTTTTCTTACGTATTTGAGTAGCAATGGTTTCGTATTTTTGATGAATGAAAATAATTATAATTACGCAATTGCAATTTATACGGTCAGATATAATATTGAGAAGTTGAGAATCAATCTTACACTTGGATGTGTGATTGGACAGTTTTGTTACGTATTTGGGTATAACTACGTTTCATAAGAAGAATTACACCTATGAAACATCAAAAGGCTGGTATAGATTACTCTGATTGGATTTTTCAAAATAATTTATTAGACTTCAGAGTATGCAAGTTTTTTGTTTTTAATCCTTATATCGTTTTGATTGATAAAAAGTCAATGTTTGTTGCTTTAATCTTTGACTTATGTTATAATATACCAATGGAATATGATTTATTTCATTCTTTACAGTATCAAATATGTATATTTGTAGTTCTATTTTATTCTGTTATAATCCAATTACCAATACAATCAATCGACAAAGTTTTCATTTTCTCTTAATAATGAAAATGATTTTAAAACTTATTTGACTCATGAAACCACAATTTTAAACAAACTCTATTATTCAGCAAACGATTGTTATGAACATCTCTGGAACATTGTTTAATCGCAAATAAAATAAATAAAAAGCATCAAAATAAGAGTGCTGCAAGAGGTTTATAGCAAATCAGCTAAATTAATAATATTTTGCATTTATATGTTCCATAATCATCATCATGATAATGGAATCCCATAATAGACTAGAAATTTAATTCTGTAAAATTTCACTTCCTTATTAATGTTCTTTGATTTATGTTACCGGCAGACTATACTACTGAATATTTTAGCGAAATCATAGCAAAAACATGCATTATTATTAACATAAGAAAACAGTTCACACGATAGAATTAGATAGTCTCTGGAATTGTTTATTGTCTCCATCTTCAGAACTCAGGCACGGACAGATCAGCCACCTCTTGATCTGTTCCCTGACGCTCTGTGTAGTGAGAAGATAAGCGATGGGAGAGAGGGATACAGATAAGATGAGGATGGTCCACATGAAATCGACCATGAGCACCACCTCCCCCGGCTGGCACCCGTAGAACAGGTTCGGGTAGAGAGACTGTGGGATCCAGGGTAGGGTGGAGAACAGGTTTAGGATTGTTATCACTACTATCGACCAGGGGATCGTCGACCGTTCCTTCTCTGTTCGCTCTTTGTCAGATGTAGGTGTGCTGTCCGACTCCGAATTGCTGAGCAGATTTTCTGAAACTCCAGAAGAGTTGAATCTGGTTGAGTTGGTTTTGTTTGCGGAAGCGGTCCTACTCCTGCTGTGAGACGTGGTCCTGGCTGCTACATATGCCTTGTGTTTAGATATGATCCTGTAGATGAGACAGTAGAGAACCAGCACTGCCAGAGGAGGAACCACGAACCCGAAGAGGATGTAGAGGACGTAGAAGGTGGTACAGAGTGTTCCTGTGTCACTGTACCTGCACTGTGTGAACTCTCCTTTCTCGTATAGTGTGTAGCTGCATAGCCCAAAGTTCGGCAGATTCGCCAGAATTATCGCAAAAACTACCAGTAAGAGGAAACCTGAAATATAGGTCTTGTTAAAAGCAGTGATTTTTATCGAGTTGATTCAAGACTCAAGAAAGCTTAACTTGAAGTTGAACGTGTAAATATGATTCAACGAAAAAGATGTAATATAACACAACTAAATTTCTTATTCGTTTGAGTATTCGGTGAAATTGATTTGTGAAAAAGTTACACGAAGTAATCACCTGTTAGCTGATAGGGCATTCTGAGGATATTCCTCCAATTCATCGGGTACTTTAGGAAGAGGTATCTGATGAGAGTGATAGAGAGTACAGCGTATCCTGGTAGTATCATCCCCACGCTGTGTAGAGGCTCTGTGATGGAACAAGAGGTGGGAGTATCATTATATAGGTTAGATGAGAGGAGGGAGAGGATCATACATATCACCAGGAACAGCTGACAGCCAGCGTAGAACAGGACTGATAGGTAGATCTTCAGGAGGGGTTTTAGAAGGGTGAGGATGGCGTAGACCAGGAAGATGCTCGAGAAGAGGAGGATTGCGAAGCCGGGGATGTAGACGATTCTAACCATGACTCCGTTATCGTAGGTTATAATGCTGGCGACATTGCAGGTTCTATTACCCGTCATGTTCTCACGGTCCTCGTATGGGTCCAGGATGAGACCGATGTCAAAGTCTGGACTGCTGTAACCATCGGCTCCATCTCGGACACTGAGAACTGGTTGCAATGCATCGGCGGCTTCTTCGTCAGTTACACCCGGCTTTAGAGTTACCAGTTTGTTGAAGTCAAGATCGTTTATTTGACAAAAGCTGAAAAGTTTTTGTCAATTTAGTCCATTATATCTGGTTGAATTTTCTTATTAAAACGGTACTTCATGTTTCATATTTTTAGGCTATTTCAACAAAATATGGAATTCCCTTGCCGATCAAATAATACTCAACGATGGAAATTGCGAATCATAAATTCTTTATCACCTCTTTAACGCTGGATTTACTCACCTAATATTCAGTAGAAGATAAACTATAGATAAAAAGTTAATCGTTCTCCACTTGTACATTTTATTATCTGGACCTAGTAAAATATGTATTATTAGTCGATACAGTCTAATTGACTAAAACAATTATTGAAAGTCTCATCTTCAGAACAATTTGACAGAAACTTTGCTCTAATCAAAAACACAAGTATGTATTAAATTCATCTACAATTATAATATCGAAAACAACTTCACTGACACACAACCATGTGATCATCTTTAAGGGAACAAATGATAAATTAACTTGATATAAATCGATTGCGAGGACATTCGGTAACGTCTGCTCAAATGATTTAATCTCACAGAGATATGGCAGCATATGCGGAGAACGATAAAAATCCAGCTACACAGTCCAAATATTTAATGGATGAAATCAGATATGATGCTAACCTGCTCACTGCTAAGTGTTAAGTCAGGAAGCTAGATACTCTAAAAGGCTGTAATACAAATCAGAAACTGAAAGCTGATATCGATCTTAAATAGATCTCATCAAAAGTTATCTCTTATACGGTAAAGAGACGCTCTTATTCGTCAGCGTTTCAATTATAAAATCTTTTGTTAATACAACTACAAGAACTAAGGACCCTCAAGTTGAGAGATGCAAGTATTGTGTGCAAGAGAGAATACTTCCTCTAACAAACGGTAAAACAGTACACGGTCATGACAAACATTAGAATTGGTAATACGAACCCAATAACAGAGTTCAGTCGTTCAGAGCCCAGGTAGTGTGTCCCGGTTCTGCCAGGTGGATATATATATAAGAGGTAGAGAGAGCTCTCAATCATGTGATCAGGTGTAGGTTGGTTGTGGTGGTGATCCTAAATCTCGTGGGTATTATGTAATAGAGTGATGAGATGAGATGTTGTGAATAATGATGAGATGTTTTGATGATGAGATGTGGGTTTTATCTGATGATATTTGGTTCATGACAGGACGATATTTTGGATTCGTCACCATTTACTGTCATTCGCTGGCAGTAACTAGTAGTAATAGTAGCGGTAGTACAAAATAGTGGTCACCTACTCAAAGTTAGCATTCCGAATTCAAACATGACGCACTGAAGTTGAACCTTAATGGCGACATCGTGATGATCAGTCCAACGTATTATCCGAATCATAAAAACACCCACCAAACGAATATCAACATAACATTGAACAAACAAGGGAATTTTGGTTACATGTACTACCAGTACCACTACTTATGTGCTGACCTCGGAGAACTTTTGCATTAAATTTGTCGACGAAAGTTAAGTACATACTACCATGATAGGCATAGCGGATCATTAATTCCTTCATCTATTTAAAGATTTGTCACGGCAAATGCACTGTTCATGGCGCACCGCATGATACACCAAAAACACGTGACACATGGACTGAAAACAGTTGAATAAAATGGCGCAAATATCGACAGTACCACTGAACATACAACTTAACTGTATGAGCAATACTGTTTCCGGTCATCCAATTTACAGTACATTTTAATTACATTCAGGTAAATAGAATTACACTTCTCTCACCAAATTGTAATGATCCAAATCAATATGCAATTGTATCTATATAAGTCAAAGTGTAAGTCATACGTAATCACTTTCGGGGTGTTATCAGTAATACTGATCACTGTATCTACTAATTATGTGGCCGTTCACATATTATGTAATCACTGAGGGGGGGGGGGGGTGGTTTCTAAATTATAAATGATTACGTTAGTATAATTTTAACACAATTAATAGCTGTGTAAAACTGATTACGGAGAGGGGAGGGGGTTTAAAATGGCCCAAAAATTTGATAATAAAATGTAAACACAGATCACATGGCTCATACTATACATATACCGCCCTACTAAGAGTAAGAGGAGATCTCATACCGCCCTACAAAGAGTAAGAGGAGATCTCTTCCCAGTTTTTAACACGTCACGAAACCCAGGATATCATGATCAGTATCACAAAGTTAAAGTTGTCCCAACAACTACAAAGTGGTATTGTTACACAATACTTGGTAATATCGCAGAAATATATGTTTAACCAGTACAGAGCCAACACGTACCTCTACTTGTTGGGATATTAGGCTGATAAGCACTAACTTATAATACATCTAAAAGTATTACCGAACTCTTACAGAATCAAGATTGAAGACTAGAAAATAACTTTTGCTTTCCAAAATGAGTCCGTACGAAGCTACGACATCAAACAACGAAAATGAGACTGCACTATAGTGACTAGACTCGATATCAAGGCAGTTTATTACCATCCTTTACGGCCGAGGCGGCTTCAATTCACGGCGGAAGTGTCTTCATATGATAGCTTATCACCATATCACTTGGCTGCTATGGATATATCGCTTGGTAATGAGGTTTACAAGGTTTACAAGGTTTACAAGGTTTACAAGGTTAACAAGGTTTACAAAAAATAGATCTATATTACAGTGAGATAATGTCAGATCAGCATAGCTAAAGGTCAAAGTCCGAAATCCAAATAGAAAATCCGTTACCATTAAGATGTTTGATGAGTGTAAAGAAAAAGTGAAAATGAAGGGGCTGTGGAGGAAATGTGATGTCCCGTACTGAGACACTAATGTTCGTGTTTCTTCTTTATAGGGAATCGTGTTCTGCATAGCTGAGCGACGAACTTGGTGAATTCCACTATGTGCTCCGGTAGAAAGAGGCTCTTCATGTCATGAAATAGTAATGACTTTGTGGGCTCCTTCATGTTAGTCCTACTGGAATGGTACCTGGGACATGTTCTAAGGAAGTGTTCTTCATCTTCTATTATCGGATCAACACAAGGAAGATTAACAAAGAGCTCCATCATTGACTTTTCGCTGCAGAATTCACAAATTCTGTGATGTTGACTTCCAGTTCTGCTCCCATATCTTCCAGTTTCTATGTTCTACGTTTAGCTTATGTCCGCTCATTCGGATCCTAGCCACTAAGTTGCTTCCAGTTCTCGACGGTAGCGTGAGGTACGGCTCCTGCTCGAAAGCACCTTTAACTTTATTATAGAACGTAAGCTTCTTATTGCTTTGTCTTTCTGTTTCCCATAGATTGATAAATCGGTTATGTGCCCTTTCCTGACATAACAATGGGTTGTATAGTTGATGTTCAAGTTTGTTCTCGTCGAGTATCGTTAGCATTGATTCCAGTGCTCTGAACCAACCTAAATCAAGTTTCTTCTGCTCAGCAAAAGCGTGCCTGGCTAGGGCTGGTGAGTCTTCTAGTTCAAGTCTTGCAAGGCGATTATGGAAATCGGTGACTTGTTTAAGTTTAACATATCGAACTACAATAGGGGTTCTTCCGCAGTCTCCCCAAACAGCTGCGTTAGATGTCGATTTGCCAACTCCAAGGGTCCATTTAAGGATGGCGAGGTGCATTCTTTCGAATGGGTCAGCTGCAATGCCTGCCAGTGGGGATTGCTTCGTATTGTCAGTTGTGCTGACAAAAGCCTTAATTCCTGAGCTACTGCTGATCCAGACTTCCACTCCGTACGATACAACTGGCAGTATGAGGGAGTCGAGCAGTTTAAGAACTGCGACCTTGGATATATTGTTAAGGTCGACTTCACTTTTCAGTCCAAAGTATGCCCGGAGAGCTTTTTGTCGCAGAAGGTTTAGTGCTGTCTTAAAGCTGCCCGACAGTGAGAAGGTGATCCCTAAATAGCAATATGTTTTTGCTGATGGGATTGTTGCTCCCATGTACTGAAAACCGTAACTCTCTTTGAGTTGCCTTCCACTTTTATTAAAAATCATGATGGCGGTTTTCTTGGTGTTCACCGTGAGCCCCCATTCTCTGCAGAATGACTCAAGTTCAGAGATCATGACCTGAAGACTTTCTTTCGAAAGTGCGAGGAGGACAAGATCATCTGCCCACAAGAGGTGGGTCAGAATAGTTTCATTCAGCAATGGACTTGAGATGTCTTGAACACTGTTCAGTCGTTCCGAAAGTTCGTGGATGTAAGTTTTGAATAGTTCGGGGCTCATTGGGTGGCCCTGCTCCGTACCTGCAAGAATATCAAATGAGTCTGATATTTTAGCGATCAGCTTGATCTTAGCTTTGGAATTCTTGTACATATGTTCTAGACATTTTAGGAATTTTCCATCTATACCAAGGGTTGAGAGCTTGTACAGAAGAGCTTCACGACTGATGGAGTCGAAAGCTTTGCGAAAATCCACGAAACAAGAATAGAGTCTTTGTCCTTTGTTATTCACGTATTTGTCTACACAAGTGGAAAGGGTGAACAGATGATCCACAGTTCTAGCATTCTTACAGAAGCCAAGCTGGTTTACTGTGTCCGGGCAATGTTCCTTCCTGAATTTTAGCAAACGGTCCAATAGGATTGTCGCGAAAAGTTTACCAAGGTTGCTCCCGATCGCAATGGCTCTGTAGTTATCGGGGTCGTAGATACATCCTTTCTTGTGGAGTGGGCTCACAATCGTAGTGTTCAAATAATGTAATCTCCCAAATAATGTAAAACAGATTGCCCTACCTTACTCAAAGTCTCAAAAATGGCCGCAGTGAGTTTTAGATACCCTACCGATTAGAACCCCGGGTCTGGTATGCTCAGCAAAATATCGAAACTCTGTTGACCCACCTTTATGTCTCAAATGACGCCTAGGTGTACAACATCCAACTTCTCTAAGACAGCCTTAGGTGCAGCCCAACAATCGGAGTTATACATTTGAACACAGACACTACCAGGGCTTCATATGCAACAGTGAACAGGAGTCGCTTCTGCAGAGGTATCTTGTTAGTCCAGGCTTTTTGATATTTATTGAAAGCAGCATAGCCTAGACTAATCCTATAACGCTGAATGTCTGCTTAATACTGCAAAGCATGGGCCCAGTGCACAGTGTGAATCACACTGGACGATTGTACCATTACTGGTCCGGTAGTGGTACAATCGTCCAAGACTGACGACGTGACGATGTCAAATTTCACATTTTCGTTTGAGGCCAACGCCCACCTACTAATAGTAATAATGTATTATCAAAATATTGCATTCCATTCTCTTCTGGATGATTCAAGTTCTCATTATTATCAAACATGTCAATCTTACAAATGTCAACAATCCTAAAATAATTTAGAACCGAAACGTGATCCTTTGTAAAATTTTATGTCCCAATAGTCAAATTGACTTGTACTCAAGTATAAAGTTAAACAATTTACTCCAATAACTACGGTCACTAGCAAGTTCTCTCAAATGGAGAATATCATCATACGACTCCAGCAAGATCTCAAACAACTAAAACCTTATTACAGAAAGCCTGGAAAACGCAATGTATCTTTATCAATGAAGCACCCTTCTTTGTTTTTAGTTAATTCCTCTGGGAAGCTCAGTGAACACTGATATGAAGGAAACCGGCCGACCGGCAATATTCTACTCTCTTACAATGACGGAGATCTTATTTACATTGACTTCAGGGGCTCTAAGTCCTTTTTATTATCCGGTTGTTCTCGTATGTCGTAGCTCTGGCTAGACTGGCCATGTTGATCTAGTATCGGCCAAGGAGCGCTCTCAGCTTCTTGACCAGCTCAGTCGGTCAGCATGGCACATGTGCGCGCGATAAAACGTGCGTAAACGCGAAAATCGATTGGCTTCATTACTACGCAATGACATCGCGCGTTCCAAATAAGCTTAGGAAAACAAACCAAGCCAGTATTAGGGACTTTCGTCAAAACTGTACCAAATTAAAACGTCGAAAATCGAGTGTTTCAGTAAATAACTTTTCGATTTTCTCGAGACCTGACCGATAGAATTTTCTGAAACTTTGTGCCAAAATTGAGATATCACTTCAAACAATAGAAAAAATTTCCAAATCGGTACAATATTTGGTACCAAGGCAGATATCTCAAAAACTGATTGATAGAATTTTCTTGAACTTCCCAGATAGTTAAATGGTAGTACGACAAATATATATCGAGAACAAATCTCTTCTTGTGTTTGAAGTGATATCTCAAATTTGGCACATGGAAATTCGCACAAACTTGCACAGATAATCCGTCTTATGACAATTTAACTATCTGGAAAGTTTAAAGAAAATCGTATATTCAGATCTCGACATATAAGCCTTGGTACCACTTCAAACCACCTATTTGGAGATATTTTCTTATGTTTGAAGTGGTATCTCAAATTTTGCACATAGAAATTCGCTCAAATTTTCACAGATTATTTGTCTCATTACCATATCTGGGAATTTCAAGAAAGTTCTATCGGTCAGTTCTCGAGATATGTGCCTTGGTACCAAATATTGTTCCGATTTTGAGATTTTTTATTTTGTTTGAAGTGATATCTCAATTTTGGCAAATAGAAATTCGCCTAAACTTGCATAGATTATTTGTCTTATTAATATAATATAACTATCTGGAAAGTTTGGTTGGTTCTCGAGATAATCGACTTTCGTCAAATATTGCACCATGGTACAGTTTGTTACAGAAAGTCCAACTCAACCAAGCAGTAGATGTTCTAGCCAAGAAGTGCAAGGGAATGTCGCCCAAGTTCAGTTGCAAAATTGAAAATAGTACCAAAGATAGTTCCTTTCATTCAGCGAAAGAAAAACGTACATGTCTTGTCCAACCAGAGTTTACTAGTAGCTATCATTGCATATTTGATATTAAGATTTAACGCGTCTGATTTATCGCAAACCCCGATTTACCGACGCTGTTTTCTTTCCCCCAAACCAGCAAACGACCGGGACAAGAATTTTGAAATGGGCGGGACCGGGATTTTTTATCCAATTTGAAATTGGCCAGGATCAGTCAAATTTGACCGTGACCGGGATTTTAGCTCTATTTTGACACAAAATTTAGCGGAATCAACTATTAGTGCGGAAGTGATCCATGTTTAAGATGGCAATTAGTTTAAGATTAAAAATTTGTTGAGTTTCATATTATAAATGATATGCTTAGTCGAAAAAGTAAATGTGCTATAATTACTTTTGAGAAGAGCCCTAGAAATTTTTCCCGTCGCGATGCAATTTTGTTCCAAAATCTTAATAGTAGAGTTAAGTATAGAAGTTGTATCTAAAATCCCGGTCAAAATCCCGGTCAAATTGGTATTTTGGCCGGGACCGGGATTTGGTAAAAAGTACCGGTACCGGGATCACGGTCGATCTCTGCCCCAAACTCCGCAGTAAATCGGGTTTTTACAGTATATTTCATAAAGTTATAAGCAAATTAAATTAATTATTAGACTATTGTAAAATGTAACCGTATAGCAGGCGACACTTCCCGAGAAGAACAATTAGAAAAAGTTTGAGTCGGTAGCAGTAGTCTCAAAATTAAGTATAATGTACTGTAAAATGTGGTTCACAAGAACTAATTGCTGGAACAATGATCCTAGTAATGGGGTTTCAGGGTACACCGTAGTTCATTGTAGTCTGTTGAGATTTTGCTGACGAAAAATAGTACAGCAACTAAATGTTGTGCACTGTGCAGATAATGTTTCGTAGTTAAGCCAGGCGAGAACTGCACCAACATGGACCAAATTTGTGTAATTAGATTTCTACAGTAGGTACACACACCTACTCCGAGTGCAATACGCAGAATTAAGGAGGGACATATTTACAATTCTGAGAATAAACCGGGCGAAATTGGGGCTACATTCTTAAAACTGTCAGGAATGCCCTTTCGCGGACGACAGATCCAACTAATGATAGGAATGTTATGGGCGCTCAGTTTGAAGACTATAATAGCCATTCAAGAAGTATCCTGCAATTGTCGTTTAGTGTGAAATACAGACTGGGAGTTTAGAATCGGGAAAGCACGACCAATGAATGGCAAGTTTGCGAATGAGAAATGTTTTTGAAACATTCTAAAAGCTACTTTTTGGTTTACATTTAGGGTTGATGGAGCTGTTTCTAGACATGGTTTACGGATATCGTATTTTCGATGTAATTCAATTTTATTTGATAGAAACAGTAACTGTTTACGGGTGCTGGCTAGGCCAAATTACAGCTTGGTACGGTTAATATAACATGTTTACTGCTTAATTAAGCGATAGTTCCGTTAGTTACGATCAAATAACTTTGTTAAGGTTCCATCAAAGAAACAATTTGTAGCTATTACACCATTGATGATGAAATTACCAAACATTCCTTGAAAACACATTCTCAATAGGTTCCCGATTCGATTAATCATCCAGTAAATATTTTTACAGGGCCCTAAGGCAAGTCAAGTCCAAAATGTTCGGTTGAAATTATTCTACAGTATGTGTTAGGCACAAAGTATAACCTTTGTCTCGATCGGGCCTATTTTTATATCTTAATCGATCTGTGCGGGGTGGTGAACACTTTACAGCTTTACATCTAAATACAACCAGAGCATGTCGCCTTAGTATCTCACCTAGTATCTTGTGTTACAAGTACCAGGTACAACACGTATTAATATCACGATGAGGACAATATCATTAGGTGTCAACATGAGTTATTGACCTACTTTGTACAATTATCTGACAGTGCCTTCCCCAACAAAGGACGTGTCTTTCCAACAATCAACAATCATTCTTGAAACGTCAAAGAAGATACGCAGTGAAAATGTAACGATTAAATGGAACATTCTATACCTTCTTCTCAGTAAAACACAGCGAGTAGATTTTTGTTCAAGAACAATTTTGTGGGTTATGTCGATGCGATCATTTACAACTCCTAAACTCAAAATTGCCCTGCTTATGAACAGAGATTGACGATAATCGTTATAAATGATCAGTTAAACCGTTATTTGGTATTAGTCTAGAACTGGGTAAAGATGTAAAGGGCCAATTACTATCAGGTGAATACCTGATTCAACACTATCATTAGAATATTTCATATCACACGAATCTGCATTATGTAACATTTGGGATGATCCAAATAACCGAGAAAACGTGTGGCTCGAAACCAAGCTGTAACTTTAGCAGTAAGCTACGTTACCCACATTTCACACCAATACACGTTACAAATTAGTAGTTACCTGAGTAACTTCAGCTCTTACTCACACTTTGATACTGACATTTACTAGCGCTACTATTATCCATCTAAAAAAGCACAGAAAAGCTTCACTTTCTTTGGAAATAAAATATATGTAACAGATAAATTAAAATTAATTAGGAAAATTAAAAACATAAGATAATACTTCGTACGAAGATCAAGATGTGATGCGTGTTGTTATAAAACACGATAAAAAGTTTAAAATATTATCTAAAAATCAAATAATGAACTCGTGGTATGGGAAATCAATATTCAATTAGACAGGAAGGTTTACAAATTGTGTACAATTTTGCTAATATCTGAACTCAACAGCGGGAGAACATGGTTTTAATATTTTGAAAGCCGGTACTTTTAACAATTAACCAATTAATTGATTTGATTCCCTAACAGAATACAAGAATGTTTTAAATTTTTTTCAAAGCTGTCAAAATAGGTTTAAACATTGCGGGTCTAACTTGACGAGTTATGAATAGTAACACAGAGCCCAAACTAATCCTTAAAGTTAGAGGCAATCAGAGTCGACAAATTATCGTAATGGATTGATATTTTTCTCCAATTTGCATCAAATCTCGTAATTTTTTATACATAAGGGAATGTAACAACTTTTGGAATGTAACAACTTTTGTGAACCCTTGAACATGTTCCTATGAAGTACAATTCTATGAAGTGCAATTCTAAAGAAAGAAAGTTTAGACTTTAGATGCTCATCTTTTGTATTGGGCCTCCGTATAAGAGTTCATTACTCGGACTTAAAACAAATTTATGTAATACATGTACTTGGTTTTCGTGTGCAGTAAGGGAATCTCCTAAAAGGGCAAAGTATGTCTAATTCTCGATTAGACAAGTGAGTCATATTCTGGTCGAATCGGAACTGAAATTCATGAATAGAACGAACAACTTTATAGTGAACTAGGTAATTTGAAAATGATCTTACTTCACATAACACTTATTTTCAGTAATATGAACTTTATGAACGAGAATAGTCGCAAATTATGCAAAAATCATTAAATCAAATTTGACTTTCATAACAAAACACACAAAATCAATTATCAAGACACGTGTCTCCTATTCGTTAAGTCTTGTGAACGTTCATGTGCACATTTAGTGAGCCCTCGGACGGGGCCATGTAATCACACACACCACACTTGTGATAGGTCGCAGAGTGCACTTTCTCGTGCCTCATCAGTGCCTCAGCGCTCTGCGCCACATGATAACAAGAGGTACACTCGAACCCGACACTCCCATTAACACCCGTGCTGGTGCTGGGCTCCCCACAGCTTCTGCTACTTGACGGCGACTGGATATCGGATTTGATTGTGATGGTGGGCATAGCACCAGCTTTGCTGGGCAAAAGTGTATTATTAACCATGGTGTTACTGACCGGTGTTTTAGGTGGTCCTGTGAAGTGGGTGTTGAAGGTGTTGGGGTGGGTGCCCTGGCTGACGATCCCTAGTTCACTGCGGTGCACCTCTATCATGTGCTGCACATACGAGTCGAAAGAGCCCAATATTTGGGAACAATGTGAACAAGGGTAGGTACGATTAGCCATAGTAACATTAGGAATCAACCTCTGATCAGGAACCTTCATGCCCTCCTGAGCTTTAATCAATTTCTCTAGCTCAGCCTCCATTGTTTCCGTTATTCTGATGTTGTGATCCTCTGAAATATGCTTCTTAAGATCGAGTAAACGGGTAGTGGTGAAGGGACATGATGCCACAAAACATTGCTGGGGACCTGGATGTTCTGGATTAGTGGGATTCGAGTGGGAGCTAGGATCCGGAGGTGAGCCGAGTTTGGGTTTTGTCAGCTCTAATGCAACAATAGGTTGAACAACAGAGCTAGGTTGAGCAAGTGATCGGGGGTCCGATATTTTAACGATAGGACGCTGAGTGAAGATGGGAGGGGAGGGAGCTTGTGCTTCCTGCTCTTTTCTAGTGCGCTCCAGAAGCATTTCCTGCTGCTTCTCATGTACGTATTGTCGGTATATTGGGTCGGTGTAATACATGTTCATACAATACGCCTGATACAGATAACATTGCTGTAAATACTGCAGTTCTGAAAGGGACAGGTTGTAGATGGAGTTGCCCAGGTTCCCCTGATAATCTGGAATGGTCTTGTTAGTTGAACTAACGGTAATATTGTCTAGGGTAGCTGGAGGTATTAGGGGTGTGGGTGGAGCTGATCTGATGTTTTTTATTTGGACATGATCATCAAATAATATAGGTTTAACACTAGGTGGTTTATCGTAAACAGTACTGGGAGCAGAATTTATAAGGCCTATTCTGGACTTGGAAACGGAATCAGCGAGGTTACTTTCAGGGCTGGAGTCTTTCAGGGCTTTTCCTATCTGTTTCTGGGATTGTAGGATACAGTCTAACATGTCTTGTCTTTTTGTTTCACAACTGGTCTCTGCTATTTCGATTTCATCTAACAGAGATGGTTTTATCATGGGGATCTCAACAGTTTCAGTGGTTGCGGATTCTTCTGACTCGTTATGGGATCTGGAACGCTTCACAAGTTTTCTCATAGATGAGTCAGGGTGGAAGTCAGCGTAGTGATCCTTAAGAGCCTGCAACCCCTCAAACTCAACCTTCTCAGGACAATACTTACACTTGTATTGGCGCATTCCGAGCTGCACTCCCAAATCATTAATACCGTGAGCTTTAATATGGTGCTCACGTAACTTTGTCAGGGTATCGAACATGGTTTTAGTGGTGCAATAACGACATCTCTTCAGTGCCTTGCGGTTCATCATCCCTGACCCTGAGAATCTGAGCTTGTGAAGTCTGCCCGGTTTGGTGTCGACATTCTTTTGTTTCTTCCTCGGTGAAGCTCTGAGACCCACGGCCTTACATACCTTCACTTTATCTTGGTTCTTGAGATTGATTTTATCAAATATATTGCCCGGATCTGATTTAACTTTAACAGGATCTGATTTAACGATAGGAGAAGTTGGTGGGGTGTACATGACATTATTTATATCAACCTCCTCTGTACTTGGTCTACATTCAGATTCCTTCTTCTGTATCACTCGAATAACGGGAATATTGGGAATATTTTCCTCCGTTTTCACCTTAACAAGTTCCTCCTCCATGCATTCCTCTGTTTGAACCTCGTCGTGGACAACATCCAGATGTTTGGCGTACTTGTCGAATTTTACCGATATAAACGAACATTTTGGACATTTGAAGAGCTTCTTCTTGGCTCGGTGAGCCTTCATGTGATGAACGATGTCTGTGTTGGTGTAACAGACGTAGTCACACAGATCACATGTGAACTCCTTAAACTGGGCCTCGTCCACGTGTTCACTTTGTAGGTGAGTTTTTAGGTTTAAACCTGAAATTATGTGAATTATTTGTAGGCAGAGAATCGGTATAGTAATATTGGCGAGTTATTTGAAGTTCAGTACAATATCATGTAAGTTCAAAGTAATGATATCATAGTTATATTGAGAACTTTACAAGTTAAGAGGTGAGTGGTAAATGATTCTAGTGAGCTTCGGTTAAATAATTCCTTTGAAAGCTTTTGAAGGGTGTGGATGTGACTAGATGTGACAGGGTAATTTGCTTGATGTCATACAGTACTTACAGAGAAACTTGTCCTAGTGGTAATGCAGTTGGCTGATCTCTGACATGCTTTCAAGTTAATGAAAGGTTCAAGATGCGATCTACGTTGAAAATGTGTGATATGTGGTGTCTGCTGACGTGACATATTAACAATTCACCGCCACATTATTACAGCTCTCAACATGTCTCTACTTATAACTTACATGGTCTGTCCACATTTAAAATATTTAGCAATATGTTAATATAATATCGCGAGAGAGAGAGAGAGAGTGAGAGAGAGAGAGAGAGAGAGAGAGAGAGAGAGAGAGAGAGAGAGAGAGAGAGAGAGAGACCCACAAAAGTAAGCTCCAACATCTGTTACCTTTCGAGGGCACATCTTGACACACTCCCCGCATCAATGTTATTAGAAGGTCACGTGAGGTTCCACGTGGGTACCAGTAATGTCATTCATGTGGTGTATTAACTACTACTCTCTCTCTCTCGGTCAGTGTGCAATTGTCAGGTGTATAGCAGATATCGCGTATCTTTGTGTGAAGGCGGGGTAAGTTCAGGTGAGATATTACAGAGAACTCAGGTCTGTGTTAAATAGTTTACATACTGCAGACTGAGTAAGGAGAGGTTGGTATATTATATTAGCCGTTAGGTCGCTGGTCAATTCCAGATGTGGGCAAACCCATTTTATCACCGGGCTGCAGATTTCGGTATTATGTTGCAATACGCTGTGTCATACAGCTAGACCCCACTCCCTTATTATGGTTAAACGCCCCCACTCCCTTATTATGGTTAAACGCCCCCACTCCCTTATTATGGTTAAACGCATTCGTCAAAATATTTTACCTCTAGCAAAATATTGAAGCCAAGGAACAATATCTAATTTATATAAACGGTTACTTAATACTTTAACCTTTGTTGCATAATATGCGTATTGCGTATCTTGCTCATGTTTAATGATACGCGTAATTGAATGCTTTAAAGAACTAGACGGTCACTGAGCTACCTGCTACAGTTCCAAGAATTCAAGTTTCTACTTGAGCAACCGTTATCTAAGAGACCTATGGGACCAACTTTCACTTAACTAGCATATCTATTATCTATTATCTATCATACCGACTATATATATAAAGAAATATGATAAAAGGCACCGCAGAGATAGCAAACCTTTTATAGAACTGATAAAGTAGCTAGCTGCTTTATTGCAGAGATAGCAAACCTTTTATAAACTGATAAAGTAGCGAGCTGCTTTATTGGTGTCTGATGGGTCTCAGACAGCTACTTTACAAAGTTCTTATCCATAGACACAGCTTGAGTGACGTATTGATCGTTGAATCCATTAAACCTTACGCGTATAAAAGCTTTCTAGGCTTGTAAGAGAAACCACTTTACTCTATAACGATATAATATCAACTCGCACAAAATTGTATTATACGAAAAATTGCCCAATCTTCGTTTCTCCATCAACGAATTGGACAAAATAACTTTATTTTCATATTATTAAACTCGAACATATTATAATTTTGTTATGCATTAAAGGAACGAAAGTGTCCGTAATATAACGATATCTGTAATATCTGTAATTACCGTAGAACTTGATGATTGTAGCAGCTCTGAGCAGAGGATTATAGTAAATGTGATCAGGAGGTGACCGGGAATCCCGGTACCGGGATTGGCAATTTTGAGCTATCCCGGTCCCGGTCCCGGTCCCGGTCAACCGGGTCAAGTCACATTTTTCATCCCGGTCGCGGTCCCGGTCCCGGTCAAATGCTGATTTATGATCCCGGTCCCGGTCCCGGTCCCGGTTAATTCAGGATTCTTGGTCCCGGTCCCGGTCCCGGTCAATCACTCAAATTTGCCGGGATTTTGACCAGGATCTTTTACATAATTTCATTCACTGTGATTTTAAGTTTTTACTTTCATTCATTGTGAATTTCATCTTTAAACAACCTCTGAGCCAAATAAAACAATGTTTAAAATTGCTAAACAAGTTTAGGTAACTAATATCGTTACATAACTCATAATTGCAAACTAACATCAAGTTTTCAACTCGGGCTACGCCCAATTGTCAATTGGAATTGGAGAATGAAACTGTTGAATAATTTGAGGGATCATTGATTGAGGAATGAGGAATGAGGGTGAACTTGAGTAATCAGTACATGAACATTATTGGTGTAGTACATTAGGCCCATGCCCCATATTGACGGTGTTTTTTTTAAGTTTTTTCTAATTTAATATTCTAGTTATTACTTATTCAAATTTTTCAATTATAATGTAAATGAAAATTGCAGCTTTCAATATGAGAATACCAGTTTTGGTCCCGGTCATCCCGGTCATCCCGGTCAAATCCCGGTCATCCCGGTCATCCCGGTCATCCCGGTAAAATTGGATTGTTGGTCCCGGTCCCGGTCCCGGTCCCGGTCCCGGTAAGATAGAAATGCCAGAAATTATTGGTCCCGGTCCCGGTCCCGGTCACGGTAAATTGATAATCTCAGTCCCGGTCCCGGTCCCGGTCAAGTCACATTTTGTATCCCGGTCCCGGTCAGGCCTAAAATCATGTCCCGGTCACCTCCTGAATGTGATACTCTGTAAGAAGTTTAGTAAGGGTCACACTACGCACACAGTAACAGTAACACTTCACGGTTACAGGTAATATGAAACTGGAACTAGTGTGGCAACTTACACTCCCTTATAATGACAACAAGAGAGTCGGACAGGTTGTAATTTGTAACTAGTGTGTCTTTCTGGTCTGGGTGCTGGATATATCTCATCTGTCATCACATGAAACAACTACACTAACATTTCTAGTGTTATACTAACAGTTCTAGTGTTATACTAACATTTATAGACTTGAAGAGCGGCCTATTTCCAGTCTACTACATGACACAATATAACAAGAAATAATTGAACTGAGAGAGAACGTAATAAGGTGTCTTCAGCTGAGGCAACATATAAGTGCGGTGGGTGCGGAATCGCACTATTTGCAATATTTTACCGCACCCTGCATATTATGTTACCTCTGGTCTTCAGTCTTAAGAGATAGAAATTATTTAAGACGCAGGCTGAAAAGATAGGGATCGTATTGTCATTGTATTGTCTAAAGTGGTAGGCTTAGAATATACTTTTTAAAAAAATAAAACTTTGTGGGCCTCAACTTTCAGTTCTATATAATTATCAGGCTTAATGGCGGGTTAATGTCGTTTGGGTCCACTAAAATAACCATGTAGATGAGAATTAAAACTTGTTTCCATAACAGATGCACACAACTCTCTTCAATACAGCTGAGTTGATATCTGGCACCTTTCTGCTTTACATCTACTCCTCTGCTTTACAAGCATCTACCCCTCTACTTAACAACTTAAGATTAAGTCCCTTTTCTGAGTTTTTATCTTTTTATGCAAAAAGTCTGCATGATGGAGTAATGAGTAAGAGCAAACAGCAGAGTTTCAGAGTTAATTACAATATTCAACAGCCCACATACAATGGACCCAGCTCGTTCTAAGGAGATATTTTGTGGAATCAAGTTTTGCCACGATTAGATAAACCCTTCATAGTTTCACAATTCACATTACGTAATGTTGGGGAGGTAGTATCGGAAAATATTGCGCTAATTTGTAAATTGTAATGTCTTAAAGTGATTACGGGGTTTAAAAATTGCCAACAATTGATTGCGTAATATTACGTAATAATATGTAAACGGTCTCTTAAACTTCTTGCAGCAGCGCCGATTGAGGTTTCAGAAAATATACTTTTATTTGTAGCAAACCAATATGTTGTTACCTTACAGAACGATTATTACAGTTGCCATGGCAATTTAGATATTATAACGGTATCACGATTATATGTCAGAATATCAAAAACCCGTGAGCCTTCCACTAATTAATTAATTATGTTCGAGAACATTGTCAGTGTGTAAATATACGTTAATATACGTCATTATATTACAAGCCAAGTTGATAGCTGACTGTGTCTGTTCCACAACGTATTCTGGTGAGCTCAACGAGAAAAGTTGACTAATTTCCATAAACCGCTGTACACAAATAACACGTAGTGAAACACGGAAGTGTATAGCAGATCAATTATGTCTAATAAAGTAGTGTGTATTAGGTGGTGATGTGTGATACGAACCTGTTTCAAGCTGAGCGGAGCAGTAGAGACAACTCCAGGACTCTTCGCAGGGTTGCAGTGCACCTTATCCACGTGGGCTGTCACGTGGCGCGCGTTGAAGGACGAGTAGTTACACATCGGACACTCGTACTTCAGTGGGGCGTGCTCAAGTCGCTTGTGTATCGTGACCCCCATCTTGGAGCAAGACAAGAAGTTGCAGGTTTTACACTTGTAAACTTTATCCCCGCTCTTCTGATCTCTGTGGAGGTTATCGTGCACTGTCGCCTTGTTAGCGTCTGGCGCGGTGTAACTGCACGTGCGACAAGTCAGCGTGGTGTTCCGACTGGACCGGTTGTTGTCCTCTGCGGGGGGCGGTGCCTGTGTGTGGTGGGTGCGGGTGTGTTGCGCAAACTCCTCCTCACAACAGAAGGCTTGTGGGCAGTTATCACAGCTGTAGTAGGCACACGAGGAAGGGGGTGCTGTGTCAGACTCAGTGTTGTTTATCGTACACGTCATGTCCTGCACACTTCGCACTAGCTGTACCGGTACAAACTGGTCTAACAAATCTGAAATGGAGATGTTTTATCTAAGAGGTTATATTCTATCATTCCGGGCTGAGTGGGCTCAGGTTTATGGAATTTAACGCATGTGGCGGTATCTATGTGATCGAATGTCTTTGTGAAGGAATGAGACGTCAGATGATCGGCTCTGTAATTAAATATTAAAAGAATTTTATTTCTGATAGGGAGACGACCGTAAAATCTGCAACTCTGCGCCGTGATTAATTCCGTTGCAGTAGGCATGCAGAAATTTACCTCACATCTGATTCTATTTTCCATTGAAGACCACTCACCAAGTCAAGGCAAAATGTTGATCAAAATGTGGGCCGCAAATACAGGCCCTAACAAATAGCGTAGAAAGCAATAGTGTACGACATGCGGCTACTACACAGGCTAAACAGTACAAATAAAGCTATAACAGTAGAGGGAGTATATAATAAGGGTAAGTGAGTGAACTGAAAGTATTGTGTACTGGAACAGAGAGCGAGAGAGAGAGAGAGAGAGAGAGAGAGAGAGAGAGAGAGAGAGAGAGAGAGAGAGAGAGAGAGAGAGAGAGAGAGAGAGAGGGAGAGAGAGAGAGAGAGAGAGAACATGCAGTAGCGGCCACTTAGCTAGCGCATTCTGTGTAGCTTGCACGTGATATAATTATACAGGTTACAGGACCTTAGAGATAGGCTGCGTGCACTACATAGTATATAATATAGGCACTATATAAAGTGTGATATTGTAGAGTACATGTGTGATATTGTAGAGTAACTGTATGATGTTGTATAATATAGCAATATATTGTCATATTTTGATAATATTCATGATAAATTAGGATATTACGGCCAAAAAATATATCGAAAGGAACCCAATTTCCCTTAAATTTCCGTGGGCCGTGTAGGCCAGGCCGTTTAGGCACAATCTATTTGATATCTTACTCGCGAAATATTGGTAAACACTCACCACTTTAATAATATAGAAGCGGTCATATCACACAAATTGAGCAGAGTTCACACTGTTAACCTTATGCACAGAGAGATTGCAACAGATTGCACAATCTTTAAAATGGTACCGCTTACAAGCAATATTTAAGGTGGCTGGATAACTTAACTATCCAAGGGAATTGGGCGCAACATTTCATTAACCAGGCGGAACCAGCGTTAACCTACTCAGCCGGAAGATGTTGTCATTCACTCCGCAAGCAGTTTACTCTGCATCAGATTAAAGTTCACTAACAGTTCACTAGTGAAGCAAAACAGTTTAACTTAATCGACTCAAATCGACTCAAATCGATATAAGAGGATCAAGTATGATCCCAAACACCAAACTCTGATCAAGCCGATTGGTTTAATCGATGTCACTTGTGAAAAGAAAATGGTGCCGCCTTCAAGAATCCAGACCTACAGGGTGGGCCATAAGTCAGTGTGCAAACGTTTGGGCTTATTGCTCAGTCCCGACAGTTCCTGAGTGCTCGATAGAAATGATTCTTTCTGGTAAGACATTGACTCACTTTAATCAAGTTATGACTTTATGAGATCAGACTCAAACATGAAAAATATCTATGTTATAACGTTAAGCTTTATTTAATGTTTATACAAAGGAGTCGGTTTCAGCTGCAGCCAGAATATTTCTTTGCCAAAAAGTTCACAATATCTACTCTGAATTGTACTATTCATCAGTAATTAATTTCAGTACATACAAAGACTAGACAGGGTTATTGTGACGCGAAAAACAATTAACTGCAGCGTCTTGGACCAACAGCACATAATACTGTACTACATAATATTTGTATAATATGTATATAACATATTTTAACAAAGGAGAAAAGGTACAGTGCGTGATAATATTGAAATTAAATATTTAGCTTCTTTTTTGTTAAATATGATAATATTTAATATTATATTATAATATAATGTAATAATATTTGCCAGTACGCAAGTACTTAGTTCTAATGTTAAACGTTGAAAGTAATTTTAAACCATTTTATTCCCAAAAGTAAAACTAAAGAAGCAGGTAACGATTCTTACCGTTTTTCAGAAGGATGACTTCTTTAGGTGACGGACGACAGCCCCTTTTCACCCGCCTTTTTCCTCTTCTACCTAAAACGAAAGGAATGCTTGTTCAAACTTTCAAAACGTAGACAATATCGAAAGTAAAAAACACAATTTTACGAACGTTACAGAGGATTAACAAGCACACACACGGCCAGAGAAACACGCTGAGATTGCTGTTTCGTCATGCAGCAATATTATTACACACCCAATATATATTCATACTCTGTTAGAATCTACTGTTGTAATGCATGCGAGCTCTTACAATCATATTCTTGAGAGGAACGTGTATTGCTAAAAGAAAAGGAATTGTAGTACAGTACGAACGAAGTAAAACGTGGATATTCCAAAAAAATTGTTGGTGTGCATACCATTTGAGCAACAATGTAAATGGAATGCATAATAACCTAGGAAAAATGAAGGTGGCGAATGGAATTTAGTCCTGGTGTACTTGAGCATATTTGGTAACTCTAACCGATGTATTTTATGGTAAATATTTGCGGTAAAAGTCATCGGATGGGATATGTCATATGAGTCATAAGACAAAACTGGAAAGACGAAGGGAATGAAATAGATCGTTACGATCTGGCGTTATTCTAACATTTACAATTTACATGCGATGGAATACAATTCATGCGAGCTAGAGATGTGATAAGTATGAAATCTCTAATGCGACAACCCAGGCGACTAAAGGTTTCAAGACCACACTAGAATGACAAATCATACAAAAGATTTGATGCAGTGCAAGTGATATCGAGACTCACAACGCTGAGGACTGTCGTAGGAAATTCTCCTTGTCTTGTTGGGGCCGGAAGCTATGTAGTTCCAGGAAGAGCGGCTACTCCGGAGTTTCATTGTGCTTCTCAGCCTCATGTCAACTCATCTACTCTCCTTTTCAGCGCAATCAGGGGGTCGTTATGAAGCCCTTCTGTCGGATGAAGGGCCGTAAGGAGTTGGGTACAAAGATTTGTTGGTAGAGAGCAGCAATGCTATTAGCTGAATCTAATAAGCTTCAAATGTAAAGCTTAAACAACAAAAACTGAGCAAAAATGGGTCAAATATGGAAGTTAGTAGCTGCACGATAAGAAAGTTAGACAAAATACAAAGGTCAAAGAAAGAGAGGTGGAGCGATAAAAGAGCAGGTGACCCGGAGAAAGGGGGTGTAAAGCACATCCTACTATCATGTTACACTGAGGTGCCTGATAGAACATTGGTTACAGCATTGTCCGTATAACAAACCCCGGCGGCCGGCACCGGTGACCTGATATCCTTATATTTCTAAACTTTATACGTGCGAATATAATCTAATCAGACCATTATCTTTACTCTATACCAGGCATATTCGTATTATGTCTGTTTCAGTTCGTTATGTTACGTGGACTAAGAATACCTTAAAACGAGATCATCATTCTCAATAGTTAGTCACTCTCAAAGTGAGATCACTGGGTTTAAGTTACTTCGTAATTTAATTAACTTACGTCTTGTGGAAGGCACGGATTGAGGCTACCAAGAGACGTTTCATTGAGACTATATTTGCAGTACCTTCAGATGAAGCTGTGAACTAGTATGAAACAGTGTAAGGCATGGGTTAATGGGTCAAAGAGACAGTTTCTTGAGACTATATCAATAAGACAATACTAATGAAGTAAGGTAAACAAGGAAAAAGACACAGCAGGGTCTCAAAGTTGGGTCTCAAAGTTAGATCTAAATTCTGCAAAGAACATTGTCTTGTTGGGTCTTGACTACAGAGAACGCAGAATGGACAACTTCCAGGATAAACAAGCTGAAACATGGTAGTCCGTCCAAAGGGCTAGCCTTCGAAAACAAACAACCAAGTCCAAAAGAACGAGCGAACATTTAAATACTTAGAAAATAGCACGCAAGCTCGTGTTAGCGTGTTTAATGCTGTAATGATTCGATTTGTCTGAAATATAATTCAAAATAAATCAAATTATAGTTCGGCGAAGGAGGAAGTGAAATATCAAATGACCAACGAACTATATATGTATATTTAAACCTGTTTGAGGTTCAATGATCTAATAAGAACCTTTAAAAGCTTTATGATACGGTGTCATAAGTCACTAAAATAGCAATCTGCTGAAAATAAAGCAACACTTTAACTTTAAGTATAGCATTAAGCCTATAAATACAACAACAACAACACATACAAAATAGCGGTAAGTGGCTCGTTTAGGAGTCACGGACCAAAAGCCAAAATATAGAACAAAAAAGTTGCCACTTGCACTGATATGTAGGCAATCAATATTCAATAACACACACTAATACAATAACACGCACGATTAAAACAATCCGATCTGTTTCAAAGGATACGGTATAATTTATCATTATTATAGAGGACCGCTTGTTGTAGAGGCCTGAATGAATACATCATTGTGACAGCCATTCTATGAGGCAAGCGAGAGTTACATGGTACATGTAATTGTATAGTATAACTGTTAAAGGTAACTGTTAAAGGTACCCGGTGTAGTCGTTCAATGAGCCTATATAAAAATAGCTATCATCAAACACTATTAGTACAGAGGTGTTCTAAGGTTTTACATCACACGAGACTTGGAATTATGTAAGATTAAAATTAGCATGAAGATCACTGAAAGGCTGAAATAACTTCAAGAGTGATTAATTCCAGGAGCGGCAAGACCTCGACAAGTTATCGTTTCTAAAAATAATTAGACTCGGAGAGGAAGTCAGGAAAAGAAATCATGAAAGGTATTTGAGAAAGAAAGTTAGAATAGGAAGTCAAAAAAGAAAGTCAGGTGAGTTATGTTCACATTCTTCACGCGATATTATGACTATTATTGTTACTGATTAGTGTTACACTGTTACTGGTGAATTTCCAGTTTCAAATAATTTTTCCTGAAGACGGTGAGACTAAGAGGATTGTCTGCAAGGCTTCCTGCAAAATAACTCACACTTAATTTTATATAAAATATGAGTTGACAGCCCCGATATATTATAACTCAAACTACTCGTTTTTAAGCCTATTTTACCTAAAGTTGAGGAATAAACAAGCAAAAGAGTTGCCCCTATGACCAATATGTTCAATGATTTTCAAGTTAAACATATTCGATGTAACGGACATGGCTCATGAGGTTTGTTAACAGGACTTGTAATTTGAAATGTATGCCAGTATCCCTGAAATGTAGTGTAGTGTCTCCTACAAATTATAGGATCTCTCATTTCATTATACTGATGAATAGCGTGCTAGATGGGCCACCAAACCTGGCTTCGTAGATCACTCTACTGTAGTGGTTGTAGATGATCACTATTCAGGCTTTACACAATAATATGTGCAGAGGAAGCTGCACTTATATTAAGAATATTGCAACTCACAATTTATAACTAGTTCACAGGTGACCAGCGGTATTTGATAGATTCTAAGAATCCAATATCGAACAATAACTAAGCATTTAAAAATGAACTTACAGTTACATCTATATATCTAATAATTGTGATTCTAGTTTTTTTTTTCAAGTGACAGATCGAGAGACCGCTGACCTTCTTAACTGACTTCAAAAATATCAGATACGGCGAAGTATAATATAAAATGATAGGAATTAGCAAAAGGCAAGTAAGTAGAGCGTAAAACACAATAGTTAATATATATGACAACTCTTGAACACCGGCATTGTTATAAAAACGTGATCGAACAATAACAATAAAGAGAGATACAAATAAAATATGGAGTTCCACTAAATCGGTCAAAGTGCCGTGCGCTGACACACAGCACGTGTGTCCAGAGTCCAGACCAACTAGACCAACCAGACCAACTAGACCAACTAGACCAACTGGACCAACTAGACCACAGTGTCTTCCACCAATTATACTAAACTCAGACGAGCTTCAAATGTATTGTGAGCTATCAGGGTGGTGGAGGTGTAAACGGTTTTGTAGATTTACAACAGTACACTAGTACTATTGAAAAGCAAGCAGTATACTAGAGAGAGTGAGAGAGACGGTGTTAAACTACAATAGAGAAACTAAGAGAGCTGTATTAGAGTGGACCGGCACTCTCTCTCTCTCTCTCTCTCTCTCTCTCTCTCTCTCTCTCTCTCTCTCTCTCTCTCTCTCTCTCTCTCTCTCTCTCTCTCTCTCTCTCTCTCTCTCTCTCTCTCTCTCTCTCTTACTCTCTTACTCTCTAGCTTTGTAAGCGCATTACATCAAACAATGTACATCTACTCAAGTAAAACATCTGAGAGAGTAAGGCATCTCATATGACATGCTGGCAGCGTCTTGTAGTTGTACGTGTTGTTCAACTCAGCGAGTGTACTTCTACGACAATTATGCCATTGCCTCCCCCCCACATCATTATAGTTGGTTATTCGAGGCTATCGAAATACAATCATGGTATTAGTATGGTACATACTACACAGGAGAGTTATAGTGGGAGATAACAGTAATTGTTGCTTAACAAAGAGGAGCTCACAATTGCTATTAGTATTATTACAGTTTACAACATAATAACACTAGAATTCGTTATTCCTGTCAACAGCAAAAATATTTAATTACTGACAATAGTATGCGTTACATCTTACCAGATATTAGTCCCTATGCCACAAACAATTCAAATTTACAAATCAGGACCTAGACCCTTTACTAGGCCCTAAAACTGAGGGACTACAAAGTGTGCCCGTTGTCTTGACCAACTTACCAGGTCTTTCATACTCCCACATAACCAAAGTGGTCACGAAGTCCGGCTTCTTGAAGCAAGGCTATTCTCACAATTGCACTCGGTGCTAAATCAAAGCACAATGAAAATACCAGCAACACGTCATGCCAAATCTAAAAGTTCACTAAAACAAATGACCGCTCTGTATTAGTGGTTACTTACCGTCCATGACAAAAGAGAAGACATGTTATTAGGGAAGGGAGGAAGAGGAATACTGGTGAGGGAGGGTTGCTTCTAACATTAGCTAAACGAGCGGGGGAGAGTGGGGTTAGCGACTAAAACAATGACATAAACAAAGCTTTAGGTGGATGTTTAGAAATACCAAATCTCAACAAAGCTTTAGGTGGATGTTTAGAAGTATACCGCGAGACGAGGGAACAAAGTTAAATGGATGATTGTATGCTCAGGAGGGTCACGAGATTACAGGGTACAAAGCATTAAGTATGTACATTGTCCTTATTTATCACGCCAATGTTAAGATAGCTTTAACAGAGTTGAGATTTCACTGTCAAGATTGGGAGCAAGGCCAGGCGCCTGCGCTGTTTATAAAAATAGTCTATGAAAATATGTAGTTTGTAAAGGGTGCCGAGTTGGGCAGTGAAAACAAATATAGTTTCTCTAAACAGTAGCAGGTGAGCACTTGAAACAGCTGTGCTCGAATTATTTAGTAACATGATATCAGCAGTAAGCACACGTCAGGGCCTTTTAATAGGTAGGCGGTGCACATTTCGTTTGGTATTATGTTCACGAGGTTGTGTTATTATAACCTTGTAAGTGCACGTGGGCATTTTATGGCTAAGTTATAGATGCAGTGGCTGCTATTTCACGAATTATAGAATTATTGGGTCATTAAGTACTGTATAAGTATGAGATGGACTCAGGACAAATCGATCTGCAATGCTGTAAATGGATAATGATGAAAATTTATATTTTTTTCTGTATTTTCAGGCGAGTCGAACAGGAAAATAAAACGGCAAAATTGTATAATATATGGTAAATTTGTAGATTATTAAATTACTATAAATGAAGTTAGTGGCACGAAAATTGTAAACGCTTTGATAATTTAAATTGTATTTGCAAAGATTTTCAGAAAATTATATAATGGTTGGAAATCGTATACAAATTTTAGACTTCAATTTAGAAAACATCATTAATTTTCAAGTCAGATATAGTATAATTCTATAACTCTTTACTCGCGTAAATAAGTAAATAAAGTACTATCACACACCATTATGAATTATGATTCGGGAGGACCTTCATCTTTAATTGTCTATCTGAGTCTAAATATAATTCATTGATCACATCATGCATCAAAAATCACCAAATATGGTCCCATTACTATTGCGGACGGTGACAATTATAATCATAGTAAAAATAATCAAATCAATAAAACAAATTTTAGCAATTTATGAGTTCTTAGAATTTATATCTAAAAATGAGTATTATCCCACATTAAATTTTTAAATATAACAAAAAATTTGTTGTGTAACTAAACGTGAATTGTGATAACTAATGTACTAAACTGGTAATATTATAGTTTACATGGTATTATATAAACTGATCAAATTCTAGAAAACTGGATAAAATTCCCGTCTGTTAGTACTAATGAAAAGTCGGAAATTCGTAATTAGAAAAATTGAGATCACAAATTTAGCAATACTAATTACCTATAATAATTATGATCACACATCATTGAACCGTGTGCTTTACTGATTATGAATACAATAATTGGTTATTAGTGCGATACATCTCCATTTGTATCAAATTACACATATTATATCCACTATAGTGTAAATAGACAAGTCTTAAGTCTGTCAGATTGGATATTATTATTATTATGTAACTTTCTAACTTAAACGTATTCAATATAATAAAGCTATAAAGTTGTGCTCATTCTCACAAATACATATCATTATTTGATCTAACAATTGCAAGCAAATAATCGCCCTAATGAACAATTATCATTACACTCTAACACACACACACACACACACACTGCATTCATAATGAGTACACTTAATTTCCTGGCCAGTTCCAGGCGATATGTTGAATTATCAATATCAGTCATTACTATAACCAACAGCTAACCCTAACCCTGCACACACATTAGAAGCTGATTTCTTCATCATCGTTGTCGTCTAAAGGCGTAGAAACATTGTCTGATGTCACCACCTCTTCCAATACAACCTCCTCCGTTACAACCTCCTCTATGATCATTTCCTCAGGCCCTGAAGTGGAGGGAAGATTGGAGTCATCTCTAGGCATCATGACTGGTACTGAAGAGAAGGCGGCTACTGAGGGGAAGGTAGATTTAACATTGTAAGGAGTCGAAGAGGAGAATGGGCGTGGGTTCATCCTGAACATGGTAGGAGAACTGTAGAGCAGGGAGTCCTCCAACGAGGAGTCTCCTTTCACTCCTGTTATCTCCTCACGACTAGTTTTAGCTTCATTTGGGTGCACTCTTGACAGGTGAGATTTGAGGTTAACCCACCGGACAGTCCGATAAAGACAATGAGGACACTTTAAGGAGTTTGGTGCCAGATGAGCATCTGCATGATTATTGTAAGCACTTATGCTGTTGCTTTCAAAGCCACATTCATTACACTTATACTTCTCTGGTTTGGCGATTACTGCCCTGGAAAGAGAAGAACTAGAGTTCGAGTCACCAGAATCATTTCTCTTTAGAGGTCTTCCAAGGGGAAGAATCACTCCATGGGCCACTTTAACATGTTTTCTGTAACTTTGTCTGTTGATCGTTTTGAATTTACACTGATCACAATCATAGCACGTATCACTCTGATGAGCCAATACGTGGTATTCTAACTGTTTGGCATTGACTGCTTGGAAGCCACAAGTTTCACAAATATACTGATAATTTATTGGAAGCTTAGGTTCCTTGTTGAGGACTTTCTGTTCGATAAGAACCTTTTCTTTGAGAGGGTGAGCAACCAGGTGAATGTTGTAAGTTTCGAGACTGCTTGTCTTAAATGCGCAGCATGGGCAAATATAGACCAGATCACTTTCACAAGTTGACCCATTAGAATGATGTTCTTTAGTTTGGTGGTCCTCAAATAAAGTTTTTTCTTGAGTTTGAAAGTTACACAAACTACAAACGTAGAACTGGTCTGGAGTATGTGTGGGCAGGTGGTCCTCCATCTCCAGAGCAATGTCAGTTTGGAATTCACAATCCTTGCAGAAGTAAAGCTTGTCACTTCCTTTACTCAGCCTCTTCTTGTCGTGTTCAGCTTCGTACTCATTCTTTGCACCAGGGTGAGCCTGCTCCAAGTGATTGCAATATAGTTTGTAATACATACACTTAAACGGACACAGGGTGCAGTAGTGATTATACTGCTTTTCCTCTTTCTTGAAATACCCTTCTGGGGCATCGTGCTTCACCACGTCGTTCACTTCACGAGGATGATTCTTTGCCATATGTCCACAAATAGAATGATAAAACACTGTGAGATACAGGCAGTGCTTGCATTTGTATTGGTTTTCGCTGCTATGAGCCTTCTGGTGACTTTTAAATGAAGGACTGTTTCCTGTGGTGTACTTGCACTTGTTACACTTGTACAGTCGGTACTTCAGCTTGCTTTCAGGGTGATTTGTTTTAACATGGGACTTGTAGCAGGAGGAGGATAAAGTGATGTAATCACACAGTTCACACTTTATTGCTTTATCACTTTGGTGTGCCTTGGCATGCGTTTCCATAGATTTCGGATAGATTGTGGTAAAACTGCAAAGTTCACAAGAATAACCACTGTCTTCCTCTTCATCTGAATCTTTGTCTGAACCCTCTCCGACCTTGTTCTCACTCTCATCTTCAGCATCACTGTCATCATCTTCTTCATCAGATTGCCCTGGCTTTCTTTCCGGAAGTAGCTCTTCATCAGGATGCTCTTTTCTCATGTGACTAACATAGGATGTATGTTTTACTGTCAAATAATTACACTCTTCTGTTCCACAAGTGTATGAGTACTTGCTGTCATGAGCTCGGGTGTGATTTCTGTAGAATTCCATTCGCTTGGTCGTGAAATTGCACTTTTGACAGCTGTAAACCTTCTTTATAGCATGCTTTTCAAACAAATGCTTTTCCAGTGAGTACTTGTGAAGAGTCAAGAAGTAGCAGTGCTCGCATTTCAAGCAGCTTGGGTTTCCATGACACCGGAGATGGACTTCAAGAATTGCCTCTCTGTTGCTAGAATAAAGACACTTGTCACATTTGTACAATTGTCTAACGATAGCTGCAGGTTCTTCTTTGCTTTCTTTTGTGGGGGAACTTTCGATCTCAAAGGAACTCTGCTCTTCAGGATGTTTAGTGGACATGTGGGTGGCAAACTGCCGTTGACTTGAACTAATAAAACTGCAAAGTGTACACTTGAACGCATCAGGATCTTTATGTGCTTGAAGATGAGCTTTGAAATTTTTAGACCTATTGGTAGTGTATTCACATTGGGTGCACTTTTTTACCAGAGTTTCAGGATGCTTCAATTTCATGTGCTTTCCTAATTTAATGTGTGAAACTGCAATGTAGTTGCAGATTTCACAATGATAAAATCTACCCTCATCATGGTCGATTGTGTGCTTCCGTAACTTTTCCTGGCTGTTAGTTTCGTATCCACATTTTTCACATTGATGCTTGTACTTTTCTAGAGGGTTCCTCTTCATAGAAACCTTTTCTTTTGGATGGAACTTATTCATGTGCATACGGAATGTTTTGAAACAAGTGTTTATGAAAAGGCAATGGGGGCATTTGTAGTTAAACTCAGCATCATGAGAATTAATATGCTTCTCAAGATTCTTCTGATGTCTTGCAATAAAACCACATCTATCACACTTAAAAAATTTAAAAGTGAGACTACCACTTGCCTTTTTCTCACTCTTAGCTGGAGATTTTGGTTTAGGAAGCTTACTTTGCCCATCGATTTTCTTCTCAGGATGATGATGAGAAACATGCTTGTTCATAAAATACCAATTTCTTGTCTGAAAGTCACAATGATCACACTTGAGAGACTTGGGCATATGAACCTTTTTGTGATTCTTAGTGCCAAATGATTGCCACATTCATAAGAACATTGGTCACATTTGTACTCAAACACTGGTAAAAAATCTTTGTTTTCAATGCCGTTTTTTAACACTTTCCAGTCTGATGCAGATGAAGAGGTATGAGAACTTTTCATGTGTTTCTTTACCAGAACTATGGAGCCAGTCTTGAATTCACAAACATTACACTGATATGAAACAGAGTTGATGTGGCTTTTTCTGTGGCGAAGATATGTTGCATTACTAGCAGTTTTGAAAGGACAATCACTACAAACAAACTTCTTTTTTCGAATTTTGAGGATCGGTTTTGAGTCAAACGTTTCTTCTCTCGACAGTTCAACTTTAATAGCAGGTTCAAGTCTGGGCCTTTTATTTGGATTGTGTGTTTTCACGCCTCCAGGGTGTTTCCGTTTCATATGCTCATGAACATCAATTTGAGATTCAGATGAGTATTCACAATAAATACAGTCAATGAGACAAGGTTGTTCTGATGGCCCAACTTCGTTATCATTTTCATCGTTATCATTAGGATCAGGTGCCAAAACTTCAGGGTGATAACGGGAAATGTGATTACTGAACAAAGAATAAGACTGAACCCTGTAAGTGCAGTGAAAACAACTATAGTCCCAGACCACACTGTGACGAGCTGACATGTGTTTTTCAAATTGCTCACTAGAGTTACAGAAAAAATTGCAATCACGACAGTCATATTCACTCGATTCACGTCTGTCATTCTTAACATTGCTGTTGGATGATTTTTTGGCACAAGGAATAGAATGCTTTGCCAGTTCGGATTGAGAAGATGAAACATATGAACAATGAAGACAGTTAAACACTTTTTCATGTCCAATATGTGTTTTGCAGTGCTCTTGAAATTCGTCAAAGTCTTTGGATTGATAGATGCACATGCTGCAAGTGAAACAATCAGGAAACTTTTCGGCGCATTTTGCAATATGAGCAGTAAATGTCACCAGTCGATTTGCTGAGAAGTTACAAAATTCGCAAATATAGAAATCTGCTCCAATATTCTTACCATCTGAAATAGTTCATTATCAAAGATTGATTGAAGATACCGAAATTCACATGCAAAAATTGCTTAAACTCCCATAACGGCAAAATCTGATTCCCAGCCAAAAAGTTCACCCTCCCAGTCTATAACTAAAATTGAATACCTTCTTATTTTATTTACCTGGAGGAACTTCGGTAGTTGTCATTGTGAGTCAGTTAAGTGTACAATCTCATTGAAACCATTTCCTGCAACAACAATTTGATGTGATATGGCAATGTTGGATGTAAGGCAAACAATATCTACATAGCCCTACTAGTAGAAGATTAGATAACACCTTTTAATTATAATTACAATTTCACTTTAGAAATAATATATTTTACGCCAATATTGTACAGTTTAAGAGTGTTATTAACAGGAATTTTTGACCATTGACTATTCTTGCCTTACCCAACAAGCGTCTATTCTTGAAGTTTGAACATTTCCTGCCATAATTAAATTTTAATCCTGTCATGAAGGATGAAAACTATTGGCCATAGATCTGCTGTTTTCTGACAAAAGTGCTTAAAGACCACTGGTTTATAAGTACTTTGGTTACATTTTTGACCAATTTCGGCATTTTAGACAATCCCAAAAGGAGTGTTTTGAGGGCCAGTGATTAGTTCTAATGGTTTTCAGGAATAGGTCTTAATCCATAAAGGAAATTAGGGTGGAAAAATCCAGAATTTCAAAAATGATCTATGAGCACATTTGTCCGAAAATGGCAGAGATGAGGGTTGATAAAAGACTTCAAACGTCTGCTTTGCATTTCATTGACTAGTCTATATTATAAACTCTGTGTAGCTACACGTTTATTTCGGTTTTTACACTTCTGGGATAATCCTAAACAAAGGAATTTGCGTTTAACTGGCATGTCACCCGACCGAACTCCTTGAAAGGAAGCATTTTTACCTTTTCATGGTGCCGGGGTGATCGGGAATCAGCGTAAAAAATACAAGGATGTAGGTTACTTTCATGAGACTAGGGCCCTTTCACAAAAATAGAATTATACACCTACACAGATTGGTCCAATTCTAATTGGTTCACTCGCCAGTACACTGCTGATTTCATGTTTTACTAGCCTGTCATGTGACCAAAACAGTTTTTTGCTCATAACTCCTCAGGGAAGCATTTTAACCTCATGTCATGGGGGGATGTTTTGGAATTGGCATCGAAAAACACATCGTTGGATGCTTCTTTGATATTGCATGTGCTCAGGGCCCTTCTGTAAATGATTCAAGATCCTTGAATTTAGTGGGACCAATTCTTATCGCCACTCAACAGTAGCGCATCACTAACTTTTTCCTACAATATAGCCCAACAGATGCTGTCGAGAAATTTAGATCTGATCAACAGTTTGGGAATGTTCCTTTTGAGGAAATGTAAATCATCCTCTTACAGCCAAGTTCCACGGCTCAGTTTTGCGACCAGATTTGACTCAAAACTCCGCGAAAAGAGTTTTGAAAGGCAAAACTCCGCGAAGGCAGTTTTATTTACAATGTACGTTCCCACGGTTGGTATTTTTGCACGCAGATTTGCGCGCGCACGTGGGCGCATTATAATGAAATGTCCCACGCGAGCGCCCAGGTTAAAACTGCTTTCACAGAGTTTTGGGTCATATCAAAAATATTTCTCCATGCGGTGAAATATTTTTTCCCGATCCATGACTCAAAGTGCCGAAGGCACAAAAGAGTCAAGGACAAGGGTTAGCGATCGAGGTTTTTTTTGTATATGGTAGCTTTGCGACCGTGCGTGCGTGCGTGCGTACGTGCCCTCGCCCCCAGTCTAGTTATCGCCCACGTGTCTGCCTGCGCAAAGTTATTTTGCGCGATCATCTGAATTAAACAATTGTTGGCGCGCGGTGCTGAAATGTTCAAGTACATTGTTAATTTCACCATGTACGCATCCCGCTAGGGACTAATTGATAGCATTGTATTATTATTTTGAGTTAGTATTACTATTTTGCACAGATCCGTGTCAGGTTGCATAAACAATAAACATATGGTTACATAGAAATATACACGATTTTCAAATTCAATATAGAATTATATCAACTGGGCGGCGCTCGGCCTGTCACTCCGCCATATCTGCATGCTTATAAACAGCAAAGACTGGGGTCCCCAGGTGGTATGGAATATGATAAAATACTTCATCCCGGATCGGGAAATTGAGCGGCCAACAACAAAAGAAAAGCGGCAGCATTTCTTGTTGAATATCATTTCCGGTCGCAAAAATGTGAGAAAAAATGTGAGCAAATCTGGTTGCAAAACTGAGCCGTGGAACTGCAGGCTTACAAGTTTAACTCCTCTACAATACATTAACTTTGGATAATGAATTTCTAACAAAAATGATCTCTTGGCATTGATAATAGTAAGCTCGAATGCAAAGATAGCACAAACAGAATCTGGATTGTGTGGCGATAATTTAAAAAGTGACAATTTGATAAGTTGATGTAGTCTCAGGTAATAGGTACCCTTCATAGTTTCCAGATTATTTGGCAGAGTTTCTCCGGTAACACGACTTATGTCCGGCAGCGAGACTTGTCTGACAGCACTATTTTTTTGCATAGAAGGTTCTCGAGATATAAACCACTGATCTGGAGATATTTTCTTGTGTTTGAAGTTAAATTTATAATTTGGTACATAGAAATTTGCCAAAATTTCCACAAATTATCCGTCTTAAAACCATCTTACTATCTGTAAATTTTCAACAAAATCGCACAATAGTATCTGAGAGCAACTACTGTCTGGAAAACCTAATTTCTGAGTCGGACAAAAATCGCCAATCAGTTTCTCCTTGTTATTGTAAAACCAATACATGATCCAGGGATAAATTAATTCCAAATGAGGACCCTGCCTAAAGGTTTGGAATCTAGTAGTATAGTACTAGACTATACTAAAGTTAAAATTGTAAAACCTACTGAAATGAAGCTACCCTTAAAATACAATGTCAGACAGCCACACAAGCTACTGTTCCATAACCATAGCCAGTCTATGGGATTGAGCCGAGTTCATTTAAAAAATTTCACGGTAGCGCTCGATTTTTTCCTCATTCTTAGATTTTTATAGTGCGCGGCACTCCAAAAATCGAAACTTTCGCTTTCTTTTGATGACATTATATTTTAAAATAGTATAATCAGTTTATATTTTAATATTGTTGATTTAAGAAAATATGTTTTGAAATACAGACTACAGAGACTGCGCTTGTAAATAATTAAATTTTTGTCATTTTTGCGCAAAAATTTTAAATTCGAATTTTTCAAATTTTGACCAATTAATTTCGTATTAAAATCAACAAATATGGCCTTACTATACTGGGCGGCGCTCAGCCTGTCATTCCGCCGAATCTTTATTATTTTTATGAACATAATAGCCTGGGATCCCCAGGTAAATGTGGCCAATTAAGAAATATTGATTTTTAGAATTTTAAGATTTTCGTTTAATTAAATTATTTAATTTTAGCTAGTGAAATTATTTAAAACTTCAAATGTACTTACTTTGGTCATGGTCCAAATTAAGGTTTAAATGTAGGTTTTAAAAATGAAATCGGGTCACCTGGTGAGTGATGACCCGGTTTCACATTTAAAACCTGGATTTGGGCAAAGTAAGTACTTCCCTTTTTTACCTTCCAGAAGAAAGTGGCGCGCAACACTTAAAAAATATACTTCGGAATTTATATTAGACTAGTATCACCCGTCTAATAATAATAACATAAATTTTAAAAATGATGAAGATAAAATGCATATTGAGTTAAACATGAACAGTAATCCTAATTTAAATTATTCTTTGGATGGTTTTATTTAGAAACCTCAGAAATGACGAATTTTATTTATAAATAACAGAACTGACGAATTTGAATGTTGAAAGTTGTTGTATTTTACGTAAGTCATGTCTTTGACAGGAGATGAACAAATAAAAGTAATTACATGTTTATCTATGCTGTGGGATATGTATACATAATAAGGAAGCTGTCTTTAATTTGAAATCCTTCGAATATGGAATAACAGGGATTTGCTCTATCCGAAGCCCTTGCGCTTGCAGCAGCTTGTGGCCCGCAGTGGTGCAAAATGATATGTTAGATGTTAGACTTATTAAAAATCCTTAACTTTTACTGTTGTTATACATTCGATTAAATCAAGTGATGCAATTGGCAGAGGACAATACACAGGTAAAGGAAATTTTCCACCGGTACCAAAATTGAACCTAAACATGATATTGGTAATGTTAATGAATTGTATTGATTGATATGTAATATTTAGGCCCGTGGCCATTTTACACAAAATTAAACATGATATGTTAGATAGTCAGGAATTGGATTGTTAGAGATCAGAGATACAACTGTTCTAATATTAATTTACAAATCTTTAATGGTTAAGAAGTTACATTTTCAATATTGTTTACGGTTGTGAAATCCATCTGCTGCCCATGGAAGTTGACGAATCATCTTTCAGTTGGAAGTTAAATTATGACATCACATCATCACACATGCTTAAGAAGTATCATCGCACTATATGAAAGTATATAGAATAAGTATTTCCCCATCAACATTAAACATCTAGTACAATTTTATAAAATATTATCGGATACATTATATTTTAAAAACCGACCTAAGTAAAACAAAATTTAAATAAAACAAAATTTAAATCTATATATAACATTATGCTTCCCATTGTTTTTAAGGTTTACGAAATGTTTCTTTGCCACATAAGGATGAAACCAAAAATAAGGACAACATAATATTTTTATTTGTTTTCAATCTTACTATCACCAAGATGTAACTAGGTCGAACGGAGAAATTATGTCTCACACAGGAATTAGGTCTCACCCAGGCATGTGATATATATATATACAGGGTGGGCCAAAAGTCAGTACCCATATGTTGGGTCTTATACCTACGCTGTGTTTTATATTTGAGAGTTGTTGCTTTGCAGATGGCATACAGTACCTACTTGTTCGAGGATTCCGTCGCCAAAATTTGAAAATTCGAATATTTTAAACCACGCCCATTCAATATTAAAACACCTATATTGTTCTCTCTGAACATGCTGGACGCCTAATTTTTTCAGAGAAGGTAGATTATTAAATGTTGCATCTAATCTGAAAAAATTATGTAAAACGAATTTGAAATGACGAAGTTATCAAGCATTTTGTGTATCTCGTTAATAAAATTGACTGGGTGATTATGTGACACCGTGACACGACACCTTAATTGGGCAGCCTTAACAATTCCCATAATGTTAAACGGGGTGGTTAACGGGGTCACCTTATCACGTGATTAGGTAAGCCAATCACCTGATCGCACGTAATGAATAAACTCGTTATGCTTCGTATCTCGGTGATCTGAGAAGCTACAGCTCTCATTTTTTCAGGACAAACGTGATTCGAATTGCCAAACACTATTCAATAAAATTTGGCTCGATCCGACCATCCAAACTATCAAATAAATGCGAAAATGAACCTTATTGTTTTTTAAATGAACACGAATATTTTTCGATTTGACAAATTCCTCGAACCAGTGGTAGTAGTAAGTCATACTAGAAAGAATTATTTCAATTGGGCACTCAGTGACTGAGCTATTAAGGACAACGTATGGGTACTGATTTTTGGCCCACACTGTATATAAATACATTAAAAGCCGCCCCTGCTTGAGACCTAATTCCTGCATGAGACCTAATTTTTCCATTCGACCTAGTTACATCTTGGTGACATTAACTGCTTCCTTCGGTTTTAGAATACCTTTAAATTATTCAGTGGCTAAGTAGGACATGGTTCAGATATTTTTAATATCAGTAGATCATGTATGGATATTGTTTTAAAGATAAAGTGCAATGTTAAAAGCTATAAGTTAAGGAATCTTGTTAATTATTTATCTAATTGTGGTGCACAATTTCATATTTTTATATTGATATACGTAATTTTATTTGTTGTAAAACAAACATTGGGATACTCAAGGTGGTAATTATATTGGCCACTAATCAGTTCTTTATTCACAATAATTGTATAGTATTTAAGTAACAATTACCTTTTATACTTCATCTTCCTACTATCTAAATCTATACTTTCACAGTTGGACTAATGGATAAGTACTCTCTGAAATCGATATTTGCTCCCTTGCCGGTGACTACCCGTGGACAGAACTTTCACTTGCAATGTGATCCAAAGAATGAAAAGTTACTGTACTGCAGTGGGCCAGCTGTTGTTGTGAGGGACATAGCTAATCCATCAGTTTGCTACACCTATAATGAGCATCCTGGTATCCCTACAGCTGCCTGCTTTGCTCCCTCTGGCTTCTACATTTGCTCTGGTGATAACCATGGAAAGGTCAGAGTGTGGGATACAACTCAAGAAACCCATATCATTAAATACGAGGGACATGGCCTCAGTGGCCCAATCAAAGATATTTGCTGGTCCCCTGATTCCAAGCGTATCCTTCTTGGAGGAGCTGGCAGACAGGCTAGAACCCACTGCTTCTTATGGGATAGTGGTTCATCCTGTGGCAAACTTCATGGCCATAGCAAAGATGTCAATTCTATTGCACATAGCCCTGCTCGTCCATTTAGAGCTGTCACTGTTTCTGAGGATTACCAAATTGGTTTCCACACTGGTGTTCCATACAAATTTGAGAAGGTCATTACTCTTCACAAGAATTTTGTGAACAGTGTAAGATATAACCCCACTGGTGCCAACTTTTGCACAGTAAGTAGCGATAAAAGAGCTCTGTTGTTTGATGGGAAAACAGCAGAACATATAGGAGAGTTTAAAGATGAAAGTGGAGTTGCCCATAAAGGTGGGGTGATGGCTTTATCTTACAACTCCACTGGTACTCAACTGATCACTGCATCAGCTGATAAGACCGTTAAACTGTGGGACTGTGAAACACAGGCATGTATCTCAACTCTTGAAGTGGGTCAAGATTTGAATGATCAGCAGTTGGGCTGCATTTGGGCTGGGGCATTTGCTCTCTCTGTTTCGTATTCAGGAGATATTAATTATATTGATTTGAATTCAAATGCAATCACCAAAGTACTCAGAGGTCACCAGAAAAGTATTGAAACGATGGAGGTTAAAAGTGGAAAGGTCTACACTTCTAGTTTCGAGGGAAGATCGTCAATTTATGATGCTGAATCTGGAGATGTTAACTACTTCACTGGAGCCATTCATAAAAGCAAAGTCCTTGACACAAAGATAAGTGGTGATACAATTATATCTGTGGACAATTCCAACAAGATTCTCCGCACTCCACTCTCTTCCTGTGAGATGGGTGAAAGCAGCTCATCTGTCCCTTCAAATGTTAAATACTTTGATGTTCACTCTGGATCTGACACTGAAATATATTCTTGTGACAACACACTGGTTATGTTCAAAGATGGAAATCAAGTCTTCAGCCAAGAGCTTAAATATGACCCTAACGGATGTGCTATTTCTCCATGTGGAACTGTCCTTGCTGTTGGAGCCAAAGAAGCTCCTAAGTTGTACCTGTACGACATTGAAGGAAGCAGTTTTGTGCAACGTCAGGAGATTGCACTTACTGCAGCAACCACTGAAATCAAGTTCTCTCCAGATGGAAAGCTTCTGGGGGCAGCTACTGTAGGAAGAACTGTTCTGCTTCTTGACGTTGAGAAAAGCTATAAACCTGTTCAACACTGCTGGTCGACTCAAAGCAAAACAATGTCTTGCTCTTTCAGTCCTGATTCACGGTTCATGTGTGTTGCAGGAGTTGATACCAACATTGTTGTTGGGGATTGTTCTCAACCTATGGAGCCTGCTATAAAGATCATAAGGGCTCATCCCTTAGGTACAATCAACAGAGTCCGCTGGCTGGACGAGAAAACCATTGCTTCTTCTGGATCTGACATGCAAGTGAGACAACACACCATCAACGTTTAGAATTTGAACTCTTCAAGATTGGGTTTTGAGGACTGAGTAAGGCAATTAGATTTTTGGGCCAATTTTAATAGTTATATAATGCATTGTAACATTGTAAGTTATGTATTTGGTATCACAAAAATTCACTGATTCATACATCTTTTTACTGACGGCTTTTTTCTATTTGTAGTTTATGTTTTGACAGAAGACGTTATGCTGGCATCAGGTTTAGTTAGATGTGTCTTAGAATTAGCAGTAGTCCTTCTATAATTTGGAGGTATTTCGGATTTCTATAAGTGTTTTTTTTCTTAGAAACGATTTTGATTTGTCTTCGTATCAAGATATTGCAAGGTTCTGTTAATATATTGTTATTGGTTTTCAAATACCTAAACTTTGTAAGGAAAAGTAGTGTTTTTCACTAACATTTTGTAAGATTGATTACGTACAATCTATTATTTTCTTTTGTTTTGCTAAGTTTAGTTGTCAATCATTTGTGACCTGCAAGTAATTGTGATATTAATTAAATCGTCACGGGATTAAGTTTTTGTGTTTTTGAGGAAAATTACAATATTTTGTGGAAATTCGAATTAGGTCGGGAAGATGACATTTTATGATTTGTAAATCGGCATTTTTATCAATATCTCGAGTTTTGAGAATTCGGAAATTCATTCATACTTGTATATTTTACTAATTGCTTATAATGCCAAATTTGAATTAACAGCATACAGTTTATGTTTTGTGTCATAACATTTAAATTCGAAATTTGCTCGAAATTCGATAATGAAGCTAACCTCTTCTTGTCAAGCTTTCAAGATATTATATTGTATATCCTATAAAGTTAGGTATATTACTGTAACTCTAAATTCTTTTAAAGATGTCTGTAGCAGTAGGTGAGGAAGCTGGTGAAGATCCTAAGGAGGAACAGAAGGAGTCAGAGGAGATCCCAGCTAAGCAGATAGACTCCCCTAGCTCAACTCCTAAGATAGTGCCGGTTTCTTTACACGATGCTTCGCTCCAGGCACTCCTCTCCTGCGCTCCCCTCATATCACCTGTACTTTCTAACTCCTCCAAAACTGTCGCCTCCTCTTCTAGCTCATGCCAGTAAGTCTATCAAACAGGCTCGTCAGAGCACAAATATCTTCTTTTTAATCTGTTTTTATCGTAAAATATTTTATTTCTTCTGTGAAATATTTCATTTCTTCTGTATTAATATTAACCAAATTGTTTTCCAGTTCCCAAGAGACGTCGCCTACAACTATGCGACATCCCTTCTGCGTAGACAGGTCCATACTAGTTCGACCACCCAGAAGCTTTTCTCACAAGAGAAACAAGTAAGTTATTCCTAGCCAGATTTTCGCTCAATTTTAATATTCCCAACCGATGATATTCGACATAATGTAAGGACTGATGTATCATCCTCCGACCTGAATATGAATTTGTTCTTCACCAAGTACTTGTGTCCAGGTCTGCCCCGATCTGGTTGCACAGGTCAAGTTCGGTAAAACTCCTACCAGAAGGTGTGGAGAGCATGCAACGGAGAAGTTCTTTCGACGAGCTTTACAACCAAGAGGTTAGTTTTAACTATGATTATTTAGGGGGGGGGGGGGGGGGGGGGCCTCCCCTTATTTACAAACAAAAGGTCAGCTTAATTTTAACACGGCAATTGTGGTTATATTTTGGAATATAATTCAGAGTTTTAACTCTATAATACACTGTGGTATGTCATATAATATACAGCTAAGAATGTGTGTTGGTGTACCGTGTTTAGTGTGTCAGTTGTGCCACAATGCCACATGATAGTTCCTTGTAACCTGACCCGGACTAACAGAAGCTCCGCATCTCTCTCTCTCTCTCTCTCTCTCTCTCTCTCTCTCTCTCTCTCTCTCTCTCTCTCTCTCTCTCTATCTCTCTCTCTCTCTCTCTCTCTCTCTCTGTGTAACACGATTCTCTGAGAAAGAACACTCAAAATTCGTGACCGGTCGCGGTGCCTCTGAATTCTTCTAGAAAGTTTGAATTCTATTTTTGAGACGCTTCCTAGCAACAATTTTTAATATCATACCAGTAATATGAGAATCACATAACTTTTTAATTTTTATCCTGTCAATATCATGTGAAAGCTTATAACATTAGATATGCTAAATTTACTACAACTACAAGCTTGAAATACGATGCCATGCTTGTTCATGCTGCTAATAGAATGACTTATCTGGCTTTCTGGCTGGCTTTATCTTATCTTTGCGTGTCTGACATGTGAACAGGATAGAATCACTTGGAATGTGATGTCGTCTCAACTCTCAGCGTGAAAACTTTAATGTGTAGAAAAGTGAGTATGTCCAGCATCCGGCAAAGCTAGAGGTAGTGAATTATTACAGTATGTATATAAGCAATACTTGTCTATGACTTATGATGCATACATAATATAATGTGGCACTGATGTGTTAAATGCTGCACGAACATAGTTGGAATGTAGTTACATGTACATAAGATATGTGTAGGAATTTAAATCTTCTCACGGTCATTAAGTCATTTAGCCCGGTGCTAGAATATTTCTACGGTGGTAAAATAAGTCAAATATAAGTGCATAAGACGCTTTGAGTTAGTTTAATATGGTAGATTCCTAATGGAGGTTAAAGAGCATGATCTCATATCTTCTTTGTTCTAGGAATTAATCTGTCTTATTAACAACCACTCTACCCCAAACATCGGCTTGCTCCTTTCTAATTATCCAATTAATTAGGGTAATTATAACGATGATAATTGCAGAATGTAGCTGATATCTTAAACCCCACCTACCTCAGGACTCACCGTCCCTACCTCTGAAGCTGAGCAGCGCTGCCAGTACCGACGAGGGAGTCTGGACCAGCTGTTACGAGAGTGGCAGTGCCAGTACACCTAGTACTGAGGACAAACTGGACGATAACACCAACAGTATCTCCAGCTGTGTTAATGTGAGTGCGCATATTTTATTGAGACCGTGCATATTTTTGGTCTAATTGTTTAAATGGTAAATGTGTGACCTAGCTGATTTTGTTAGATCATATTTGATCTGTTGAAATTAGGGCCTTGTAAGGGAGTCCTTACAGTGCAGAAAATGCGCATTTTAACTTGACAATTCATAATGTCTGAACAGATATAGAAGTACATAATATTGATATTATCATTTCAAGTCTCGCTTGGATGACTTTAAATGTACACCTTCTTCCTTCCGGTATGTTTTAATGTCGAAGCGTGTAATAACTAATAATTGTTACAATTTATTTATACATTTATTTCACTGTCGAAAATGTATCAAATTAATGTACAGATAGTAGCTACGAGATAGCAACCGTAAGTTTAGTGACATTGCAACTGCCAGGCTTCCCGTATAATTACACATCCTCACAAATTCCAGCAATTCTCAGCACATTCTTCATATTACACTGAAAAATGAGCACCAGTGATAAACATACCAGTGGTAAACTTTTCTTCGAAACTTGTGCTTCAACGCTACTGGTACTTCTCATATCAGCGTTACTCAAATGAATTAGTTTTGGCCGGTTCCTTCTTCAACACGGCCTGAGTTGTTGATTTCAAACGGAAACGTGCCAAAAATACAGAATATTTCGTCGTTATTTTTAGGCATGAAGTAATGTGGCGACAAAGTTGAATGCCTGGAATTACTGAGAAATTGGCTTGCGTACCAAAATGATAATATATCTAGATCTGCAAAAGCTAGAATAATTTTAGTGCGATATACTGTAATCTTTATCAATTTAGCCGATATTGCTTATGAATCTGACCGCAGTTCTAACAACTCTTATGATTGATTAACCGCTGTAATATTTATAAATTACATATAATATTCACTATGTAACCGCCATAATATAATGAAATTTATTATAAAATGTGAATAAACCGATTTGTTTTCAGTCAAGTGATCTAGATGAGGCTTACAACACGGAATCATCCTCTCTCGAATTTACTGGTACGTGTTTCTCAACATCTTTTAATTTCTTTTCATACCATTCGCATTCGTCATAATCACTTACAATATTCACGGAAACCCGTCGGGATAAAAAGATTGACACCGTTGAATAGCAGCTGGGGTGTTGAATGTAGGCTAAACCTGTTATAGCCTACAGTAATGAATGTAGCCTTACTGTAGCCTTCTAACATTTATATTATTTAACAAATATGTGCCCGGAAATACGTCCTAAGATAACACAGGTTATAATGCATTGTTTGTCTTACCTTGTAGTGCGTTATCATTATACATACACCCGAGAGCTTCGTACAATACAATTACAAACCTATATTATATACTGTGCCTCTCTATACCGGGCCCCTTCTTTTCCCCCTAACTATTATATAATAAGTTAATCAGCTCGTTTTGTGCAAGGAATGTGATTTGCTGGTGATTTGAGTGAATTTCCATCACAATACGTGCATTTGAAGCCCTAATAAGTAATGGCCAATGGGGTATATCAGACGCTAGACAGGGGTTTTTCTATACCGTCTACTTTTCGTTCCCCCCGAGAGGCCCGGTATATTATGACGCAGTGAAATATTTCTATAATTTTCTTAAATGCTCTGAACGACTGAACAATTCTAATAGGCTGAGCTACAATTAGAAACATGTGGTCGGAAACAGACCATTTAACTGGTAGTTTGGACTGGGGAATGTTTAATTATAATATATGTAACTACGTAGAGGTAGTAGGATGGAGGTAATAGAACAGTAGTACTGACTAAACCACTGCACTGTAGGGATAGTATAGTGGATACTGTAGAGTTAGTGTATATTATTATAGTAGGCAGTTTAAAGACAGTCCACATTATAGTGGCCTTACCTTACCTTACCTGAGCTGGGTAGTGGGTACGTTATACTTCATAGGGGTAGTACCTGGGGAGTCTAGTGGGTACGTTATACTTCATAGGGGTAGTATGTGGTACTACTGATATAATAATAACACATAAAGCTGGCCCAGTGTGCTGGTGCTATATAAGAATAGGTAGCGCTGGTGCAGTGTGCTGGTGCAGTGTGCTGGTACCAATGTGCTGAATGCTGATAGAAGCAAGATAAAGGAGCTGGAGGGGTGTGTTTAATATCTAAACTAGGTGGCAAGTGTCAACAAGTAACTGTTACAAGATGTAACATCTGTCAACTACCCACACTGGTTACCTCACTTTACCACCCCCCTGTTAATATTGATAAGAGAGAAGTGGAATCTCGTGTAAATATTCTATTTGTGTGTGTTCTTGTTACTTGGAGATAACTGAAGATAATTTACACAGCAATGTTCTGAAAGCACTGGAAGTATTTGAGGTATTTTCTGGAGATGTATGAAGAGTAATAACTGTATATGAACTATGAATCTCTCTCTGAAAGGTTGACAGTTCTAGAATTATAAAAGGAGCGGGCGGGATTGTAGCGATGTAGCGATGACAGGCTGCTACTCAGGATTACTCAGGCTTGCTCAATACCACGCCTAATTAGCGTTTAATCGTGTGATTACATAATGAGCTGGTATTTCCTCCTCTACCTGCTAGACTATTCTGTGTACTGTACTACCTGCATCATTACTAAACCACAGAATAACGCATACAGTGAGATTTAGAGCGCATCATGATACTACTCAGCTTACAAACCACTAGATATTTACCAACCTAATGTACCGTTAATACCGCCCTGTCTAACCACGCCCAACATTATATATTATACAGGCTGCACTGAGTAGTGAGCTGTGAGTATAACTTATCGGCAAATAGCAGCAAAGGGCCGGGTCTCAGTAAAGGTATTCATTATATTCCATTAGAGACGTGAGCAGAGTAAACAATTGGCACATGCTCCACTGCATTGTTCCTTTATAACAATCATCTCTGTGTTCTGATGATAGTTTAGCTAGTACTGGTGATGCTCTCACTGGTCAGTATACTATACTGCTAACTTACAGAACACACCCAAGCCTGGTACTATTCTAGGCACTTGCAAATATTTATTGTGCACATTTTAAGGCGTGAGTTGAATCTGATCTGGTTACGAGTATCTGAAGTGGTGCACACACATCACGCATGTGACATTCCTTTACATTAATAGATAGATATCTGGAATTTGATAAAGTGCTTTGATGATACTTCAACATTATAAAGGATTCGAAACCTTATAGTTAAGACTCAAATTTTAACCTTTGCCATCGCAAGCGACTCTTAATAAATTAATTTTGTCGCCCTGAATCAATTGAGGTTTCCCAAACGCTTCATTGACTAAGTAGGTTTTCAACTACTTTTTGAAGTCTAGAATATTTTTGCAAGTACTAAGTTAATCAGAACATCTCATATATTACATATTATAAGCTATTCCAAACTGAAACGGTAGCATAGCTTAGGTAAAGTAAGTTTATAATTAGAAATTTTTAGAGTAGTGCCAAAAAATTAGGGCATGGTGTGAGAAGGGGTCACTCTGACGGGGTATCTGGCGGTTTGAAATCGTTCAACTTGTCAAAATAGTCCTAAACCTACAACTTTCAGAGCGGCGGATTATTTTCATGCCCAAATATGGTAGTCAACTAAAGTATGCGAAACACGATAAGAGCGTAGTGCTCGTGTTGTTGAAAAGTCAGCGGATTCACTGTTTGAACTTCGTCCAGCAATATGTTAACAGTAATATTTACTGTATTAATACGCCAGGTCAAGTAGCCACTAATAATGCTAATAGTGTGTGTCCTGTGTCCACTCTTCCTGTCCACTTGCTGCTCAAGCTTTAATAACCACGTTAATAACCACTTCAATAAAAACACTAGTTGTAAATCTTGAACTTTCTCATTCCTGTAGGAGTATTGGAGGAGCCAAAATGACTGTTCATTATGTCAAATAAATGTTAATGAAAGAGAGACCAGGTTCAATGCCACGGCTCACACTAACCTGTCTCAAACGAGACATTTAATGAAATGTGCAGTGAATGGTTTACTGTTAATATTCATATCCTGTGTCTGTTGGCAACGATAATAAATTGTAATAATTACATGGCACTCGGAAACTGAAGACGCACTCTATGATACACCGGTGTTACACAAACTATAATGTTATATCTGTGTAATCAGATGAGGCATATATATATAAAATTTAATATGATGAGGAAAATTACACACTTGCTCTGTTATTATTATATTGTGTGTGTGTGAGAGGATGGGAAGTGATTGTACCACGATAGCGTGTGTAGACTGTAGCGTTACTAGGTTTACACAAGTGGGCTTTTATGTGTTAAATTAGTGTGTTAATTAACTCTGTGTTCTACCAGAAACATTTAAATGTTATAGTATGTAACATATGATACATACACATTACACATATTATTACTCAAATGAATGTACCATATTTTAATTAATTTATACTGAGTGTAAAAAATGTACACACGATCACGATCAAAGATGTACACTGAATATTTCGAGACACATTCTTGCATACTGAGTTTTATTATTATTATGTTAAAGGTTTATTATGATGTTAGGGTTACATATTATTATTTGTAACATATTCACATCGCTTTTTCTGCAGAAGAAGATTTTCTTGACTTTAAAAGTTATAGTTTGTAAACAATAGTTTCACTGAGGCACGCGAAGGTTCGCCACCAACCAATTATACCAATTTTGAGAAAAAGAAGAAAGTTCGAGCTTTTGTCTTCCAACACCAGGGTCGCGTGTGACCTTTCAAAACCTAAGGTGATAACTTGACCTTGACCTTTTGAATAAGATTCTTATTAACTCTAGCACGAGAGTCGAGAATAATTGAATTTATCCAGATTTAGCTATCTTGTTGAAGAATGTAAACTCCCAAAAACCCTGGTAGACGGTGCTTGTCGCACCGAACTTAAATTTCGTACATCAAAAATAGTTTTCCGATAATATCTCATAGCATTCTTCACATTCCTAGTATGTTAACTTTCTCTCAAATCACATTGTTAATCAATTAACTGCCAACAACTCCCCTATCAAATATCAAACTGGAGCTGAAGGAAGTACCCTCGTTGAGCCATGTCTGGCTCCGATCCAAATCGTGTAATAAAGTCGCTAAAATCTGTGAGCCTGAATATTACTTACATCGCTAACATTCCTGATCCTACTCATAACAGATCTGTGTACTGTGGCTGTATAGTTTATATTGTATACTACATGCTAACTGTGCAGTGTACTGTAATAAAACATAACGTGTACAATTATACAGTACACCTATTAGCTGATATGGTCCAGTGTACTTTGTAGTTTGTATGAAATATATACATATATTATATATGAAATATATTAATATACATGATTACTATTCAGGGTGTTTTAAAGAGAATTTCTTTATTTTTAATGGAAATTTTTTTTTCATGAACAGAAAACATCACAATTTCTTTTGCGCAATTTATCTGAGCCATAGCCACATTTTTGGTGGATTTTTGGCTCGTTTTCAAAACATCGGCAATTACAACATAACTCTCGAACCAACTTTCCGGGTTATCAATCATCAGTCCAATAAAAATTTAGATAAAATGCCAGTCAAACTGGAATGAAAAACCAGATAAGTAGCCCAAACTATCCCCTGCCATCGTCAATTATCCATATAAGCAGGAATAAAAAGGAAATATATTTCAATTATGACTCAGTGGTGTAATAAAGTAATAACTAATTAGACATTTAGCCCTTAACTCTGAGAGACCGGGGCAAGGTTACACACTTTCTCAATTCTCTCACCTCGTCATTATAACAACGGTAAATAGGAAATATCACATACGGAGACTAGCTATCTAGCTATCTGGTGTAGAGCCCACAGTGTGGAGCCCCCTGAGAGGTAGGTTATATTGTGCACTCTCCCCCCACTGTGCACTCTCCCCCCACTGTGCACTCTCCCCCCACTGTGCACTCTCCCCCCACTGTGCACTCTCCCCCCGCTGTGCACTCTCCCCCCACTGTGCACTCTCCCCCCACTGTGCACTCTCCCCCACTGTGCACTCTCCCCCCACTGTGCACTCTCCCCCCGCTGTGCACTCTCCCCCACTGTGCACTCTTCCCTCACCACAGTCACATGGAGTCTCCTACAGCACACGTCTACACCACTATGTTTTAAAACAGCGAGCACCAGCTGTCATGTAAGATGCATGGAGAGCGGCTTGTTTGTCTCTAGCTGCTCGCTCCACTGTGAAGTGGGCCGGAAATTCGCACGAGTTACGTAACCGTGACATTTCTCAACCATTCTGTAATGTGATAATTAGTGACACAATGGATTACATACTGCTGTAAGATTATTCGGCTGATATATATAACTCTATTTCCATCTCGCATACCAATGCTAATGTTGGTAAGATTCTATTTATTGTCATGAGATAAGATTAGGATCTGGAGACGAGCCAAAAAAGAGGACCTATTATTTAGGTTCTCATTAGATTAACTGTAGTCTGTAGCCTTGTCATAGTGTGGAACTAAGGCTCAGTGCTTTGCAAGTCTGACGGTTAACAAGCCATTATACATAAGCTTTCCGTTGTAAATAAAGAAACCAAAGACAGTGTTATGTATATATTATATAGTGTTAGAAGACTTGACAGTTTCACGTCACACGTTTATAATATTGCGATAATAAATACCGATTAATAAAAAACTGTATTTCTAAGAATTTATCACACATATTATATCCGAAAAGAATTCTTGGAATTGCCTATCTGTATCCTGTAAATGAATAAAACGCTATGCTGCAGTTTCATGTAGACTGCACTCACTGCAGTTTCAGGTACACTGTAGTTGCAGGTACACTGTAGTTGCAGGTACACTGTAGTTGCAGGTACACTGTAGTTGCAGGTACACTGTAGTTGCAGGTACACTGTAGTTTCAGGTACACTGTAGTTGCAGGTACACTGTAGTTGCAGGTACACTGTAGTTTCAGGTACACTGCAGTTTCAGGTACACTGTAGTTACAGGTACACTGTAGTTTCAGGCACACTGTAGTTTCAGGTACACTGTAGTTGCAGGTACACTGCAGACAGTGCAGAGTGCAGGTACACTGCAGGTATACTGTAGTTGCAGGTACAGTGCAGACAGTGCAGACTGCAGAGTGCAGGTACACTGCAGGTATACTGTAGTTGCAGGTACAGTGCAGACAGTGCAGAGTGCAGGTACACTGCAGGTATACTGTAGTTGCAGATACAGTGCAGACAGTGCAGAGTGCAGGTACACTGCAGGTATACTGTAGTTGCAGGTACAGTGCAGACAGTGCAGAGTGCAGGTACACTGCAGGTATACTGTAGTTGCAGGTACAGTGCAGACAGTGCAGAGTGCAGGTACACTGCAGGTATACTGTAGTTGCAGGTACAGTGCAGACAGTGCAGAGTGCAGGTACACTGCAGGTATACTGTAGTTGCAGGTACAGTGCAGACAGTGCAGAGTGCAGGTACACTGCAGGTATACTGTAGTTGCAGGTACAGTGCAGACAGTGCAGAGTGCAGGTACACTGCAGGTATACTGTTATAGTTGCAGGTACAGTGCAGACAGTGCAGAGTGCAGGTACACTGCAGGTATACTGTAGTTGCAGGTATATGTACACTGCAAGCGAGTGGTTAGTCTGTAGCTTCGCTCAGTTTGCATTTAATTGCAGTGCAACTACTAGCAACTAGTGACTAGCTGTTCCTTCCGATACAAATTACTGTTCAACCATATTCTAGAAGCCATGTCCAAAGAAGATGTAATAAGTTAAATAATGCAAATTCTAGAATACTCTGAAGTTTATTTTCTGATCTGGCAAGAATCAGTACTCCTATTATCAGTCACTCATGGAATATAAACCCAGTACATAGCACTGAGTAAGATATTGTTGAACTGTAGCATCATGAGTTATACATAAAGCTGGTAACTGTGAGGGAATGTAACACCAGCTGCTGGGTGTTACAAGATTACAATTATAATGTACAGTGTTACGTCACATGTACAGTGCTACGTCACACTGATAAGGGTGATAAGGTTAGCGATAATTGTATGTATTGATAAATCCCTGCTACCACTGAAGATAAAGAAGGAAGTAAATACAGGAAATCATGTTCCAAGGCTTTCCAGAACTCCGGATTCTTTTTTATTTCATAGCTTTACATATCTTTACATAGCTTTTACATATCACAAAATATCACAAAATCCAATCAAGCGAGATATCACAGACTTTTCTATAAATATACTTTTATAAAAAGATGTAATCAAGTTAAAAGTTTCTAGAAAGTTTAACTAGTATTAAGAGATATGGATACCCTATATAGTTACTGGGCGGCGCTCAGCCTGTCATTCCGCCGAATCTTTATTTATGAACATAATAGCCTGGGGTCCCCAGGTAACCTATATAGCTGTAGGACAGTCAAAGAATCCCTATCCTAATTTAGTGATATCTAATATAACATGATGCAGGTTACCCAGGTCTGGTGAGCAGTAGAACGTGGATAGAAGTCCAGGAGGAACAAACTAATAGTAACCTTGTGTCTGTCAAAGTCGGGTAAGTTACATTTTACTTCTCGGGTACTTTGAATATTTATTTATTCAGTTATATTTATTTGACACATATTCTGTTATTAAAATTTAAAACTTATCTTCATTTAGGTCTAAATCTTCGCACGTGGTACACTTTAGTGTAAAAGCTGGCGATGTCATTACTTGGGAATTTGCTACCCTGAAACGAGACATAGGATTTGGTGAGTGAATTTTTACAATTTTGTATATTTTATCGCCATTCTGTTAACTCATTCTCTGTTCATGATATTTATTTATAGTGTAATAGTCTCGAACCGGCGAGTAAACTTAAGTTGAACTGCTGTATCAGTGTATTATACCAGAGTAGAAGTGGTCCTTCCATCGCTGTAACATTAGTAGTTTTAGGCACGGTAACATTAGATAAGCTATCAGAAATTCTCGTGAGGCAAGCTTGCCAATTCTGCTCAGATTATCTTACGTTTAATTTTAGGTATCAGGCCCACATGTTGACGTGATCTTATGCTAAATATGTTCGATTTTTCTGTGTCATGAGTTAAAACATATTATTTCATTTAGTATGCGAAGGGCGAGAAGGGTGATTAACATCTAAAGAGGGAAGGAAGCATTATGCATTTCGGGCCCGCGCGTTCTGCGCGGCCCAATCGAGAAAGTACATCACTGTCAAATTTCTTGCATTTGAATTAAAGTGTTTGACTGTTATCGTTGTCTGTGTCAGGCGCGCATCCTTCGCGCGCAATGTTTACTTATACGCTACTTATCCAGCAAACAAAACACAGTCAAGCGTCGTGATTAAATTATTAAAAATCTGCATTCTAATAAAACCACGCCTGGTTGTCTAGGATAATTTTGTTTTTAATGCATCATATTCACGAATCTGCAGTGCAATTTTAAAATGATATAATTCGTGCGGTAACTGCTGTAGGCCGTAGACTTGGGTAGATATACACAACTTTTTTACTTATACCAATTAATAGAAATTGCTCTACAGGAATTCTGTTTGAGTGCTCAGTGGTAGAAGAAAAGAAATGTGAAGATGGCGAGCTCACAGATGTGGTTGGTTTCTAGATGATTTCCTTTCAGATTTGACATCAATCTTCGTCAATTAAAGTGTTCTGGTGATTGTTTAACATGACACTATATAATGGTATCCAAATATTTCAACATCCTCTTAATTGCTGACCTTCCAGGACTCGATAACGTCAGGGTATGGCGTTATACCCATTCTTCCCATCTTCAAAGTCAAGTCCAACATTTCACCGATATTTGGTAGTCACGAGGCAGTCACGGACGGTGTTTATGTAATGACATGGGACAACTCCTACTCAAGGTAAAACTTAATATATAGTTCTTAGTTTTGCATTTTTATTTATCTTCGTAAATTATTTCGAAACCTTTCATTTGGGTTCTTGATCTCGATAAGCTGGTGACTAATGCCATTTTCCCTTCCAGGTTCTTCGCAAAGGATCTGTACTATCGAATAAGCACCCAAACAGAGATATGCACCTCGGAATTCCCCCACGGTATAATCAGTTTCCAGCACAGTGCAGCGTACCCCGCACTGGAGGAGGTAGAAGAGAGTAACTCCTCTCACATCAGTTCCGGAAGTGATGCGAACGAGCACACACTCTGCGAGAGCAGTGATGAGCGAAACGTCGTCATGACCACCGTCATAACGCAAAATCATGTGGATGAAGCGAATACCGTTTATTTCGATGTAGCCAAACACTCCTCCACCAACGACATACACGACATTTGAACAACGAAAGTTGTGGAATGTGCCGTATCGTTACTTTTCTGTGGGTTGTTTAGTCCGTTCCTTGCAATCAGTCTCCGAATAACAGACTTTTACCTTCTTCATTTTCACATAGATGTATAGATACTTTGCCGAAAAGGCAGGGAAAACTGTGATCATTTGGGGAGATGCACTATGTTTGATTAAACTTCAAGGAATCGTATACATCAAACCTGAAGACAATTATTGATAATCAAGAACAACAAACACCGGTCACCTATTGTGGTATATTAATGTGATAATCATTTCATGTAACCACAACGACATCCTCTTGTCACTCAGAAAGAAAAAAGACAATATAGATTCATTTCATTATTTTAAGTTAGGGCGTATTAATTTGCTCTATCTCAAATTTATTCACTCATTGGCCGTGTCTTGATCGACATCTGTCAAAATTATGTACTATAAAAATGAAACTTAAACCATAATAAAATAATATTACGTTTTGGTTAATCAATAATTAATACAACAATTTAAAGCTTATTGCGCTGTTAGCCATTTAAGTTAGCGGGGTTAGTTACGTTGAATTTGTATTCATTGCTTGAAATGTTTTGATTACTTGGTCAATTTAAGTTACAATCAGACTGAATAGTCATCTAATGAAGAGGGAAGGCTGTAGATAATTTGCTGTACTGTAAAACATCGTTTGCGCATTTTGTTTAATTATACAACAACAAGTGATGATAAATGAGTTTATGTTCCATTTGAGTTTATAAAGGCTGGAAATACCATGAACAAAATAGCGAGAAGATGTTTTACAGTATTATCCAACCTCGTTGTGTCTTGTATAAAAATGAAATTGTTTTTTTTTCTGAGTTTCGTTTCGTGTGAATTTTCGTAGAGACTAATTTAATTGATATGGATTTAACAATCTTTGGAATGCTATATTATAATTTTGTATTTTTTAATTTCTTCACTAAATAATTGTAAAGGTTTTGGCGGGCTAACAACAGATCAAGATGAAAACTCGTTGCTTTCTAAAATCCGTAAAGTTTTCAAAAAGGTGATCTTGGATTGTTGTTATTCTGACTATATCATGTGTAGTGTCACGACTGTGTAACGTGTTTAAGTATAAATCTTTTATTTCAAACATTCAAAAAGAAAATACTTATTTCTCTTCTTTATCTTGACAGAGACTACTAGACATTTTCCGTCCAACAAGATACTCACCTCCTGCGATACACGTCTTTTTGAACAATTCGGGTAACTATTGTCAGGGTTCCTTCCGTGCTGAGAAAACTGAGGAGACCTGCATTTTTATGGTTCAGAATGGCAAACTTTTAAATCAAAACTACCATTCTCATAACATATCACGTATCCTCCACGAAATATGGGCTCGATGATGCCCGGTTGTCAGTTAAAGTCTACATAATGTGCCAGTTCCTGTAGTCTGGAATACATGTTATCAAGATTGTCCTTCAGTTTCCCAACATCCACCTCCTGGTCGTTGGTCTGATCAAACTCCAACTTCGTAGGTTGAAAGTCTGATTTTATTTTGATAGGGATGTCGTCCTCCAGTCCTGAACTTGAGAATAGTGAACCTTTAGTTTTACTTTCACGAAGCTTATCCAGCATCTGTATCTTTAGTACCTGGAAACGTACCTGTTACACATTACATAATCATGATAATATGTGTGAAGTAAAACTTTACAGGTTATCAGTTCTCACAGAGTCGTAACTGGCAAAATAGAAGATGTCTTCATTAACTTTTGACCATATTTGGATTTGGTGCATTTTACCTATTCGGGAATATTATGCAATTTGCTTGAAATACATGGTTCTGTTACGAGCAACGTGTCCCTAGAAGCATAAAATCCTCTAAATATGGTCTCAAGTGATCCATTTTATTTTATCCAAGGTAAGTTTTCAATGAATTGACCGGAGCTAGATAAAGTTCATTGGTTTAGTGGTACAACCAAATAAGGAAATATACAGAACCTTGGGATGCTCGACTCTTGGAACTTCAAAAGGTGGCCTGTCTGGGATCATGAAGATTTCATTTATCTCTTCTCCACAAAACAACTGGTCACTGAATGGGGAAATCATTAATTTGGTTTTTTAATTCAGTGATTAAAATGGGGAACAGTTGCTTGAAATCAAAGAGCGTTGACTGTGCACAAACAAGCTCAGGTTATCCAGCTCTATTACGATTGATTAGTTATCAACGATAGTTTATAAATTTTAAACCTATAGCCTAAAATTCAAAGTTGATATCCATTGCTACCTGGCATGTTGATTAAGGATACGTTGCCCCCCTCTCCTTGAGTTAAGCGATTCAGAAGTAGTTCTATCTGTACCACCTGAGTTGGTCCAATGATGAACCCCTGAAGATGAGAGCTGAAGTTCTCGGAGGTCTCTTCACCGAATTCATTTGATTGTGATGAGCTCACTGACCCCCATCTTAATTTTAAATTATCAGTGTCAGTTGCAGGGGATGTGTTTAAAGACTGTCCTTGTCCTGTATTACTAGACCTAAGTTTTGAGTGGTTGTTCTGATGGATGAGTCGGTCCGCGCTGACGGGCTCTTTTTGATAAACTGGAGTGCTCACAAGGAAAGTGCTGTCTGGGGCCAGTCTATTTCTCACACGTACCGGTGTTTGTCTAAGTGATCGTGAAAGACTGTTATCAACATGGATTGGAGGTGTTTGATTCACATTTGCAGGATGGAGCCTAGATGGAATAGGATTTGCGTGTTGATTCCAATGATGGATTGGGTTAGTTTCATGTTTAGGGTAACCTTGAAATACTGGCTTCAGTGCCCCACCCTTGCTATGATGTTCTTGTAAGTTTGTAGGAGGCACAAAACCGGTAAACGAATTGTCAACGTCAGAATGACATCGATAATATTGGGACATGACAGAGACTGGATGATGGTAGATATATCAACGATAGAACTGTGCGAAACTAGGAAACTGTGTTTTTTTTGCGACGATTCCTCTTTTTGGCTCGAATTGTGTCAGTACACTACGGGACAGATACTTCTTGCATAATATGCTGCATGCTGGAGACACCATCAGGCAGAAACTAGAGGTTCATTATGCACTGATTAGGTGTATAAAGCAAAATACTAATTTAATTGGCCGTCGTATGTTTAATTTTAAGAACGAATACTGCGTTTTAATAATTTGAATTGTAGAAGGTAAATGATCAAACCTATTATATTGGCGACACTACAATATTAAAAATAATAATTTACCTTAAAAATGAAACGTAGGATTCAAATTATCACGGCTCAGATTGATCTCAAAAGACTTTTACTACAATTGTCAATTTATAAGGTTAAGTTTTTACACTTGCTCATTGTATTGATATCGTAACTAAACTACAAACATAAAAGTTGAAAGATTATCAAATCCCAGCTCAAATTACACTGCAATACCCTGTCCATACCACCGTTATAAGTTTACCACTGCACATCACAGGTCGGCTTCCATTAAAAATCCAAATCCATTACAAAACATATGAATAATGTATCCAACACTTATGTTAAGACCCATGCAAATTGCATCAATCACTGAGTTGATGAAATATTTTCTGGTCAGTTTATTGCATTGGCATGCTAGTATACCACCAACCGAGAAATAAAACGGTAAAATGTACAATTACTGTATTCTAAATGGAGCATTTTAACATAGATATTTAGCTCTAGTCACTAAAATCAAATACCAAATATCATCCTAACATTAAACTACATTAAACTAATTGTTTCATACTAATGAGCTTGAATCGTGAATTATCATAAATGAAATCGCATTAAGTAACTTTTATAAATCTGGCATATCTTATTCCATTGATTAATAAAACATATTGACGGATGTCCAATGTCCGTGGCTCAGGAAATTTATCTGTCAACTGAAAAAATGTTCATTGTCCAGGGTCGGTTAAACCCATGGGCTTACTTTTCTGAAGTTCCTTGCTGACTGCTCCCAGCCTCCCCACCCTCTACACTGCTCACAATGGCCTGTATCTTCTGCAAATCATCCTCGATGTCGTTTTCTTCAGCTTTACTTTTTCGTTTTGACAGGATCGTATTTTTCAGAACGCTCTTGGTTGTTGCCTTGACTCCTTTGTGAGCCGGTTTCCGAGTTACTGGTAGACTGACAACTTTCTTGGTTCTTGGTCCCCCTTTTTTAGGTTGTTTAGCGATGTTTAAAGCAGTTATGGCAGCTTCAGCACTCAGCTTTTCTTCACTCGGCGACTCTTGTGATGTTGATGTGCTAGGGCTGTCGGGCTTAACTTCTTTGACGACTTTCTGAGAATAATGCAGATTAAACTTCCCGAATAATTTTACAGTATAAGCGAGTGCTATGTGATAAAAGTTTCAAAGCAACTTCACAGGATGATCCGGCCAACAACAATTGTATATCATTGTTCAACAAAGCGCTATTTGAACGAAAAGTAATATCTAAAAAATACAATTCATACTTTTTTTCGTCTCTTCTTTGTCTTCTTCTTGGGTTCCTTGGTGGATATCTCGACCATCTTCTTTGCAGGCACACCCAGAAATCCAGAGCAGTTAGAAGAGCCACACAAACAAGCCTTCTTCTCCTGACCCCGCGTGTCGAACTGGTAGTCAAACGTCAGTTCTTCTCCAGACTTGATATCTCGCCTGGTGATGGATTTATTTAGCATAGGTCTTCTATCATATGCTATGTATTAAATCTTTAAATGTATATTGCAAGTGTTACTACACGTATCATAAGTTTGTCGTACCAAAATAGAAATTTATAGTCAGTCAGAATGGAGATTCGCGGTGTAATTTCACACTTACTTCGCAAACAGTCCGATGCAAGTAAGACCGAGAACGTTCCATTTCTGAGTTTCACAGTTCGGGTCACAGCTGTGGTTCATGAACCGAGCATTGTTTGCTTTGGGTTTAGCATCAATTATCCTGGAGTTCTCTACAGTCAACTGGAGGAGAAATGATTAATTAAAAGATGGAACAAAAGGACTGACTTCTTAAACCTTCAGAGATTCTGGTTTTAAATAATATCAAATTATCAAGTCTAAAATTAGAAAAATGCCAAGGCTACATACCATGTAATAATCGGTGATCCCACTGGCTTGATAGTTCTGTAACCTATTCTCAACCTCCTGCTCATCTATAATCTCCCCAACATACTCGTGAACTAAAGTTCCAGGAGTGACATCCTCCTCAACCACCAGACCCCAACCTCGTCCCCCTGCTTTTACTAGTTTCGTTGCTGGGTACTGTCTTCTCTGGAAGCGCTGGTTCTCGCATTGTTCGCCCCATTTACAGCCTGTGTAATGAGTACACGTGAATGACAGACTCCTAAAACTTTGATCTAATTGCGCTATGTATGTGTAATGTGTAGAGGGTATGGCGTCTAATATCTAATATCAGTAAAATTACGCACCCACCTCATTCGGTGTGTGTAATTGTATTGTACGTGTATACTGTATAGAGCAGACACCCTATATTGGAGAGTAACTAACATAATGGGAAATGTAAGGTAATTATGTTACAAATCAGGTAGCCACATACTTGTAGGACACTCAGTAAGAAGGACTCTGTTAATACAGGAGCTGTCAGCTGAACACTTGTCATTGAGAGCACAATCACAAGCAAATGGCATTCTCTCCAGCTGTAACTGCTTCTCGTAATTCTTCATTCCGGCGTTGTAAGGAGCGTTGACCTGGGAGAAAATACTTCATTTAACAAAGTGGATTGACAATTGTAAAGCTCGTAAACACTTGGTTGACTGATAATCAAGTTGATACGAAATTTTGTGAAATGAAATATTACCTTGATAAACTTGAATGGAGCTGGCTTTTTGGTTGAAGGTTTGTCTATAGACGAAGTTACTTGAAGAAGAGCTTCCTTCAAAGGTTTCACTTTACTGTGAAGATCTTTCGCTTCGATAATAGCTGAAATTAATACAACCAGTGAGCAAAAACGATGTTTATTAGAACTTGGTTGAATCCAACAAAATTCATACCTTATAAACAACTGAAGTTGAATGAAACTTACCCAATCTAAAACTAGGAGACACGCCAGCAGAAGAGGCGGAACCCTTGTCACCGTCTTCGTAGGAGTACACTCTGCTCATGTCTAACCAAGCAAACTCTTTGGTTCCTAAACATATAGCCGGAAACTGACAGGGCTTGTGAGGTTTGGAGAATATGTTGTCAGGCAGATCCAACTCATCCAGAATCTGGCACGGCCACCATCTGAGGAAAATTGAGCTAAAATAGCATCTAGAGAACTTATAACACGTATCTCAATGTACTTTTTTGTACACAGAGTGTATACCGCGGTATGTAAATATGTAAATTCTACTGAAATACATTTTGCATGTCGGTGCGCGCGCGCGCGAAAAGCAAGCTGAAATTACTGAAAAACGTGCTTTTATCATATCACACGTATTGCCGCCGGCGATTTTGAAATTTGATTATGTGCCTGGCTTGGCAATATTTTCAATCCACGTTATTTACCTTCTGTATCGAGTACTTAATCAGGTCAAAATTCGCAAACAGCATCTTTAGATCATACACGCATGGCATCCAGCGTTTGATCAAAGATTTGATTACCAAACAAGCTTTTATTTACATGCAAAAATGACTTAGCAGTGCAAATTAGTAAATAACAAGGAAGCGTTAATAAAAACAAACCTGTAAGCTCCGAACTTGACCCAAACTATGTCACCAATGAATGGTTTCTTCCCCACAATACAGTCCGGACACAACCACGATAGTTCACCTGTAATGGGTGTAACTAAATACTTAGTAATTTAAATTTTAACATTGATGTAAACTACCATTTCTTAAATTAAGGAACATCTTGAAAAGGTTAAAATGTTGATATATTAGTCGGAAATTTTCAAACAAATATAAAAACGAACCTTCTTTGATTTGATTTTCCTCAGGGACACACTCATTGTGGAAACTAGCAGGACATCCTTCGCAACAGATAAGATCACCACCAAATGTACACTGGAAACAAAATGGCACATTCAGGTGTACCAATGGTCTGCGCTGCCTTTTCTTCATTGAAACGCTTGGAGCTGATCCTGATTTTCTTTTTCGTTTCTTCTGATCACTAGCTGTATTTGCGTTGGATTTGTTGCCGAATCCTTGACAATGCCTGAGGAAATTAAAATATTCAGTGCATCTATTTACACAAAAATAGAGTATGGGTATAAGCTGACTTTACAGATCACATTGATAAAAATGCATGTTGATATCTTACCTAAAGCAAAGAATGTGAGTCCTAGATATCCTCATACACCCAGCAGGAATGTGGTTCTGATGAAATGACTGAGGACACCGCACACAACGCACAAAGTTCTTGATGTTCAGTTCAGGACGAGCTTCACATGACCCACAAACGTGGTACGGACAGATAAAACTTGTTGAGGATACGATCTGGGGAAAAGAATGAGATTATAATCATCAAATATTTCCAAATCAATTTTAAATCATTATCCGATCATTAAGCCAAAAAATATCCAGAATTTGGAGCATAAAATATTCATAAAATGTGAAGAACTAAGTGGAATGTATTACAGTATTACAGTGGAATGTATTAATGTATTACCTGTGTTGACATGTGAGGTCTAACACAAGATTCGTGATATTTGTAAGGACATTGAGAGCAGGACTTGAGATTGTTTCCTTTTCTACACAGTAAACACACAGGGCCTTCCTGACATTCTTTACAGTAATACCTGAAAAAATAACTTTGTAACAGTCGATATGACTAAACAAATAATGTTACTGAAGGACTGGATAGCAGCTCCGTCGATGCCACCCAAGTTTAGAGCTTTGAAAAGTTTATTTAATTAAACTCTGGATTGCAAATGCCCAAATACCTCTGTTTTTGATCTTGCTTTTGATTTGAGGGGTCTGATTGAGATTGTAAACATGTTCTATGGAAAGATCCGTGGCATCCATGACAAGTGGTATAAAGCTTCGGATTATAATCTGAAATTAATATAATATTAAATTAAAATAAATTACTTGACGAAGGATCAAAGTTTAGAGAAAGATTGTTACAGCATCAAGCAAAGGGGGCGAAAAAACGTTTAAAACTGACCTATAGTGAAGCAATCCAGACAGAAGAAATCTAGAAGAGTATCATCAGCTTTCTCCTTTTTGCTACTAGGTTCTGAATCAGTATCAATAGGCTGGGATTCCCTTTTCCTTTTTCTAGATTCAGTGCTCATCAGTTTTGCGACTAACTTTTCACTGAACTCTTGAGTTTCTGCCAAACTTACAGCCATTTTCTTTGTCACATTTTTAGCATCTTTCAAGAATTTCTTGTGCTTGGTTGGATTTAAAGAGAGCCAGTTTAAACGGGAGATATTTGAGGAAGATTTGACGAATAAGTCCAGAGCAGTACATTCCAATGTTCTGTCCTCGGCTGATAATCCATTTAACTTCTCACATAATTCAATGTATTTTAACTGAGATTCAGGATTGAGATCTGTCCATTTTACTTCTGAGTGTTTCAATTTTAGGGGCTCTGGCAAGGTTATTTGAATATCTTTGACGTATAGGAGCAGAGCCATCATCTTATGATCACAAGGGATATCAACATTGTTTTCTTTTTTAGTTGACTGTGGAGGATCTGTCTTTTTACGCTTATTTGATACTTTTATATTGCTGGTCGAAACAGATTTTGACTCGTCAGGAAAGCTGTTTAATTTGGATTGCTCTGTTGTAAACCTGCCATTGTTTTTCAAATACTGAGACCATGTTCTTGGAATGGTCTTTTTAGATATACCACCTGACTCCATATACTTCTTTCTAGCCTTATCAGTCAACTCATTTATCTCAACGGGGAAAGGGTTGTGCAAAATATCTTGAGAATTTGAGTTTGCGTTTCGTTTCCTGGTTTGAGGTATAACTTTGTTACTGACCCTTTGTGGATCGGTCTTAGGTGATGCAGGAGGTGTATCTGGCCCAACTTCTGGAAGATTTGACGTCAGTAGATTCTGACATGGAGAGGTCTTCACAAGTTTTGATATAATGTCATATGCTTGTTTCTTTGTAGCTGAATTGGTACCTTTAACCAGTTTTAGGATCAATTGCTGTTCCTCCTGGGGCAGTTTCTCTAAATCTAGCTTTATCTGGTTTTCTATTTTATGTTTTATCACATTTGTAAACAAATTCAAATAGTATGGGCATAGAAAACTGATGACATCAACATCTGAGCTATTTGGTTCATCCACAGGAGAAGGTTTGATTGCACTTAAAGATTGACTTTCCTTGTCTAAAGAATCAGATCGACTTCCTTCTTCAGAAGAGACTAACTCTAAATCTTGTTCATTCTGCACAACACAGTTGTTAGGGATGGTAGTTTCTTTGTTTCTTCGAGATGATCTAATTTCCTTTGCAAGAATAACTTCTTGGTCAAGATAAGCTTGCTTAGGGTTTACAACTCTTTTGCTTTTCCGTCTGGAATTAGTTGCCGTCTTTTTAGAAGTTTCTTGTTCAGGGATCACATCAGCTAATGAGCATCCCTCATCAGCCAATTTAGCTGAACTGTTAGATGGACTTTCAGTAGCAGACTTGGGTCGAATTTTACCTGTACCTTTAGTTACTTCTATTTCTTGGGCAGTTCCTAATAACTGTGGCATTCTATCAATTTCTTCATGCTCTATAATTTGTTTAGTCTTCCTTCGGTTTGGATTTCTTGAGGGTCCTACTTGTTCCTTCGATTTCTCTGGCTCACTATTTAGTTTAGCTGATATAGGTGTAGAATCTTTCTGTGAATTATTTGAAGGACTTTTAGATGACGTTCTGGCTGAACTTCTTGCAGGACTTTTGACTGGGGTTCGCTCCGAATTCAGTTTAGCTTCTTTTATCTTCTTCAGCTTAACTTCTCTTGCTTTCTTCAAATTTTCACACCTTTCGGCATTGATTTTCTCCGCCCTTTCCTTCTCAGCTTGCGTAAGAGCACTGGGAGTAACTACTTTTTGAGGAGAAAGAGCTTTCTGTATTTCCATAAGAGAATCACTGTTCACTATAATTTCCCCCAAGCTGATGTTGAGTTCACAAGACTTTCTTTTACTATGCCTTCTTTTCCTAACAGGTGATTTTATAGGGCTATGGTTCTCAGGTTGATGAGAGACCAATTCTTGGGCAGCCTCTGTTGCAGCTGCTTGGAGAGCTCTCCCAGGATCAATGACATTATTGGCAATCTTCTCAGAACTGACTACCAACTTTTCTGCAGCCTCTTGAAATGCAATTTCGGCAGCTATCTTGGTAAGAACATTGCTGATACCATCAGTTCCATTGGCATTAGTGGAAGACTTCCTACCAGGCCTCCGAGAAGGATTTTTAGCAGTTGTCTGTACAATTTCAAGGGGTTTTCCAATAGATTTTAAAGCCTTCTTTTGAGCAGCTCTAGTTGCTTTTAAATGCTCTGCATGAGCTTTAGAAGCAAGATCTTCAGGAGAAGTCACGACAGCTTCATTGGATTTTGACGACGATTTTCTTCTTGTCCGAGCATTGGTAGGACTAGCACACCCAGCAATCATCATAGCTCTTTCCCTGGCGATCTTGAGACTGTCATAAGAAAGGTGATGTCCAGGAGTCAGCTCGACGGACTGACCACCACTCTCAAACAGCTTGTTAGTCAGTTTCACAGCATTAGTGATGTAATCCTCGTCTCTCTGTTGCTTCACTTGAAGCTTTTTTCTTTTAGAAGGTGAAGTACCATTCTCAGTAGGAGTCACATTTTCAGGACTTATCGGTAATTTTACCTCAATCTCGGACTCGCCTTCAGAACTGGCAGGAGCATCACAAACAATAACACGGGCAGGAGGATCCAAAGTACCAAAATTAGGAATACCTACTTCAAGGGTGAGTTTCGTCCTTGGATGATCGATGATTTTATCAAGACGACTACCAACTAATGGTAGTGTTATGTCATCTATGTCACAGGATAATTTCTTAACCTCTTTGACTACATTAGAATCTTTTTTAGGCGATTCCTTGGGTGGACTCTCAGGGACAGAAGCTTCTTTATCAGCTATAATAACTTCATTTTCCTTGCTACTTTCCCCTTCGTCTGAACTAATTCTCCCAGTCTTTATGATATCCAGGCGCTCCTGTCTTGACTTTAAGCTCAGTTCCAACAAAGAGTTGGATGCCTCAGAGAAATCTTGTTGTTCACCAGGAGTTAAAACACTCATGATCTGTTTAAGTTGCTCCACCCCTTGAAATATTACAGCACTGTTTTTATCAATCAGCTCATCCTGTTCCAGGATTAATGTCACAACTTCTAGTGTCTTTGCTCCGACTTGAGTAACAAGAGCTGGCCAGCTGTAACCAGGAAACTCGGCAAACACCAGGTCACCGGGAAGAAACTCCTCGCCTTTCTTCTTCATCAGGACTTTTGTAAGGAACTCTGGGCTCGGCGACCCTACTGCGTTTGTTCTGAACCTTTGAGAGTTTTTTAGAGGACTCCTTGTCAGACACCCATCGTCTTGTCTCATTCCATGCACTGAGAGTTATTTAGGTTAAAATTACACATCAAAAAACGTTGATTAATACATTAATATAAAGTGCAGTGGAAACTTACTTATAAAGAATAAGGTACTGGATGGTCTTATATTTATTTATGGTCTCTATTTATTTATATTCTCTTGCAGCATAATGTTTAGAATAATAATATTAGAAAGAAGTTCTGAAATATTAAAAATACAACCAATGATAGGTCCAATTATTTGAAAATTGTAGTAATAAAATAAACAATCAATAATTAAAAACTGATAAAATGCTTTATAAACATTGAAAACAACACATTGCAGATCTTCTGATCTTCGTCATAAAATCTGGCTAAAATGATCTTAAAAATCAGATCTCCGCACCCAGCATACCACCGTACCTCTTGAATACCACCTCTTGAATACCACCTCTTGAATACTTTAACGTAAATATATTGCAATAAATAAAACAAATACATGTCTCTGATCGAAGGTGCAGTTTTCATGTTAGCTCGATATGATCTTTTAAATCTGCAGGAGATCACGTGATATTCGCTGGATATCACGTGTTATCAGACTCCCGTCACTCAATGTTCACGTGATAGCAATAGTGGGCACATTGACGGGTGTCAGTGCAATATGCAGTCTCTTGATCGCCGATGTTATCATCTGGTGAAGATTTTCGTTCGGACATTGCACTGAAATGGAAGGGTCATGTCAAAACCAAATCTAAGGAAAACAAACCCAAATCTAAGGAACAACTTTACAGACCATACATTACAATTTTCTCTGAGGTTGTTCTTTAATGGAGTTGTTTTAATAAAACAATTTGTAAATAACCGATTAAAAGATTATTACCTTCATAAGATTTGAGGTTGACAACAGCCTTCTCATTATCAATTGTAACAGTAATGTATTTAAGTTTAGGTTGATAGCTGACATTGTCTTCTCCAAACATTTCCACCAGTAATTTCTGTACTCTGTCTTCAAACGTGGACTTGTCTTTACCCTATAAATACAATCATTAGTTCTCAGACAGGGACATACTATTCCCGTTCATCAATAACAGTTTTAAATGAGGTCTTATAAAATTGATATCAGTACTTAAACTGTATCCAAGAAAAACAGCCAAGAAATTGTAACTTCACAGCACTTTTATCCGTGAGTCCCTAGAGCTACCTGTGTAATACTACGTAGTGAGGACTGTTTGATAGCTTGAGGGTTAGCTTCTATCTGTAGACACAATGTGAGAACAGCGTCTGCGTACATATCGTTCATGTTACTTCCCTCCCACTGTATTACTACTTTGTTCTTCTCTTGTACCACTAATATCTGGTAAAATCAGATAGTGAGATTTATAGAAAATTACTATTACTTCTACACCTTATATTATTTTAATTGAACTATTTCCATAACTCCCACGTCTTCCTCTTTATACAATCTATGTACATTTCTGTATGTAGATTTAAGCACCAAAGCCGGTAAATATAAACTATTCAACAACTGTTTTAGATTACTACCACCGCCAGTAAAGTAACACTTACAGATTCGAATACTTTGAGACAATTCTTGCCGCTCTGTTCGACTTGTTCGACCCCGCCAGCCAGTTGTAATAGACAATGATGTAGAAGGGAAAAGGGGGCGGTGAACGGCACCGTCTGAAATAAAAGGAAATAAAAGAAACGCCGGAAATTGTAAAAATAAATCATAAGTATCAATGAATCTATCACTGATTAGAAATACGTCGTACCTGAGTATTCTTAAAAACTTAATTAATAGAGGTAAATAATTAAAAAATCTCTTCCACAAAACTAACCTGTTTTTGTGAAACTACACCCTGACTAAGATCAGTATAATGTTGTAACTCCTCAGGACTAACGATGTGATAATTAAACCCTCTTTTTACCAGCACTCCACTTATAACATCCCCTGCTTTTGGTTTCTTGCTTGCTAATCTTCCCACCACTTTCGCCATTTTCTCACCCCGGAAGTTAAGAATTATTTCCTCGTTATTAGCAGGCGCGAACACGTCCACGGTGTCGTCATATTGTCGCTTTAAAGCAGTCCTGAACAAACGCTCAAATTAGTCTTATCAGATGGTGCATAATTTGTAATGTAGGACCATACAATGTAATACAATATATTATACAGTACATAATTTGTAATATGTAATATGTAATGAGGGTATGATTCGTTTACATTTCGCATTTAACTTGCTCTCTCAGAACGTTAGTATTATATAATAAAAATCACAACAAGTTTCCCATAAAAACATTATATTGCATATCATTACCTGAGACGTTGCATCTCGGAGTGTTCCCCGTGAACTAGTATAATATGTGCAGGCTTCAGTAACCCGATAAACTCGCTCGTCTGCTCGTAATCTGTGTGAGCACTGAACGAGATGTAGGTAACACTACACTTCAGGGGTAACCTCTGCCCTGATATGGAGGTGATCTCCTCTGGTTCACTCATTATCATCTTAGCTAGCGTACCCTCCACACAGTACCCAGCTATGATGCAGCTGTTCCGATGGTCTGGACACCATGTTTCAAACAGTTCACGGGACAGACCACTTTGTAACATACCTGGTGACGCCATCACTACTGACGGACCTGAAAGATAATTTAAGTCAGTGGAACACTGCACACATGTGTGTTAAGTCCTTACCGATATTATCCTTAAATCAAAGTATCAAAGAAATGTTGAATGTAAATTCTAGGAAAAGTTGTACATACCGATATCCTGAAATTGGTCGATATTCTTCAAGTTACTGATGTGTTTAAAGACGAACGGATTATTAACTGATATCTGTCTTCTGATTTTGTCGTTCATAGCGTTCACATAAGTCTGGAACACAGCCATACACTTCTTGGCAAGTGAGGAAGCGTAGTAAATGGGCACGTCGTGCAACTCAGGGTGAGCCTCCCAGTATTCGTCGAGGATTAACATGAGTTCCTGCGCGCGACCGAGCGCAAACACAGGGATAAGGCACCTCCCACCACGCGAGATAGTGTCGTGAACGGTCTGGGTGAAACGCGCCTCCCGCACCTCTCTTTTCTCGTGAACGTGGGTTCCGTAAGTGCTCTCTATGATGAGAATATCTGGTCTGACGTTTGGTACCTCTGCTGCCATTAAATGCCTGTCCTCTTGTCTAGAGAAATCTCCTGCGGGTCATTCAATTGTTAAATAGGAGAGCCTATATTATCATAAGACTCATGTTTGATAATGAAATACGAAAATTAGAATAGAAATTGTAAATGTATTAATAGTTCTGTATTAAACAAATCAAGTACCCGTGTAAAGAAGTTTTACTCCAGCGATCTCTATCATGAACATAGCAGCGCCTAACACGTGACCAGCATTATAACTCCAGAACCTAATACCATTAACTTCAATCTCCTCGTGGAAGTTCATTGTCTCTATCTTATCTAAACTGTTGTCAAGATCTTTCTCCGTGTATAGAACACCCCGGTCTTCTGTTGTTATGTTGCTCACCTGTGATAATTACTTTTTATTAGTGATCTCTATTATATTTATGTTATCATGTATTCATTATTTTAACTTTTTAAGAACCGTACGAGGCCACGTGATAATCGTGTTAATATTATTTAAACAATTAGAAATATCAGTCACGAAGCAGGAAATACTCCCTACGGCCTACCTTTATATAATCGGCTAGGATCCATTTGTAAATAGCTTTGGTAGCGTGGGTCATGAAGGTTCTACCCTTGAAGTTAGTTTTCTCTAGTAGGTATGGTAGTGCACCACAATGGTCCAAATGAAAATGTGAAACCAATAGTAGATCTGAAGTAGTGTCGATTGTTATAATTCAAGTACAAACCGATCAAGTACAGTACTACCCCAATTTACCACGCCCCGATTTACCGCAAACCCCGATTTACATACAAAGTTATAAGCATTTCTTTCTAAATATCTAACAAATACTTTACATTTTTCTTACCTATTTGACTGGTATCGATAACATCAATGAAAGGAAGCGCCTCTAAGCCAGACAGACCAGGATGTATACCAATATCTAGGAGAACTCTCTTTCCCTTGAATTGGAGGAGTATACAGGACCGTCCCACCTCCTGACCCGCCCCTAGCGGCGTTATTGTCAACTCATCACTTAGCTCTTCTACTGGCCTCTTCTCTCCCATTACTATACTTTATAATTAGCTGAATAGATGTACTGGTTTAGGTTATGCAAAATTGGAATAAGAGGGAATCTGTAGGAATAAATGAACTAAATATTGTACCGTCGCGTCTGACTGTCTCAGTGTTGGTATGTTACTGAGTTTAGTGTGTTGGATTGATATTACGAGAGTAATCAGTAAAGTAATACAAATCATCTGTTTGATACATAGAATCTATGAGTATGGAAATATATACACATTATTGAATGCAATATAAACCATCATTTAATCAATCAAGCAATGTTCTTCAAGCAAGGTCGTTTACCGATGTGGTCAAAATCTGGTTATGTCACAGACAAAATAAAGTTTAAAATTTAATGTATAGTCTATACTGAATACTGAATACCTAACACGAACATGCATAAAAGTTATAAAGCTATTACATGCATTACTCACTACAAACAACTACGATATAATGTGATAAACCTTTGATCAACTACATCACAAATAAAGATAAAATACTAATTTAAATGATACGGAAACAAAATAATACTGGCAACATTAAATAAATACAAAGTTCAACTACCATGCCACAAAATGCACTTTATTCGCACTCTTTAGAAAATTGCTCTTGATTTGCAAAAAATGTATATAAATCTGATAAACTTTTTTAAATGAACAGTTTATATAAAATGATATATTTACATAAAATAACTAAATTACATTTGCTACTTAATCCAAAACCAGTCGTCACTTCTTACATAGTTCCACATACACAAACAAACAACTATTTAGACTCTTGTACTAACTACACTCTGCTACTAGAGTAAGTCGTTCTCATGAGTCAAACTTTACCATCTTGGCAAACATTTCATAGTTCAAGAAGATAGCAAAATAGCAATCCCCCGAATTGAACCAATTTTCTTTCTCCATTAAATGCATCACTTGACAAGAACGATGTTGAGTGCAGCTGATAGTCTGTTTACCAGCAGATACCCCAGATCTACAAGGTGTTGTCTCTGTTAACGATACGGGAGGTATTCCTCACCACTTTCTTTACAGGCTTAACCGAGAACATGAAGCAGTAACACAACAGCAAGAACCCTAACACAGACAGCACCATCCTCAAAGAGTTGATTATTTTCCACATTTCAATATCCTTAGCAGGCTCGCTCCACAGCTGTGACTCTAGAGAGTAAAGTGACAACTTGTCGTCAATGGAAGAGAGACCACATGTTAAAATGAGAGCCATGACATAGAGAGCAACAGTGAGGGTATGAATTGGGTTCCTAAATAACCCTGCCATGATATCCCCTCTGGTACGTGAAATGGCTACCTCCAGGATATCTAGTGAGCTGACTGTGCAGATAGCTGTGCAGATAAAGTACGCAGACGCTGCTGGCCAAGCTAGACTACTGTACTCTTCCAGGAAATCTGTGTCCGGCTTGTCCTCAATGTAGATCTGTAGAGTCTGCCAGGCAGCAAACCCAGCTAGAAGTCCATGTATAAACAGACTGAAAACATGGAACCAGTTTTGAAGAGAGAACGACACATCCAATGTTGTGTATTCAATAATTGTGTTTTGTTCCACCAGTGCAATTTGACTTTCTTCCAATGCTGATTTCTTTATAAAACCAGTCCCATCATCTTTCTCGTGGTAGATAATGCTCGGGTTTGCTGAAGTTATTTTTGGAGTTTGGTCTGCATTTTTGTCAGGTTGTGTGTTTATCACATCTGCTTCATCAACTAGTGCGTCAAGTCCACTTTCTTCATAAGCAGAAGTAGTACCAGTACGGTCTCTGAAAATAGCATAAGTTAAACCTGGAAATGAGCAAACCATTCCACTCATATGGCAGCTATTTAAATCTTATTTCACTTTAAACATGAACACATTCTATACGTTTTAAATAACAGTACAGTACAGGTATTATATATAGAAAAACAGTATCCACCTTCGTTTAGGCTTCTTCTTCCTGACTTTGTTCGAGGAAGGTGACATAGAATGAGGAACTCTGCCCTCATGGTGCACAACCTGCCCCTGCTGCTCTCCGTCTACCACTACCTCCTTCCAGTTCTTTACCTCTTGTGACATCCTCTTGATTTTAGCAGCCGCTCTTCTACCGGGACTGTCATTAGATTTAAGACATAAAGTCACCACACACAAAATTTAAAATAAAATAGAGCAATAATTTTCGATAGTCAGAGATTCAGAAAACAAAAAAGGATCATCTAGAAAGAGCTCGATTCTAATCGATTGCTTCATGATTGATTGATTTAGGGATCCCACCAGTGATTAAAATTAAACAATACACAAGACTTACCTAGGAGCACCTTCAGTGCTAGGTCCAGCTATTTTCTCGTAGTCATGATGCTTAGAAGGAGTGCTCCGATTTCTCCGCCCAGATCTTATTGCACTGAGTGCCAAATCAGCAGCTGCCTCTGCTGCAGCATCATTGTTCAGAGGTTCAACATTATCAGCTAGTTTCGCAGGAAATCCTCCACTCATCTCCACTAGTTCAGGCTCATAGTACTCATCATACGTGTCTTCACCCTGATAAGACATAGGGATGATGTGCGTATAAATAATCGAACTAGAAAAAACTAGGTAAAATAAAATTTGAGGATTAAAGACCGATGCCCAATTTCGATTAGCTAAAGAAAAATCAAAAGAATGTTTACTTTTAGAAATTATAATTCCATGATAGGCAATAGCTCATTGAATTATTACCTGATCACCATCTTCATGCTTTGGAGTTCCATGTTTACGCTGTTTTCTTTTACCTTTCTTTTTTATAGGGCTATCATCACTCCCAGCATTTTCTTTAAACTGGGGCTGCACTGGCAGCGGACGTGTTGTCATATGACTAACCTTCCTAGTACGCTAAAACCCCTATTACAACAATGTCATGATCAGGTTATCCTATAATTCATACTTTGTATTTGACATTATATAGAAGTATTACAAAAATCTGTGGGTGAAACAGTTTGAAAATAGCTCCTAGACTAAAAATCACAGTGAATTTTTTTTCTATCAATGCCAAAGGCAAAAAGATTGTAGGTAATAAGTTATCAGGTTTGGATATGTGAGGTGAGGACAAAAGTCGACTCCTTTGCAAATATAGAACACACCCTGGCCCTTTCTGAGGCGTCTATTTTGCTGCGAGATGCCAGTCATGTGATAGATAATTGCATGCAGAGCAATCAGCATGTTTAGTGGTTAATGACTGTTACACAGGTTTCAAATAGCTTAAGTTTTATTTGAATTCTGGAATTCACCGTAAATTCGTCATTTGAATAACATATATATATATACTGTCATAATGAAGAGATTTTTATCTTCATATTGCCACAATCATCAGAGTTTTATATTCTAATATGGATGTGCAATTAGCAGTTCAAAACGACATTTTTGATGCTTTTCAGATTATAGGTGATTCTATATACTATACCTTACTCGGGAATATTATAGCGGGTTAATTTATGACTGGGAAAATAAATGACCGGGAAAAATATGGCGGAATTTTCCAAAACCCACCAAGCATCAAAATTTATTACTATTAGTTTACCTTACTCGGGAACATTGTAGCGGGTTAATTTATGACTGGGAAAATTAATGACCGGGAAAAATATGGCGGAATTTTCCAAAACCCACCACTTTATCACAGTCATAATATTCCTGAGTAAGGTACTGTTCAAACAGTTCCCGAAACGAAAAAGCAAACATTTGATTTTTGTTTCGGCGACTGAATTGTTGATGGGCCGACAGATATTTGTTGTTGAGTAGTGTTGAATACTCATATCTACATGATTATTGATTTAATTTAAGAATTGTATATAAATATCTTTGACCAAGTTTAATTGTCAATGAGAATGCACCCCAGCACTTGGCGCGTGCAGCGGCTTTGATATTAGCGACTACAAGTTAGGCAGCTGCCGATAAGACGCAGCGCGCGTTCAGCATACGGCTTTTCGTTTTTGATTTTACAAAACAACTCTTAATGATTATTAATGAAATTATCGGATATTTATAATTCAATATGTATTGATTCTTCTGTGGAAAATAAGAATTGTATTTTACTTATAATTTAATTCTAATTCTAATTCTAATAATGGCAATAAATCTTAAACATTTAGCAATTATAACAAAATATGGTCTATTGTTTCTTTATGAGTATGATGAGATTTCAAAGAAGGAACAAATAAATGAATATTTTTATCAGACAAAATGTTTAGAATTATCATCTAATAAAGCAATATATATGTATAAATTGAACGTCTCATAAGATCACTGGTTTTTCTTACAGCATAGAAAACTCACTCATTTCTCACCTGAGTGAGTTATCATGTGTCTAGTAAGATTTCCCTTTTGGACAGTAACATATAAGCACTTAGAACATTTGAGGGATTTCTGGTCAGAGTGAACTCTCATATGGTTAGTAAGATCACTGGATTGTCGCAGCAAATGAACACTTGGAACACTTGAAGGGTTTCTTGTCAGAGTGGATTCTCCTGTGGTTAGTAAGATCACTGGATTGTTTGGCAGCATAAGAACACTCAGAACATTTGAAGGGTTTTTTGCCAGAGTGAATTCTTATATGCTTAGTAAGATCACTTGCTTGTTTTGCAGCATATGAACACTCAGAACATTTGAAGGGTTTCTCCTCTGAGTGAACTCTCATATGGTTAGTGAGACCACTACATTGTTTTGCAGCATATGAACACTCAGAACATTTGAACGGTTTCTCATCAGAGTGAATTCTTATATGCTTAGTAAGATCACTTGCTAGTCTTGCAGCAAATGAACACTTGGAACACTTGAAGGGTTTCTTGTCAGAGTGGATTCTCCTGTGGACTGTGCTTAGTAAGATCACTTGCTTGTTTTGCAGCATATGAACACTCAGAACATTTGAAGGGTTTCTCCTCTGAATGAACTCTCATATGGTTAGTAAGATTGCTTAGTCGTCTCGCAGCATATGAACACTCAGAGCAATTGAAGGGTTTCTTGTCAGAGTGGATTCTCCTGTGGTTAGTAAGATCGCTGGATTGGTTGGCAGCATAAGAACACTCAGAACATTTGAAGGGTTTCTCGCCAGAGTGAATTCTTATATGCTTAGTAAAACTACTTGAATGCCTTGCAGTATATGAACACTCAGAACTGTTACTAGGAGACTGAACTAACGTTTTAGTCAATGTAACAGTCAAGTTATCTGAAATATCAAAGTTTTCAGTCACTTCTGGGCTGCTATGATCATGGTGATGTTTTACATGTTCTATTAACTGAGTGTCTGTGTGAACATGTTCAGTACAGATCGGACAGATAAAAACAGATGGGTTTTCCAGTTCAGATTTTATTTCTCGTTTTATGGGGCAATTAGATACTGATTTATGTTCTCTGATGTGCTCCAGAAAGTAATCTTCTGAAAAGAAATGATCTCCACACACTGGGCAGAGGAAACCATTACAGTGGTGTTCCCACCTACGAGTGAAATTGAGAGGTAGCGCGCCTGAAAGGTAGCGCGCCTGAAAGGTAGCGCGCCTGAAAGGTAGCGCGCCTGAAAGGTAACGTGCCTGAAAGCATAATAATGTCAGCCGCGCCGTAAGCTTTTATAACGTTTTTGTAATCACTTCGAGATGGCCAGGCCTACTCTCATGCTGTCTATATGTGATGATTCACTGTCTATATGTGATGATTCACGGTCTATATGTGATGATTCACGGTGATCGGTGTAGTTGGTGTTGTACACACTGCACTGATAACGATATCACGTTGTACGTGTAATGTAAATATAGTGTGGATAAAATGCGAATATATATTCTAAATAACTGGTTTTTGTAATCGCGTCCGCGGAAAATTAGAAATTTTTTTAAAATTTGCCAGTATTTGTCACAATTTGGCGGAACTGGAATATGATGCATTGGTTCGGTTAAAAAACCACCAGATATAATGATAACAAGATAAACGGTGACTGAAATATGGCGAAAACTTGTTTAGCCCACAGCTATTGAAAATGTCGAGTTTACGAAGCTTGATGACTAAATGATAACACAATTCTTTTAAGCAGATAAGATATTAAATCGAATACATGAAAACATAGCACGGCATGATAATGAAATGAACATTATGTTAACCATCAGTCTTAGTGCCATGTCCGCAAGTGTACTTGTCCCCTTTTGAATCCATGAGCTATTGGGACATTAGCGGACATGGTTTTTGGGACATTAGCGAAACTTGAGTTAACGAAGCTCAAGTTAACGAAGCTTGATGACTAAATGATAACACAATTCTTTTAAGCAGATAAAGATATCAAATCAAATACGTGAAAACATAGCACAGTATGATAAATAAATGAACATTATTCTTAGTTTATTCCTTTTGTGTGAATAAGATCACCGTAGCAGACAGCAGTTCACGCAACATTGGCCGTGTGGACTGCTTGTCACTTGCGGAGGACATTTAAAAAACACGTTCTAGAAAAGTACACGTGTTAGTCAAAACAATACATGCACGTTTTACAAAAATAATTACAAGTGTAAAATTACCAATCTTTAAAAATACACGTGTTACAAATACAAATACACGTGTAACAAAATACTGAGCACATATCAGGCCATATGTTTGCTTAAATTTGAAGTGAGTTGAGTTTTAGAACCCTTTAAAAGCAACTCTAAAACTCAAATTCTTACCATTCTGAAAGGATTGGATGCTAAAACGATGAGTATCGTTGATCAGGAGCTCTATTTATCAGGTTTTATAAAAACGCCAATAGAAAAATGCGAAGATTTTTTATAGGGTCTCCCAGGAGATTATATGTACTTCCAAAAGTATACATCCATTTTTTCCAGGTGTATTCGAGGAAATGTTTAAGCTTGTTATGTATGCAGTTTCATTGACCTAATACAAATGATGGAATTTAAGTGAATTTAATCTGGCGGGTGGTGTTTTTTTATGCAGATAAAGAGCTGAGTTGTGGTCTAAGATGGGAAGCCATAACTTATCTCTGGATCTCAATCGGGTTGACATAATTAAAATAATAGTGCAATCTTGTCCTTGTCCTCTCCCCAGAATCCACAAGATGGTTAGGAGAATCGTTGAGGGACAAGCTGCGTCCGAAGAGCTCCGAAGGAGGGTTTTCAATCAGTTCCAGCCTGAAATGAACAGTTTTCACAGACTCTGCATCATATACAATTAATAATAAAGCTGGACTAGCTGGACCTGTTCTTATGATAAAATTAATTAAAAATAAACCATGTTCCCCACTTGGAAATGATGTCACAGACAACAGCCACAATTTAACAGTAAACATTTTTCACTAAATAAATGACCAAGTTTCAACAAATTCGAGTCATGAGGAGGAGACTGAATCTTACTTACTGCCTTCGCGTCTGCCGCGATCTTGAGTAGGATCTTTCCTGCGTGCTCGATGAGCTCTAGTTCGTCTGAAAGAGTTCTAAACATTAGTGGGGGGGGGTCAACCTCATTTTACCTCATTCGGGCAGCCAAAATTGGGATGAGGTAAAATGAGGTAAAATGAGGTAAATGAATCTAGTTTTCTGAGCCTTTTTAGAGACAAATGTTTTTGCCGAAATTTACTTCATTTTACCTCATTCGGGCAGCCAAAAAAGGGAAAATTGGGATGAGACAAAATGAGTCAAAATAAGGTTGACCCCCCCCCACATTAGTCGCCAAAGATTCCATGATCCTACATTTCTTGTTGTTGTACGGATAGTATTATATGGAGACAGGTTGCTTTGACCACATATCATATCAACAAAACGAATTCAGTTTTTTCCTGCAAGATTTTGTTGGGGAGACCCTAATATTTGGACGTGATCAAGGATTTTTTGTTGCATAAAAAGAGTAGCAAATATTTTGGCTGGGCCGCGCCGGTGAGCCAATTTTTTCCGGGACTGTTTGATCGAATACCTATAAATAAGTTACCTTGATATGCGACAGCCGACAGCTCGGCAATACTCTTGCCGAACACATCCCATCTATCCTCCTGGAGGATCTGTCTCGCCTGTTCGGCCACGGCTCCTGATAAAAGACTGAGGTTCAAACAGACATGAAATTTGCTAAAAGTAAAGAGATGGATTTCTGAGATAACCTGCAGAAGTGGGTTAGTTTTAACTTTAGAACTGAGTTGTGTACACATACCAAGTGAAACGTGACTTATAGTGACCTAAAACTGTAGTGGTTTCGATTGCATATCGACTAACCCCCATTTCGACCGTGAATGGGTATTATATCGCTTAAAATAGACTTGATGTGCGTCAAACCAGCTACCTTTGTGTGGAAACGGCGATGCAATCTTCGACTTGAAGAAAAATTAATGTCCGAAAGTTTAAAAACGATATGTTGCACTTGAATTATTACCTATCACCGGATTGATCTTCAAAGCCTCCTCAACCATTGGGATTTCCACTCGTTCCGATTTTATCTCTTGTTTACATCTTTTAGACATACTGAGATATTCAAATTATAAGACAATTGATGTAAATATTTTACTTGTGGGGAGGTAAAACATTTGTTGTTAGCACAGTGGGGGATTTCGGGTCCAGGGATCCTCTCACTTTGAGATGGTGTCATCCTCCATTCAGATATATGCAAACTGCATATATCTGAAAGGGGATACACTGCAACGATGTGATTCAAGGTTGACATCAAAAGAATACCAAATGAAACAATTTTATTAATTTTTTTTATTTATTTGACTAAATGTGATTCTCAGCTCTCTGGCTGGCTAAATCCTGCTAATAAAAATTCATTTTGTCGCCAAAGAAATTAAACTCTTCTGATGAATGCTTCCCTGAGTTTCAATGTTATGTATGGAATATATTGGTGGAATGGCTATTTTTGTCTTACAAGTGCATGGCCATATCGTGGCGAAAGTTAATGGGCTCAGCCTGTCATTCCGCCGAATCTTTATTCGGGCTGATTGAATTACGACCTCCATCGCCCTAAAAAAAGTGCGAATGTTCATTGGATGTTAGAGCGCACGTGACTAGCATTCATGTGATCGTTCAGAACCAATTACAGCCGCTCAAAAGATCGCGTGCACGCCAACTGGCAGCACACCTACGACTGCGCCGTTGCAGGTGGACAGGCGTAGTTTTTGTTATGCACCAGTGTTGCAAGAGAAAAAACCAACTTATTATGTATTAATAGAATTAAGTTCTCAGACGCAATAGCGCTCAGATATAACCTGAACCCAAAGGATTACCCTAAAATATGAACGTGTGGCCAGAAATATTCAGCAAACCATGCGCTCATCTGCAAACTTGGTGGATGTGTGTCACTGCGGCACAACTCGTTGAGAGACACCTTTGCAGAACTAATGAGAACCGTGAAATGCAAGGATGTGCAGACTGAACCAGTTCTTCTTCCAGATGATGGTCTAGAGCTGCCAAAGGAAACAGTCCTAGTGTGAATTGCTATATATTTGGTTTATATATTTATGATAGTCGATATAATATACCTTACTCGGGATTATTATGACCGGGATAAAGTGGTGGGTTTAGGGTAATTTCGCCATATTTTTCCCAAACCACATTTTCACCGGTCGTTAATAAACCCGCCTACTCAGCTTTTAGGGTTCCCAAGGGGTATGGGTGCTCATATTTTAATCGTTGTCTTATATTCACTAAAGAAGACGATTGGGACACTTGTTGTAGGTTTTTCGACTTCATTTGGCTAAAATTGCAAAAAATTCACCTTTTTGCCCAATTCTTGTCATATATCCTTATTGTCAAATTTGATTTAAATAGGCTAATTTTTAATTTCTTATGTATTGACTATCTCTACATAATGAAATAGGACTCAAAGTAAAAGTAACAGTTAAATTAAAACTTGAATTAATTAAAACTGATGAAGGGGATGATCCAGATGAAGATAACGAAGATGATTACAACGTATTGGAAGACTAAACAGCTCTCCCTTTATCTTAATATCGATCTGGTTGTTACACTTCAAATGTTTAAAATTATTTTCCATCTAGTTTGATTAACCACGAGTCATTATTTCTGTCTACTTTCAACAATTATTGATAATTCGACTTGTTTCACAAGTTTTAGCAATGCGAAAATTTCTAAACTTGCTTATCTCTAATAAGGAAATTTACATCTGAGACAAACTTTTTGAATCTAAAATTGAAAGGTTGGACACCGGTAAAATGGCGACCGGGAAAATGTGGTGGGTTTTGAGCAATTTCGCCATATTTTTCCCGAACCATATTATAACCGGTCGTTAATAAACCCGTCGTAATAATCCCGAGTAAGGTATACTAATTTTACCTGAGGACCCCAGGCTATTATGTTCATTAACATAGAATATAGATTTGGCGGAATGACAGGCTGAGCGCGGCCCAGTAAATACTAATTCACTGCTGCGCGCAGTGTTGTGACCCCTCTTCGTCGTATTTTACACATATTTGGACATTGGCAATTTATTCAATTGATAATTTTAAAGTTTTAACATTTTTTATATTAAATTCTTTTTTAATATAGTTCTAAAACGATTAATCTTGCTTTCTGTGAAAATTTAATGTACTTTCGTAAAATAATTTTGATGTGGCAGCGATTTGAAAAAGAAATTAGTTAAAAATGATACAAAAAAATTGGACATTTTTTGGTATTAAAACATGTATAACTTGGGCTGTGTTGACAGTAGAAAAATAATTTAACCCTTGTCCGAAAGGTTTACAAAAGTTTTACGCGCCGCGCATAATTGCCGCGCAATTTCGCGTGTCAAATCCGTCTAAGAGTGAACATAATTGATGAAGGAGCACTTTGACCTTTACACCTCGTGCGTTCACTGTTCGCGCCTTGATTGCGCCCAGTTCACAGTTCACTGTTGCCTCGCGTTATTCCATCATCCATATTTCTGCTCTTAGTTCTTTAGTTGCTTTATAATGTGTCAGCAGTAATCAGCCCTGCTGTATTATATATTGTACTTGATTGTTGATACCTAATTAATTAACTGTTTACGATGGCAGTTATGGCGGATGATGATTAATCACTCTACAATCGCCTGTCACGTGACTTCTTCAACCCGTTCTGTAGATGGCCCTAAACAACTATATTCGAACCCCGGAAACCATAACCCTCTAATCAGATCCCAACCCTAACGGCCTAACCCTAACCAAATCCTTTACAAAAGCATATACTGAAACACTATAGAGAAATTATACGGTCATATCACGTGATCGAGACAGTTTTTCGCCAATATCTCGTTAGGGGAGAATTTTAACCTTATGTCATGGGGGTAATAGGTAAGTGCTTAGTAACCTCTTTGCTTTTATTCGAGCCTTTTATTAAATCGAAGTTACAGTTCACGAGGTTGATCCTTTGGGAGATATTAAATCCTGTTTTACTATTATTTATAAATTCTAACGTTTAACTTTAATAATAATAAGTAAGTTTGGACGCAGACTAGAAACGAGTTTAATCGACTAAGTTTTTGATTTTGTGTACCTTTTAATTTTTATCATACAACTTTTTAATTTCAGCAAATTTTAGTTAAAGAGTAAATCAAAGTTAGCAATCATTGAACTCAATAGTTAAAAAGGTGACTGTAAAAATAGAACTAAGATTTCGATACTTTTAAATGAACTTCTAGTTCTAATGATATAATTTTAAATTATTAGATGTTTAAATTTTCCTGATAGCTGGATCATAGTCATGTAGAAATTAGGTTAAACATTGTCATGCAGAAATTAGGTTCCATAGAAAACACAGTCACGCCTTACATTATTACAAGCTTTAAAGGGCTCGTGAGTCGTGTTAGTGTTACTAGATCAACATGCTTAGCCAATCAGTCTTGTTATATTAAACTATTACTTTTGAGCTTGAAAGCAGACAAAACTTTGCTTATTTGTTTGTTTATTATTTTGTTTGTTATTAGAGAAAGAAGACAATATTACCTCTCGATTATTTCAGGAGAAGCTAAAAGCGCTGAAAGACCAAAAAGCATCTCCCGCAGGAGCTGTTGAATCAGCACGCTGAAGAAGTACAGAGACTGGCGAACAAGCTGATAAACTCAGACAGCAGCAAAAACTTCAAGTTAGCTTCGTGACGTCATTGACATTACCGTCGTTATGACGTCATTTTCGATGTTGATCAAATGAATTTATTTGTATTCTAGAGATTCTATTTTAGCATTTGACAAGTAACAACTTTGGCTCTGTTTACTGTGCTGTAATGCAGTGAACGACCGGGATTCCCGGCGCCAGGGGAGGTGTTTATTCCCGGCCCCGGCCAATTTTGAGTTTTTGGCCGGGAATTATAGATTAAAAAGTCACATAAGAACATAAAAACTACTGTCTTATTTGACCCACAATTCATACTTACATTTACAACTTATCTTATATTGGTAAGGGATCAATTAGCCGAAGTTAAAATGGAAAGTGCCAGTTTTACTTTAAGGTCTGAAGCACTGAGCGTGAAAAGTGATATTAAAATGGACTCTAAAAGTGCCTGTGTCTTCATACTATGGTGTTCCGCCTCACTTCTATACTACTATAATCGAGCACAGGACCGGACTTGACAAGCCCACTAAAACAAGTTGTGTAAAAAATACCACCAGTTCACGGCCCAACCACATTGTTTATTTGTACACCCAGTGAATTATTCCTTATATGGCGCGGAACATTCCTGGCCTAACGTGTGTGCCGTGTTTCTCCGCACTATCAGTTGACTACCATTCATGTAGTTGACTGCCACTGTACTCGCATTTATGTGTTACTTGTTTTTACGTGTTTGATTTAAATTGCTCGTGATTAGACACACGTTCGGTGAAAGGGGAGGGGGTAGTTTCACTTTTCAGACTAGGGAAGGGGCAAGGAAACGTGTGATTACTTGATTATTGATTTTTCACGTTTTAAGTTAATCTCGACACGTGTTCAGTAATTATGTGTTTTATAAATACCCTACTGTTTACACTTTTTAAATCCCTTTAAAGCCAACAATATAATCCACAAAACAGACTCCTGGCTCTAATTTCAGGATCTAACGGCCAAATAATGTGTTTTATAAATACCCTACTATTTAAACTTTTTAAAACCACTTTAAAGCCAGCAATATAATCCACAAAACTGACTCTTGGCACTCATTTCAGTAGTTATGGTAGGCGATGCACCAGTTGACATAATTCTAAGAATGACTGTAACTGCGTACTGATCTCAAACTCGAAGTAACATCCCCAAGATGAACTACTATTTTTTAATCGTGCATGAGAAACTAAAGTATTATGATAGGGGGCTTTTTAAAATATTACTGACATGACGCTGGTCCTCACTTTTTGGAGTCTCTACTCCCTCATTTCCAGGTTAGTGCACTATTAGTGGGGAGGAGGTGTATTAACTTTATCAGTCACGTAACCTCATGACACTCCCCATCACGGGTAACTTGTAATGGTAAAGTTGTCATGGTAACAGAAATGTGTTTTCAGGCTGAACAGGAAGCTGTACAACAACCGGTCTGACAAGTTACAAGTGGTGGACCTACATCATCTAGATGTACAGGTTCGTTCATTTACTGATTGATAGCTATTTTAATGAACTTATTTGTTTAGATTTATGACGTGTTTCTCAATTGACAATTTTATACCCTCGAGATAATACAAAATTCTATGAAGGATACATTTTTAATGTTCAATTACATAAATGACAAACTTAAGTTGACTAAATCGCTGCCTGTATTTGGATTATTTAAAAAAATCAATTTGGTGTGACCACAGTACCATAAGTCGCACTGAGCATAAAACCTGTGAGCGAATCACCATACTTAAAGAGTGTGTGCCAGCTCATGTCCGTCTTCATAACCTCTTCCCTCCACGGCCCCATCTTGACTGCATCTCAAGAGAGCCGCATTGAACTTCCCTTTCATGCTCGAGGTTTCTTTTAACTCTCTGAAGGACCTCAGCTTGTTGTTCCCGGGCGTTCATCTTCTTCCACGGTTTCTTCCATTCTCCAAAACCAATCCTTGCCCTGCTGTACGGCTGGACCATTCCTCTCACCGCTTCACAGACTAAGTCCCTCTCAGCACAATCTAGTTCCTTGTCTGGTCTCCAAACTCTCCCTGACCTGACTTGCGGTTGAATCGCCCTTATCATGTCATCATAAAACTGCTGGTAGGACTGATGGAGTCGACATTTCTCCAGCTTCCAAGTATCGGACAGGCTGCCGATGGGCAAGGCCACACTAGATGTTTGACTAAATAAGCAGATGTTACTCAGTGTATGGCATACACCCTGCCACTTCGTCAGAAAACTGTTGCCTCTGCTCTAATCCACCGACCCAGGAACTTGATTGGCTTTTCCGCTACGTTTGGAATCACATCTCCCCCTAGACTCAGACTTTCTTCGACGCCTCCACTTCCACTGTTCTCTTCATACCATTCTACTACTACCCCCCTCTTCATAACCAGGGCTCTTGACTTGGAGGATTTCAACTGGATTCTGGAAACGTGACCAGTCCACATATCTCTTAAATATATTGAGCAGGGTTTTCATATCCTTCATCCGGGCACATGTCAAACAACTGGATGGATAACATCATTAATCATACGGCACTAATTGGTGATATAATCTGACCCCCTAATAATTGGGGTTCCCCTTTGTCGTGCTAGCCCTTAAATGGGTCATAACTTGGCCAAATTGTGTAATCAACTTGAAATTTTGGGAATCACTTGAATTATAAAACCAAATGTGTCTGTCAACTTTGGAGTTCCTAGTATAACGTGTTGTCATTTTATGGCGACAATAATTAAAACTAAAAGGAGAGAGTGACGTGACACACCCTCTGAAATCAATGAAATTTGGCGAAACTTTCAGAAATACTAAGTTTGACCCACATGTGAAGGTCGCTAAACTAAATGTAATATTTCAGGTATAAATTCTACTAGTACGATTCGATGCAGTGGAAGAGGTTGAAGTTGACGTTTAAGCAGTCACCCTGCCGAACAAGAAATCAGTCAGGCAAAGAGACTAGAAACTCAATCACTGTATCCGTGAAACTTGCTGGAAGCTATGTGAGTTATTTTACCTCCTTATTTCAAATGACCTCCAAACCAATTACATTGAAGAGGTGAAGAAACCATTAATATTTACTGAATTAAATGCGACTATAAAACCGAAATAGTAATACACTACTGACTACAAAGAAACATCTTACATGGGGCCAGGCTCATATAAGTGTTCATATGTTAGTGTTCATAGCCGTTGAAAATATGGCGGAATGACAGGCTGAATGTGGCCCAGTAGAAGAAAAAAACATTATAATTCTTTCCGACCATAATAGAAATACAATTAAACTAGAATGAAACAAAGAGTATTAAATTTTTAAATTAGTCGAGTCAACCAAATTTCACAGAGAAGCTGGACATTTATACGACAATTTAAACGCAATGTGTATGCGCCGTGATCAATGGTCACGGCGCATAACCATTGCGCCGTGACCGTTGATCACGGCGCATAACCCGTAAGATGCTGCGCACATTTTTGATTTTAAAATGGCGGGAACACATTTCAACTGCCATTGTTATACGATACATTGAAGTGCATAGTGAAGTGTGTGGTCTGATAGTAGACAGAGGATTTATTTGGAACATTTCCGGTGCCTTAAACTGTTCTCCACTGTGCACTACACACTGACTATTTGATCGCTTAAACGAAGCGCACACATATTCAATATTGTTTTCTTTTTACATAATTGATAATATCTCTAATATCTTTTCAGGAGTATCGGTCATCAGACACTAAAGAGGACCAATTATTCTATGTTCTACATCTTCAATGATTAATAAAGATCTCGGATTGCTCCTACTAATGCATGATGTGTTAAAATGAAAGAGAAAGAGAAACCACTCATTTATGATTTACTTTTAGTATTATGTCTTAACAATGATATTGAAGTTGATCTTAAAAACTGTCTATGAACCCTTGCTAAATGATTTGGGAAGGTGTTAGGGCTAAATATACCTGTAGACATCACTTTCAGTGATTTTTATGAAATTAATGATTTGTATATATTTTGGGACTAAAATAAGCGCAAGACCTTCGACGTTCCTACTCCTATTGTTATTTTAATCAAGCAAATATTCAAAAAAAATTTATACTGTCGTATAAATAAAATACTTAGTAATCGGATAGGGCTTTGAAAAATTGAGTATTACAATTACCAAGCTAAAATATATAATGTTGAACTCAAAAATGTTCACGCGTTGGTGGAGAAATATTCAATTCTGTGCGTAGTTTTTTTGTCACATCTATGGCAAATTTTAACCAATTTTGTTCATTCTTTCATAATACTATTTAGTAGACAAATTACTTTCGAACTGTGTCCATATTATTTATTCAAATCTAAAACAAATTCCTTAATTTGGCTTCAAAATTGTTCAAATCTGAATACGAGCTAATTACGACGCATACCGGTCACGGCACTGCGCGCGGCAGTGTAATTGTGTTCTATTTCAGAATGTACCACAAACATGTTGTCTGTGGGGTTTGATAATTACTTGTAACAACTGGTGTGTTTCATTGCATAGTGATCCATTTAAAGTTAACAGTAGGAGACCAAGCTCAATTAAACAAATAATCAATTAAACAAATAATCAAAGTTTTAGCACATTTTACAGCATAAAATTTAAACAAATGAAAACATATAATGCTCTTAGTGGTAAATGGCCGTTTGTTCTGAGCTGTATGATTTTTTGACAATCAACTAGCGGGGCAAGGAATGTACTGGCTGGTAGCTTTTGTACACACCAAAACGCTAGTCTGGTTGATTAATGACCAAATTAGAGGCGTTGATAGGAAGGCATTATAATTTGTGGGTGTAAGAGGGAATATTTGGCATGCATTATTCTAGCAGCTATTTTGTAACAAATGGTCTTTACGATTATTAAGGACGGTAGGTATTTTGGGTGTTCAATGGGGGCCGGGGGTTTAAATTTAAGGGAGAAAAAGAAATGAATATTGGGTTATAATATTAATCATAGATCTCAACCCTGATATAACTATTGTACTAAAAATTTGATCATAATGCTTAGGGTCTTTATTAGAATTCAAATTGGATATAAAAATAGGATCTCTTTACACTACACTTACTCACTCACACATCACATTTAACTTGACAGAGGAATACGCTGGCAGAGTATGTCGATTTGGTCATGAAATTTTGGAGGTCAGGTGGAATCCCTGCAGGAGCCTACGAAAATTTAAGGTTACAAATATCAAAGTCTTTATTTGTCCAGTCATACACGGCATGACAATGCTGGTTGGAAAGTAGTGAAGATTTCAGTTTGGATTTCAGGCAAGAAATACTAACAGAACAATCAAAGATTTTAAGGTTAGGGGTTATTATATTCCATATTTTCGTTGACCTCGTGTTATGGTTGTCTGGGGGATCCGGTTTATTGATAATAAGCATTGGTTTCCTGGAAGAACGAGAATACTCTTCGTACATAGACATAGGAGTAGAAAACTTCATGATCTTGAATAATTCTATGTAGCTATGGTAAGTATAAAGATTTTGTACAGTGAGTATCTCGTTGTTTTTAAACAGAGGTTTAGTGTGCTCCTTTTTATAGAATTTACTATCAAGTTTCTGGTCAGTAAATGGTCTGGTTCGAACACACGTTTTGAATTTATCCAGGTAGGCTGCTCTATCACCAAACAAGACCCTCAGACAGTACTTCTGTGCAGTGAATATTGAGCTTATACGATTTTTAGCTGCCCCACCCCATGCTGATATGCAGTACGACAGATGGGATTCAAAAAGAGTGTAGTATAACTGTCTGTGGAGAAATTCTGGGAGGGAGCAGCGTAGACGACACAGAGTTGAGGTGGCATGGTTAAGCTTTCGTTTTAGGGCTATTATATGTTCTTCCCATGTTAGATTTTCGTCAATGACGACTCCTAAAAATCTAGCTGACGTTACTCTTTTGATGGGGTAGTTGTCTATATTCATTATGAATTCTTCTTCAACGTTTGCTTCAGTACGTGACTTAGGTCTAAAGTGAATGTAGCAGCATTTTGACATGTTTATGTGAAGCTTGTTAGCCCGCATGTATGTTTGAAGGTTTGAAAGTAGGGCGTTGCTGCGTTCATATGCTTCTTGTGCAGTTTTACCAACAACAAATATGTTGGTGTCATCCGCAAAGGTGACAAACGATCCCAAGCTAGAGCTATTAGAGATATCATTTATGTAAAGTAGGAATAGAAGGGGTCCGAGAATTGACCCCTGGGGAACCCCAAATTTTATTGGAAGTAGGTCGGACTTTTCTCCTACAACATCAGTGTACTGAAATCGATTAGTTAGGTAGCTCTTGATCAGATCGTTTGCCACGCCACGGATGCCATACCTTTCTAGTTTGGTAAGTAATGTTGAGTGATCTATAGTATCGAAAGCTTTGCTGAGGTCGATGAATATGCCTAACACATGGTGCTTCAATTTGATGTGCTTAGATATGAGGTCAACAGAGTAGTTTACTGCATGGGAGGTTGAGTGCGATTGCCTGAAACCAAACTGAGTCTTAGATATTATTCCCTGAGAGCTGACAAACGAATAAATCCTAGAATATATGATTTTCTCAAATATTTTGCCAAATATGGACAAGGTGGATATAGGACGGTAGTTTTCTATTTCTTCTGGATTACCTTTTTTGAAGACAGGTGTGATTCTGCCAGTCTTAAGTATATCAGGGAATATACCATTTGACATAAGCTTGTTTAAGTATCTACTGATAATTGGTGCAATAACGTGGGACGAAGTTTTAATAACGGTTATGGGAATATCACTGGCCTTTCCATTCTCGAATTCTTTGATTATTCTTAGAACCTCCTCAGGAGTGCTGTCCTCTAACATAATAGATCGAGAGTTACTAGGGCTAAGGAAGTCATGGAATGTTTTCATGGGGAGAATTGGAATACCAGAAGACAAGTCAGTTGTGATAGTTTCATTGAGCTTGGGAGCAATTGATACGAACCAGGAATTAAAACCATTGGCAATTGCTCTCCGGTTCGAGATTCTTTCATTATTGATGATGAAAGGTGGTTTGGTTGTTTTCTTTCTTTTGCCCCTAAGCTCATTTATTATCTGCCAAGTTTTCTTACTGCTTTCAATGTTTTTATAGATTTCGTTACAGTAATAGGAGCGTTTGGCTGCCTTTATGATACCCTTAAGCATCCTACGATAGTCACTAAATATCTTATAAAGAAGGACATTGCCAGATGGATCTTTATTTGTTACTGTATCTGACCATTCTTTACAAAGCTCATGTTTTCTGTCAATTGAGAGGATGATTCCATCTGTAATCCAAGGATTAAGCTTTGGTGTTCTTTTGGTCGTTTTCGGTACTTCTAATTTACAGTGCTTGTCAAGGGTGGATTTGAAGCAATCGACAAATTCGCAAAAATCTGAAGATTGGGACAGCTGATTCACCTTCACCTCAAGGTCAGAAACAAAATTTTTAAGCTTGGTACTTGAGTAGTCGTAGTAGCGGACATGTTTTTCATTGTTCTTATTTCTTGGGGCCGGGGTTGAGGTGAAGGAGAATATGAACGTGTGTTCACTTAATCTATCCTGAAGTACACCAGAGAGCAGAACATTATCAATATCACTAACTAGGATGTTATCTATACACGAGTTTTTACAATTAGGCCGGAAGTGGGTAGCAATTGAGATGGATGGATACAAACCATTACTAATTATAGTGTCTTCAAATAACTGGTTGTGTGACGAAACTTTGAAGAGGTCTGAGTTAAAGTCGCCAAGCAAACGAAAGGGCTTGCCGGATATCTGCTTAGCAATGGTTTGTAAAATTTCACAAAAAGCCTCAAGGCAGCCACTAGGGGGACGGTATACAACTCCGTAGACAACCCCAACACCAGTGCTATCAGTGATTTCGGCGAATAAGCATTCAATGTTTACAGTACAGTAGGATAACTTTTCTAGGACAACAGTGTTAAGGTTGTTCGAGACATAAAGCGCAACCCCAGTGCCCTTTTTCTTATCTGGGAGGGTATTTTGATAAAAACTGGTGTAAGATGGGATCTGGTATAATTCTTGTAAGCTACTACCAACGTTGGTTTCAGCAAGTCCAAGAACATCAAATGGATGAGATAATCGTTTGAGTTCAACTTGGAATGTATCGAAATTACTGGCATTGCCATCAATGTTGAGGAACAGTGCTGAGAGGAAGGACCCATCACCACTGCTGATTTTTGTAGCTACTTCTGTGAATTCACGTTTGGAATAACGTTTACAGCTCTCGAGGGTATGACAAAATTTTTGGATGAGGGTGTCTTCTGCACCCTCATTGTAGGGCCTGTCCGACTTTTCGAGATCGTTTTGATTGTCAAAGGGGCGGTACCTGTCCTCTGTGATAAGTGCACATTCTGGGCACATCCATAGGCCATTCTTGCACTTAAAACTAGCAGATTTAAAACATCTAGTATGGATAACTTTGGTGCAGTTTTCACATTCAAGCATAGGTTGCCCAATATTAATCGACTTACTGCACGGATAGCACACCTCCTTATTGATTTTCAAGTTCATTTTGATCAAATGGGATCATATCCCACTGTCTGACCAGGTTTCCTCTGTCTAGTTCTCTCAAGTTTCTCACGCACATACACCCAATGTTTAACACATCTCACAAACTTAGATAGACCGCGGTTGCCAAGATGTATCTCATCCCCATCTCTGGTCAAGTTCATGGCAAGCAGACCATTGTTATCAACGAAGTGATAGACACCGATCTGCCACACGCTTTGCTCGAAGCTTGACTCAAGCATATCATAGACAAGTCTGTTGAACATGATGATGTTCATGTTCATGCGGGGAAATCGCGAAGGCAACACAGCGGTAACAAATATCTTAATACGAGGGCATATAGTCTGGATCTGTTGTAGCTTCAAGTGGAGAATATCCACGAGTTGATGAACATCGTTAGGAGATTTCAAGTTCTCAGTCCGGAGATCATTCGTCCCACACACAATAACAGCATTGCTGTATCCTATGCACAGTGACGGGTCAATGTTGCTGATCTTGCTAGCTTTGGCTCGCATACCAGGGAAGGATTGACCCATAGTACCTGTTCCAGACCCAAACTTGATGTTCTTTGTGTTTGAGTCTCCAAGTATCACAGTGCTACGTTTGAACTGCTTGCTTATGGTTCTGAGTGTGATGGAATACCGGCCTGTTTGCACAGGGAGCTGACTGGATGGTGAAACTGGGTCTCCTGATCCTATACTATGCTGATACCATGCCTGGGAGGACCGTGTCATGATGTATACGGAGTTTGAGGCTGGATTAAGACAACTAGGATGGTCGGAAGTGTCTACTACACTATGAATAGGCCTGAAGCTGACTTTTCTCACGTCACCAATACTGATGGTTGCAATTTCTGAATCTGCTAAGATGTCAGGTTCGTCATCGGAATGAAAGGCTAGGCCATTGCACAAAGTAGCATTGTCTGGTGGAGGATAATAGTTTATTAGTACTGAATTAGGCCTATGTGTGAGCTCACAGTGGGATGCTACTTTGTCTATGGCTGTTACTAATGGCTGGGGAATTTCAGACGAGCTGGGTGGACTACTATCACCGGAGTACATGTAACTTTCCCCAAGCTTGAGGACCATCCTGCCGTTTTTCTGAACAAATTTCTGTGAGGTCTTGCAGTCAGACAGAAAGCTGGTCACAGATTCGAGGGTCTCTTCATCAAAGAAGTCCATTTTATAGTCCTTAATTGGTGGTTCTATGGTTTTAGGGAGGGGAATGGATACAGGCTTGGGGTCTGGTGTGATGTGGGTCCCAGGCTCTCGTGATCTTTGAAAGTTGGAGATCTCCTCGCTGAGCTTCTTTAGTCTGATCTCAAGGGATGAAATCTCTAGGGTTGGCATGCTCTGGTTCACGGCACCTGCTAGGCTGGACATTTCTGCAAGATCGATTTGGAATGCTTCAGAGAGGGCATTTTTTGATGTACGGGTATTCCATGCCCCAGCCCCCTCCAATGCAAGCAAATCGATCCCAGCAATGTACCAGTCCCATGAAAATGCGGAAAAACGGTGTTACAATGCAAGGGTCCTGGAAGTAGAGAAAAGAAGCTTCACGCCGTTCGTTTTCTCAACGTCTGGTGGAATGGGTGGTGAAGCTGAAAGACTAGTAAAGAAGCTGGCTAGTAAAATGGAATACCACACAGGGCAGAGGTACTCAGATGCGGCGGGTTACATTAGGAAGCGCCTTCGTTTCGAAATCTTAAGAACGACGGTAATTTCTCTCCGGGCAGACAGAGGGGCGAAAAAGAACTTTGTCAATACAAACAGTTTAGATTTGAACTTGGAGCCGCAAGGCCAAGGGTGATTTTCAAAATATTGAATTTTTGAAGGGTTTTTTATATAGGGTTTACATTATGTGTACACTTTTTGAAACAATTTATTATCCTTGTCATATATCCTTGTATAACGTGGTCAGTGGTGACCCCCACGGTCACCCTGTATCGTCTTCCGGTCTTCGACGATACAGGGGGAGCCGCGCTCTTCGTGCGCGGCGGGTCATACAACGTATGACAATTATATCCTTATTGTCAAAATTTATTAATAGAATTAAGGATATTATTGACTATATTTTATGACGATGAATTGACCAATGTTAATGATTTGGCCCGGCGCGCGCTACTTCGTAGCACTCCCCATAAAATTTCGAGAAGAAAGCGGCGCGCGCTACTTCGAAGAAATTTTTAACGGGTGATACTCGTAAAATATTTGTTCCATATATTGGCGCGCGTGCTGGTAGGTTGTCAACCTACAAACAAATTTAGACGAGTAACGTCTAGTAATCTGTCAAGACGATAAATTGTAAATTTTGGTGATTTTATATTTATTCGGTCTCCAATTATTGAACTGCGGAAGCTGGTTGCCTCAACATGCTGTTGAGTATGGTATGACTGAATTGTCAACCCGTGGTTATTAAACGAAAAATAAATGATAAACATGATTTATAATTTAAAAACTGTAAACCACCAATGTTGTGTTTTGTTAGGTATAGTGCTATAATATTAAGATTATATAAAATTATTCAAACAATATACACATAATTGTCACAATGACCCTATATAAAAACAACCCTACAAAAAATCAACATATTCCCTATCTCTATAATATTAAGTAACATACATTATGCTATCACTTCGTTTGAATACATATAAATATCATCCAAATGATCAGATCCAATAGGATACTGATGCAGACAATGAAAAAAAATTGAATTGAATTACCACATCAGTATCCCAATGGATTAAACCACTTTGAGTGTATAATTCTGAGATAGAACTTTGCCATCACTGGCATCCCAGCCTTGGGGCTGGGATGATTATCATAAAAGCCCCTAATGTCACACTTAGGAAGTAATCTCTCGTTTTTGTTATCAAAACGGTCTAAGAAAGCCCAAAAAACATTAAGGTAAAACAGTTTCTGCCTAGAGCAGCGATCAAAGATCAAATTATTCATAGCACAAACATTACCAGGGATTTTCTTTTGTCCGTTGGGGTGGACTGGTGGAATTGCTTGTACAAAAACACGTGCATTTGGATAAAGTTTTTTAGCTGTCTTCATAAGGTTACTCACAGGGGTCTTGAGATGATTGACACCCTAGGTACAGTACCGAATGTCGTTGGCACTGAAGCTTAAGAACAGCTTCTTTGCCTGCACAAGAGGGTTCTTTGTATGAAAGGCCTCAATAGATTTCTGTACAGCTGAAATCTTAAGCACACCCTTAGCTATGTTGGTGACAGTTTCTTAACCTCTGCTGAGGCGATCAGTGTCCAATCGGGCAGCAAAGGAGTCACCAGCAATGAGGATGATAGACTTCTGGTGGTTATGAGAGATTGTGATGGGGGCTTTTGGAGATACTTTATTAGGACTGTCGGATTTAGGAGAGGTAAGAATAGGAGATGAAGAGGAAGAGGAAGGTGAGGTTAACTTTCTGAAGGAGAGACTGTACCTCCAACAAATTTCATTTTAATAAAACAAATATTTTAATAAAACAAATATTTATTTTTTACGGCACAATCAAACAATATCAATAATAAATAAATCAGGGGAGGTTTGAAGAGGTTTCAAGTGCCGAAGGCCACTGCTTATCTTTAGGATTTGAGAGTGACCTGTGCTTGAAACCCCCTCAACCATCCACTACGTCAATATACTTATTAAATACAAATATAGAAAAATATAATTATCTAAGCTAAAATTGCTTATTGGTCTAGTTTGGTGACATAGGAGAGCCTAGTTGAGTTTTAGTTTAGGTTTATGTTTTAAATCATAGTTTGAAAGGTTAGCCATGTTTCATGACAGAGAGAGATATTATGTGTGCAGAGCCGTACCGGATGTAGAATTTGAGATATAATATAGATTAGTTACCATATATTAGGGTCACCTCGATTTTGGAGGGATAGCAAGTGCTTTTTAAGGTTAGATTTAATAATACCTGACGAGGCTGATAAGTCTGAATTTTTGGAAGAACCCGGGATTATTATCCCATCTACATTAGCATCACATATTTCGAATACATAGGGGATGAGATCATTCCATATTTTCGTAGAGGTGTACCAAAAGTTCTGTTGGGAGATATCTAACCTCAGTAATGGGACAATCAGACAAAGTTTTTCATTTCTAGGACAGAACTTGAAAAGATCTTTAATCGACTGGGGGACATCAAATTTAAGAATTTTGAATAGCTCCATAAATGTATGGTACATGTGCAGATTCTCCAGGTTCATAATTTTCTGCTCAGTGAATGGCGGTTTAGTGTGTTCAAGACAGTAGTTCTTGCTAGCCATATGTTCGTTATAAGTTCTTTAACGTGCACAGGTTAAGTAGTCAATGAGTTTTAATACTTTCAACACTACTATATAACAAATAATTTGAGGACCCCTAAACTGCCAATTACTCAAATTTTGTCACTACCCCCCGTGACTACAGTTTAAGACCTGCTCCCCAACAGGATCTTCTTGTGATGCCCCCAAAGATATATCATATGGAAATTAAAGTGGCCGGGTCGGTGTCTTCGAATTATGTACCATTACAGGATGATGACAATGTATTAAAAGATCCTCGACAGCTTGAGGAAAATGGCACTTGTTCAAACTGTGCAGTTGAAAAAGCCCAAGTTAAAGATGAAACGGTATGTTGTATCAATTGTAAAAAGTTGTTTCATGCCCTCTGTGTGGCTCCTGTTTCAAATGACTCAAACAGTGCTAGGCCCAAGTCTAAGTCAATGCCCAATAATCCCTGTACCAAGTCTTTCTACACAGCTTTTGTACAAAACAGTTCGAACAAAAGTAAAGAACAACATATGGGAAACTTTCTCTTTATGTGTGATCCTTGCTTTACACATCATCAAGTGAAGCAGACTAGCACAACTAATGATCATGTTCAGGTACTTGACAACAGAGTAACACACTTAGCTAGTGATGTCACAGAGATTAAGAAATTATTGGAGAATGTAATTGCTGGGAAATCTATTAACCATTCCCCTGTTGATAATCTCATCTCGACAGCCAAAGCACAGTGTACCTTGAAACCAGCTACTGATCAGGGTGAGAACGTGTGGCTCGATGAAATAAGAACAAAATCCTTGCTGGTTGTTACAAAAGGTGCTAATGTTCCATGTAAAGATCTAGAAAAGACAGTGGTTGATAATGGAATCCAGGTTCATAAGCAATATGTTGATAGCAATGGTGATCAAGTACTCATATTACCAACCCAAGCTTCACGAGATAATCTGAAGACAGAGCTGATATCATCAGGTATAGCTGCTAATCAACTGAAAGAACCAAAGCAAAGATATCCCACTATCTCAGTTGTTGGTCTACCTAAGGATTTTAGTAGAGATCACAAAGAAGAGATAAGGAACACCATCCTGAAGCAAAATCCTTACATTTCTCACTGCCTCAAAGCAGACTCTTCACTGTTTGATGTTCTGTCTGTGAAACCTCTCCGTGCAAACCAAAATATCAAACAAGCCATCATAAGGTTGAGTGATAATATTAGAATTGCTATACGAGATAATAATAACAGGTTGTTCTTCGGTTTACTGTCTTGCCAAGTGTATGACCAACTTTACATAAAGAGATGTAACAAGTGTCAAGGCTTTGGTCACTATTCTAAGACTTGTAAAAACGAAGTGTATTGTGGTTTCTGCGCCGCCCCTGGACATGAAACTCAACAATGTGATAATAAGGACAACAATTCAGAGGAGAAAAATGATCTAATGCCCACATACTGTTGTATCAACTGCAAAAAGTCTGGCTCACCTGATGATTTATGTAAACATGCTGCATTTTCTACTGAGTGTCCTTCTTACCGGGTTCAGCAAGAGAAACTTAAAGCCTCCCTATCTTATTATTCAAAAAACTAGTTTCCTCCAAACCAAAGAAATTGCATCAACTTCGATATATGATCTGGAATGCTAGAAGTCTTAATAATAAGTGTGACGACATTATGTGCTTACTTCAAGATCATGATGTAGACGTTGCTATTGTAACTGAAACATGGTTATCTGACCAAGCCAATACTACAACAGCAGTTATAAAATCATATGGCTACAGTATTGTTCATGATTTCAGAGCAAACAACAGAGGTGGTGGCACTGCTCTGATTTACAACATGGCATTACATTTCTCTGTTGTTAATTTGAAAGTTCCGAACCTGACAACCTTTGAATTCATCGCTGGATCTATAAAGTGCACTCCTGACATGAAGATCCTTGTCCTATGCATCTATCGAACTGGCCCTGTCTCAAAGACGTTCTTTGAGGAACTTGATGACTTATTGGGTTCTGCAAGTCTGAAAAGTGACTATATAATAATTGGAGGAGATTTCAATATTCACACAGAGTCAATTACTGTAAACTCAACTGAACTGCTGCAGACCACCTCATCTTATGGTTTCAAGCAACTTATTGAAAATCCGACCCACATGAGTGGAGGAACTATTGACCTGCTCTTTGACCAGAGTAACTTGATTGAAACGTCTACAATTGAAATCCTGAAAAACTGTACCCTGAGTGATCACTTCCCCATCATATTTGCCACCAAGAAGTTTCAAACTAACCTCAAAGCTCCTAAAACAATCAATACTAGACAGCTTAAAACCGTGGATTGTGATCAGTTGGCGATTGATTTACTGATGTGTTCCTCTGACTATGAATTGGCAGACTGCTTTGTTGAATCTTGTGAACAATTTTTCCAATGCATTGGTAGTGTCCTCGATGAACATGCACCTTTGGTCCAAAAGACTATAAGCTTTGTTCCCCATGCTCCCTGGTTTGATTCTGAGTACAAAGATCAAAGGAAACTTAGAAGGAAAGCCGAGAGAACTAAGCATAAAAGTGAGGAGAACAGGATACTCTTTGAAGAGATCCGAGATGAAACAACAAACATGACTAATCTTAAAAAACAACAGTATTATAAAGGTTTACTTGACAAAAATCAACATGATGTTAAAGCTATATATAGCATTGTCAATCGTGAGCTTGACAGACATCAGAATACTCCTCTCCCAGAATCAGAAGATGTTTCAAAACTTTGCAGTGATTTTAATCACTATTTCAATGAAAAGATCAAGAACATTAGGAAAGATTTCCCCAGCATAGAAGATTTTGATGTTGATAAACACATTATGAATCAACAGAACAATTCCAACTGTGAAGGTCGGTTATATGAATTTGAACCATGCACAGAGGATGAGCTGTCTGAAATAATCAAAGAAAGTGGAATCAAGTGTGCACCATCTGATTTTCTTCCAACAACTGTCCTCAAAGACAATATCACAAGTTTCATTCCTGTCTTGTGCAAACTGGTGAACCAGTCTCTAGCTAAGGGCACATTCGACGGTTTGAAGACTGCTGACATTATTCCTACCATCAAGGACCACAAACTTGATCCAAATGACTTCAAGAGCTATCGACCTATATCTAACCTCTCTTTTCTGGGTAAACTCATCGAGAGAGTTGTGCTGAAAAGGTTAAATGAACATCTGGCTAAAAATGATCTCAATGTTCCACAGCAATCTGCCTATAAGAAGTTCCATTCTACTGAGACCATCTTGTTAAAAGTAACAAATGACCTACTGCTGGCATGTGATAGCAAATCCTCCACTGTTCTCATGATGCTCGATTTATCTGCAGCCTTTGACACAGTGGAACACAGAAAATTACTCAAAATTCTTTCTGAAGAGATCCATATCGGAGGTACTGCTCTTAAATGGTTCAAGAGTTTCCTGGTAGGCCGCACTCAAAGAACCAGAATAGGCTCTTCTACTAGTGATACGATCATTCTAGAATTTGGTGTACCTCAAGGTTCTGTGTTAGGACCGGTGCTATTCAACATATACATCAGATCTCTGTATAGGACCATCGAGAAATCTGGATTCAATGTGCAAGGATATGCAGATGACCACCAGGTATATAAAACTTTCAAACCTTGTGATCAGGTAAATGTTCTGGGCATCCAAATTGTGAATTGCGCTAGGACCATACAGCGCTGGATGGTTGAATATTGCCTTCAACTTAATCCTGGAAAAACACAAATACTTATCATCGCCTCACCTCAAGTTCTAAACCAGGTCAGTATAGGGGGAGTTAAGCTATCAAATGGTACCTGTATCAGATTTGTCAGCACAACAAAGAACCTTGGTGTTCAAATTGACCATCATCTTACTTTTGAGCCTCAAATCATGTCCCTCAAAAAGCATTGTTTCAGACTCCTTAGGAATGTAATAAGGAGAAAATATCTCTTTAGTAAAGCTCAGCTCAAGCTTATAATTAACAGCATCATTGTCTGCAAATTGGACTACTGCAATGCTCTTTATTATGGAATTAGTGACAACCTCATCCACCAACTCCAACTCGTTCAGAATGCAGCTGCTAAAGCTATAGTAGGACTATATAAATATGATCATCTAGGAGACACTCTGAAAGACCTTCATTGGCTGCCTATTAGTTACAGAATTCAATATAAGTTATTGCTTCTTGTCTATAAATGTCTTAATGGTATGGGACCAGATTATTTAAGTGATATGTTTAAATATGCCAATTATAATCATCTTATCTATTTGACTGAACCAAGAGTATATTCACAGTATGGAGAAAGATCGTTTCAGAAGGTTGGCCCTAAATTATGGAATGAGCTGCCTCTTGAAATTAAGAATTGCATGTCACTGGAATCTTTTAAAGTGTATCTGAAAACGTTTCTTTTTAAACGTGCTTTTGATATTAATTAATTTACTACTTTTTCAACGTTTCTACTGTTAAGTGCATACCCTTAACCTTGTAATTTAGTGTATCAAGTCTTTACAATTTTCTATGGTTTGGAACCTAAATGTGGATTGCTTTTCAGGTTTTCTTGTATCCTGACTTGTTTTCGTGGCACACCTGTGCATTTTAAGTTGTTGTGCCACTATAATCTATAAGTTTAAATTATTATTATTATTATTAATGAAACAAGAAATTTCAATGAAACAAGAAATTTAATTTTAGCACATTTTACAGAATAAAAGATGTAAAACAATTCATAAAATATAATGCCCATTTGGTGTATGACTTTTTGTCCTTGACTGCTTGTTTGGTTTTGGAAGGACAGGTTACTAACGGGGCAAGGAATGCGCGTGCCTGGGAGCTTTTGCACACACCAAAACGCTAGTTCAGTTAAGTTTTTAGAGACAAGGCTCAAATTAGGACTATAAGAAAAATTGTTAGCAGACACTAGGGGTTCTGTTTAAAGTTTTTACTATCTAGGTTGCAGTCTTGTTGTGACAAAAAGTCTACACTAAAACATGTTTGATTTTATATTGTGTAGTTCAAGGATTAAAAATGCACCTTCAAGGTGGATATTGGAGAGCAGGCGAAAGATTATGGCTTAAATTT